CTTTTCAAAAACAATAATTAAAAAGTAGTTAAATAAAAAACCTAATAATTATTAATTAAACTGTTTATAAAGGAATTTAAATTATTCAATATAATTGTGATATTTTTCTTGTGACATTGAATTTAATAAACGTTAATGACTTCTATGAAATAATACAGACATGAATATATTGCTATAGATTATTTGTTTATTGATTATTAAATCTTCCAACGAGATTTTATTTAAATAATGTTATTATTAAAATCAGTAAATAATTAGGTTTTCCAACATGATTTAAAAAAATATATATATATACATATATATAGATCTTGAGTCAAAATGCAAATGAATGTTAAATAGTTTTATTAATAAACAATTGGTATTGAATTAATTATTCCTATTTATTTATGCATAAATATATTTAGAGTAGATAAACATTTATTATGAATCGAGCAATGCATTTATTTACATCAAAACTCGTCTACTAATTGATTAATATTTAATAAACTTCTCTATTCAGGGGATATAATCCAGAAGATGATCAATTATTTGAGGTGCATTTTTATTAATGACCTTAAGGTCAAGTAAATTTGCTTTGTACAATTTTTAAGAAAGGTTGAATGATTGTTGGAAAAATGTAATAAATGATGTAATGGAGAGTAAATAAAGAAAGTAGGTTGGTAAATGAATTATTTAATTATATATAATGGTTAATATTTAATTAATATTAATTACTATTGAATTAACAAGGTATATAGGAAGAGGAGGATTTTGTAACAATTAACAAGGTTTCTCGTTAGTCAGTCAGCAAATCTGCTGTTTGAATATGACGAAGTCAGCTTTATTATTGTATCTAATGAATAACTTGTTTAGAGTTTGCAATATATATATATATATATATATAAATTCATCTGTAAATCTTTGAAAAGCATTTCAACTACATTTATGGGGTAAATTGATCCATTTAAAAAAATAATAATTTTATAATTTACTTTGAAGCCTGTTTTAAAGTAACACATTAGTTCTTTAAATGATATTAATTTTTTCATCTTTTAATTAATAAAATTTAATTAATTATTCAGATTACATAATAAAACATTTTTATTTATTAATATTATTAGATTTATTTCTGATAATAAAAGGGTTTATTGAGAATTGTTTTTGAGAATTTGTAAATCAATTTTAATATTAGAAAATCATTGGTGCAAACTATTTGAGATGTAAATAAATGATTGATCACATGAAGGATGTGTGCAAATGATAGAATGCATTCGTTTAAAATAAAATAATGCATCCATTTAGATCTCAATGATATCGTAATGCTCAATAATTATTGAACTATTCAACAATAAATATATTATTATTATTATTCATACCATCAAGCTTATGATATGTAACATTTTTTTTTTTTTGGTTTATACTTTTCAGATTCGTTGAATTTCCACAAAAAAAAATAAAAGCGTTATTATTAATATTTACTACGATCTTCTAACGATTTAGAATCGAGATATTTTATTGAATATTTAAAAAATACCAATTTCGTTGTTAAAATAAAACAAATGGTAAAAAAAACATGTCATCTATTTGAGCATTACAAAAACAATGGAAAAGTATTATTTGTTTATATTGAAAAAATAAAAAAAAAAAAAAACAACACTTTTCTCAATTATTTGAAAATTTATATCTATAAATTTTTTGTTCGACAATGAAGTAGAAAAAAAGTAGATATAATATAAAATTGTTGTTTACTTTCTACTCCATCAATCAACAAATATTAACTTTTTTTTTTCGTTAAAAGTTCTTTGACATTTATTCTTCATCAGGATATCAAATTAATTGATTGAATTAAGAAAATCGAATAGAATCAGTCCAATTTTCTCTAATAATCAAAATAATTTATCATCATTTTCTATTACAATTTCCTGAGATTCCTTCATCAATATCAATCCATGCAAATAATTCATCAACAATAATTACCATCTCACATTAATTAACCAAAAAAAAAAAAACATTTAATTAGACAAAGAAAAATGATTTTAATATTTGTTTATAATCAAAAGTTTTGTATTCACCTACAGTGAATTGGATCAAATGAATCCTGAAAATGTGCCAAAAGTAATTTAAAAATATTATTCATTATTTTTATCTCTGGAAACTTGACTGCTAAAAACGACAATAAAGTTGAATACTTAACTCTGAATGTATGAGCTAACTAAAATCAACAACAATGTAGAGAATGACTCTATATATTTATAATTTTCATTGTTACCAAGTTTTATTCATTCTAAATCGTAAAGTGAATAGTGTTAAACTTTGGCAAGCAATACTTTAACTGTTTTTCATACTAGCATAGCTTCTAGTATGTATCTGAATGAAATTATAAATAAACCTTTAAAACCTGTATCGTATCACTAAAATACGTGTTCTATTTTCAACAAAAACGTCCACCTATCTAGTATCTCCATTCTTCTTGAGTTTTTCCACAATGTTCTTTGTCGCTTGGTGTTTAACGGATGCCAATGAAATCGCTTGCAACCATACGAGAAAGGTGTAGTGGGTAGCCTTTAACCTCCGTCGTCATCGCCTCAAGCATCATCTTGGCTGGATCTAAAGTGAATTCTCGTGATGATGATCACACTGAGGTGAAGACGAAGTAGCAGAGGTTCCAGAAACTAAGTTAAAGAAGGGGCTGGTGGGTGAGTTAGCCATCTAGAGAATCAATACAGTAGATAAAAAGCAAAGAAAAACTTTGAAATATTTTATGGAAAAAGATCTTTTATTGAAAAAGAAAAAGTTTGACAAACTGTACTACTCTCTAAAAATAATATGAGTGAATATTCCATCATATTCAACCAATTTATGTTGATTAAATCTATCCTTAGTGTGGGACTGGGAATCAGTGAAATTTTACTGATTAATATCTAGTTTAAAGCACTGATTAAATTAATTAACTTTTTAGTTGATCAAATCTGTGAACTTCAATATTCCCATCTATTATCGTTATTCCTCTGACATTACTTGTCGCCATTATTGCTGCTTAACTTACTTTTATATTAATCTTTTTTTTTTTTTTTTTAATAAAGATATTTTTAACTTTATTATTCACTTATTTAATTATACAAAAATACTGATAGGAGACGACCAAGTTGATAGAATTTACTATAATTGAAAAAGAAATTCAATGTAGTGGATGAGTAAAATTATTATTTTCTTTTTAGCAGTAGAATTTAAAAGATAAAAAATGATTTAAAGAATAAAAGTTAAAATCTGATTGGTTTTTGTTGAATAAATATTATAGTTTGTTATCAATAATTATATTTAAATAAACAATTATATTTTAATTCATTTCCTAAATGTCCTGTCAAATACCATATGACATTTCCAAACAGATTTATTGACTTTTACGAAAAAAAAATAAAAAACATTTTATATCAAACTTCAAATTTCAATAAATCGTCCAGAAATAAGCTAGGGATCATTGAAAAGTTTTAAATATTTTATACAAAATATTCCTCTTAAATTTTCAAACCAATTCCTCATATTCACATTTATATTTTTCCAACTTCTTTCAATTGCATTTCATCATTTTACTTTTTCTTCAATAATTTTTTTTCTTTGAAGTAAGAAATGATGTATATCAATTTCCAATGGCAAAGTTTTGAAGTAAATAAATCAAGTTTCAAAATGCACTTTGATTTATAAAGAATTCATCACATTTTACAGAAATGTTGCTATTTGAAAATTACTTGAATACTTGTGGTAACTTATCAACTTTATTGACCAATTCATAACTTTAAAATTGTATAATCAATAAATGTAGTCCATTGAAAGCAAACCACATAAACAAATAAGATGATGAGATTTATAACAAAAATTTTACAAGATCATTTTTAAAATTCAATATATTTCAACTATCGATTATCATAATCTCTAAATTTGATTTCAAGTACGAATTATTTATAATGGATATTCCTTCAACATTTAATACATTAACTATTCTAAATCCTATCTTGATGTTGGTTCAATAATCAAAGGAATCTAGGAATTCAAATCAAAACTAAATCTAGAATATTGACACTTCAATAGCTATAGAAAAATATTATTTATCATATTATTTCAAGCTATTCTATTTCTATACTCAACATCACAAATATTATTTATAATTATAAACTCCATTTCACCTGATCAACTTCCAAACAACCTCAATACTATTGATTAATCAGTAAAAATTAATGTCTGCTAAAAATAAAAGTGAAAATCAAACTGATTTATTTTTAGAAAGTACATAACTAAAAGTATATAAATATATATCCTAAAACTTCTTACACTCTTTTAGTCTCTCAATTACATGAATGAAAAAAGTATATACATCCAAGTTACTTCACTACATGGTTTATTCACAGACATGCTAATGTAGAAGATAAGAAGAGTGTCTTGTAGCACGCGAAACCAAATTGCTTTTTCTAAGGAAAAGAACTCTCGACCTCATCCCTTCTTTTGTTCATTTTTTTCTTTTATTTCTTATTCCCTTGTTTATGTGCTGAACGTAAATTCTTATAACATTTATTAGTAGGAATAGTTTCATGACAGTCAGCTATAGAGCTCAGAAAAAAATCAAGAATATAATATAAAGATGTAAGTTGAGTGTTGAAAACAATTTTGTTGTGCTGATTGTGCTTTTTTACGTGTAAAGTATATTGCTTTTGTTATTTCAAGTGTTCAAATTGGCATACTGTTAATTTCATACTTTTTATTATGTCTAAACTAAATGACCTATTGATTTATTAAAATCAAATAAATTTGAAAATCTCATCAATAAAGTCTCAACAGGAACTGTTATTATAGAAAATTATAACTTCAAGTCTGTCATAAACTTAATAACATCTAAATAAATAAATAAATGGTGACAGTTAATAAGGAAGGATATTTATACTATATATTTTCATACCAAGTTTGATATTGACTAAGGATGGTTTATTCTAATAGTGAAATCGTTGAGAGATATATTTTTTACACTTTTTGTAGGTATTTTTTTATTTATTAATATTGTACATGTCTTGTAGAGTTGTGTTGAAATAATTTTTATCAGTGAAGCTTTGTGCAAGAATATGATCTAGAGATCTGTTTTGCTTTTTGTTCCATTAATAATAACGCTGTGCAATTGATTCGATATTCAAAGCACAATACTGGGGTAGATAGGTGTCTTGAAATAATTGTACTGTCCTGCTAACCCCTCTACGAACATTGCCGATCATGTACGTGTCATCAAGTGTCTCTGAGTGCTATTAAACTAATGATATCTTCAGTCTAAAATTAGTCATAAATCATCTTCATTTACTCTAATAGAAATATCTTTTTTTAAATACTTTTTTTTCATTTATTTATACTTCATCTCCAACTGAGTAACTTCAATCAGACCTTAAAAAACAATTTTTTTATATTAATTTTTAATATAATTCTTTCAATTTCATGCTTTCATTTCTATTTTATTTGAAGCAATGTAATTGAATTTTAGAAATTATTATTTAAAATTAAAAAAAAAGATATTCAAATATTTCACCTCTCTCTTGAGTTATATCTTGAACTTTAACCACATCTACTGGAGTAATTGCTTCATTATGTCTTCTCATCTGGTGTTGAATAAATATTTTCTCCTCCAACGATCATCTTATAAAACGTCATTGACCTTCAACGAATATAAAATAATGTATTAAGAAACATTTCAATTGAGTTGCTTACGATATAAATTGAATGTAAAATGAGACATTTTTTTCTAGGATATTATAATTTTTTAATATTTGAATAAAAATAATATTAATTTATTTCATAGTCTAGTCATCAACAAATGACAACAACTTACACATATCTCGTAGGAAGACCGTACAAAGTTGCCTTATATAACGCTATTTGTTGATACACAGTAAATCAAGAGTCGGGATTTACAGAAATTGAAGGTTTTCTTTCAGTAAGAAACTAGACTAAATGATAATTGAACTTAAATAATGTTTTATGTTCATTTCAAAAGAAATAAAAATCATTAAGAATTATAATGTTTAGTATTAATGATTAATGATAGTGATGATTAATTGGAGAAAATGTAATTACAATGAAAAAATTTCTTTCTGCAGATGTTACTCCTTCGGAACAAGAAGACTTGTTTATTCGGAAGCTACAGCAATGTTGTGTGGCATTTGACTTCCTGGATCCCGTTGCAGATCTCAAGGGAAAGGAGATCAAGCGTAGCACCCTCAATGAACTGGTTGAACACATCACAACCGGACGTGGAGTTCTTACTGAACCTGTTTACCCCGAAATCATCAAGATGGTACGTTAATAGGTTCATTAATTATATGATGTTTAAGAACACAGTCGAATAAAATATCAATGACTCTCTTGATAATACTCTGTCTAAAACAGCTTTGCTATTATTTATTTTTGCTTGAGAAGTTTTTGTTTTTTTTTATAAAATACAGTAAAATAATATTCAGGTGTATGACAATGAATATTTATTGGTAGAGAATTACGTAATTTATAAAAAATGTTGGAAATTTTTTTTTTTTGGAGTAACACGATAGGCTCAGAGAGTTTTACATTATTTACAGCATAAAAGGATTATGTTACATTTTTGTTTTTTAATTGTTTCAGATTTCGGCAAATTTATTTCGAACATTACCACCAAGTGAGAATCCAGACTTTGATCCTGAAGAGGATGATCCAACATTAGAAGCAAGTTGGCCCCATTTACAACTGGTTTATGAATTCTTTCTACGATTTCTCGAGTCTTCAGATTTCCAACCAGCTGTTGGTAAAAAAGTTATCGACCAAAAATTTGTTTTACAGGTAAATATAAAATAAAAATAAAAAATATGCACGATTATTAATTAAGAAAAAAATTACTAATCCTTTGTAATTAATCTGTTGACAGCTGTTAGAGTTGTTCGACTCTGAAGACCCGAGAGAAAGAGATTTTTTGAAAACTGTTTTACATCGTATTTATGGGAAATTCCTTGGTCTTCGAGCCTTTATTCGCAAACAAATTAATAATATTTTCCTTAGGTAACCTTTTATTATTACTATCGATATTAAAATGTCACTTTATATACATTTTTATGTCTATTTTGTACTGATTTTTCCTATTTTATGATTGTGTGTGTATATTTAATAAATCAATAATGTTACAGGTTTGTATATGAAACAGAACACTTCAATGGTGTTGGAGAATTATTGGAAATTCTGGGCAGCATTATCAATGGGTTTGCACTCCCACTCAAGGTGGAACACAAGCAATTTTTAGTCAAGGTATGAATTGAACTGTATCCATTTACAAGGTTGCATGTTTTTTATCTCAATAATTCTATACACTTTTAAAGATAATGAAAAGATAAAATGACTAAAATTTTCATTTAATTGTCATTTTGAATTTTAATTTCTAAATGGAGTTACTAAATTAAAATTCATTCGCATAAAACCATAAATCAATTAATTGATCAGAAAGGCTATATAACCTTCTATTACTGTTAGACATACTAGAAACTTTATACAATTATAGAACTTTATATTATGATTTTTATATTTGTCAAGTTATTGAATTTGTTTCCAAATAATATACGATAATTTGTGGTTTACTTTATCTTCATTAATTTATTTTCAACTCAACTTTTGAATTACATTAATATTATCAGTTTAACCCTTTACATACAACCCTTTGTAACCTACTTTAAAGGTTAAAAACGTACAAATAAAATTTACTCCATAGCTAAAATCAATAAAATAACTATGTTATATCATTATTATAGTGTTTGTTATTAAAAAGATTGAGGTAAAGAACTAATAATAAATTCAATTTGTACACAAGCAATTATTTGTTTTAAGCTTGGGAATAAAATTGATATAAATTATTTTTTAAAACAGAGAAACAAAGTTAATTTTTTTCGTAACTGTGTAAATAATAATAATGAAAGTAAAACAATTTACTGATTGATAAAATTATTTACAGGTGCTGTTACCATTGCATAAGGTTAAATGTTTATCGCTTTATCACGCGCAATTGGCGTATTGTGTAGTACAATTTCTGGAAAAAGATGCCACTTTGACGGAGCCTGTGGTGCGGGGGCTTTTAAAATTCTGGCCTAAAACATGCAGCCAGAAAGAAGTGATGTTTCTTGGTGAGATAGAAGAGATTTTGGATGTTATAGAACCTAGCCAATTTGTTAAAATACAAGAGCCATTATTCAGGCAAATAGCACGTTGTGTTTCGTCACCACACTTTCAGGTAGAGTATCATTATAAATGCAGTAAATTTTTTTCGGTTAACTTGAACATTTGAAAAGTTTTAATGACATTTTTTCCTTTGATCTTTTTTTTTTACTTTTAGGTTGCAGAAAGGGCATTGTATTTCTGGAACAATGAATATATTATGTCACTGATTGAAGAAAATAATCATGTGATAATGGGAATAATGTTCCCAGCTTTGTACAGAATCAGTAAAGAGCACTGGAATCAGACGATTGTTGCTCTTGTTTATAATGTTCTAAAAACTTTTATGGAAATGAACAGCAAGCTCTTCGATGAACTTACTGCCAGCTATAAATCTGAGAGACAAAAGTAATGTTTCATTTTATTTATCTATATTTAATTGATATTAAATAGTTAGGTTGTTGTTAAATTACATTTAAGTTAATACATGATTAAATGAAAGATTAATTGATTAATTAAATATGATAAATAGGTTTAAAAAATTTATTATTAAAAGCTAATTACTCTGGCTAGCTTTAGAATTTAAAACTACTTTTTTTTTATAAACAAAAGTTACTTTTTTTTTATAGAGAAAAAAAGAGAGAAAAAGAAAGGGACGAATTATGGAAAAAACTTAATGAATTGGAGGTTGAAAAACGCGGTGCGCTGATGAATACTTCCAACACTCCAGTTTCTAACACCCCTGCACCTGCGACTCGAGCTCGTCCATGAGCTGGTAATATAAAATTTCCTAAAGATGTATCTTTAAAATAAAAAAATAAGATGAATATATTTTTCTTTTAACATAATTTATTTTAAACTAATTTCAGACAATTGACATCCACGCTGTCCAATCGTTAGTCCTTAGTTCACGTCAGATTGTCTACAAAAAAGTTAAAATTGCAAATTATCATCGTTATTAGTGAAAAAGAGATACAGAAAAATAAAGTACGTCAAGTGGTGAGATCATTGATGTGTAAAGTAAATTAAATTTTCCCTGTTAATTTTGCCTTAAAGGCGAAATAAAATAAGAGAGAAGAACGTGGATTAACAAACGAAGAATACTACCATCGTATTCATGAATAATAAAATTAACAACAAAACTAAATAGTGAGGGACGAAAAAAATAATATTAAATACAAAAGAAAAACGAACATAATTTGAGGCCGACTAGAGGCCTTGATTTTTAATAATTTTATTGTGTATATTAATTTTTATTATTTTTGACAGCAATGATTTAAGTTGTATGATGTACTCAGTGTCAGCACATAATTTGAAAATGTTAGTCCCTTCTTAATAAAGCTCATTTGTGTTTTGTTGGAGAAGATGATTTAAGTGATAGATTAGTGCACTATTGAAGTATATTATTTACTTTATAATCATTTTATAGATATAATAATGCACGTTGCATCTAGGAGATAAAATATTTTATCTTCTTTTTTGCTTGAACTGACAGATATCTCACTTGAATTCTCATCGCCAACAATTGACAAGAGCATTGTTTGAAATGTATCATATATTCGTATTAATGATGATAACTATAACAAAAAACATGATTAATTAGGTAAATATATAAATAAAATAAATCTATATAAATATAAATATACAATATTATACAAAATATAGTAATATTGAAGATAAAAATTTTCACACTCAACTCTCTTTCATACACACAACAAAACACACATACACACACATACATATTTATCGAAGGGAAATTGAAACATATTAAACAAAAGAGTGTATTTAAACTAAACAAAAAAAAAATAAGAAGTATGAAATGATATTAAAAAAATGACAAATTTACAGTGCTATTCTATACTAACAGTGCATTGACCGTATTTCGTAGCCGGTCGCGCGTTTTTCAAGGACAATTCGCGGCTTAGTGTGTATGCAAGTGCGTGCAAAATTAACATTTATGAATAATAAATTAATTTAAAAGAAAAAAACGAAATCTTATGGAAGACAAGTAATGTTTCAAAATACATGTTGTTTTTTTTAAAATGAAAACAAATGAATGATTCAAGTAATAAATAATATTAAAAACAAATGGAGGAATGGAGAAAGCGAGAATTAAGATAAACAATAAAAAAAAAATTAACTGTACCAAAATATCCATGGTTACTTATAAATATAATAAATGATAGAGATAATATGTATAAGATTTATTCGGAGCTGGGCTCCCACTGGCCACCGTGAAAGTGTACGTGGGACGTTTTTAAAAATTTTCTTACAATTGCATAATAATGACTGCATTAGAGTTATTAACAGGTAGTTGGGAAAAAAAAAAATATTAATAATGAATGAGTGGTTGTTTGCTCATTTTTTTCAATAATGAAAAAGTCTAGATGTCGGTGTTTTATAACATAGCATTTTTTTGTTCTTACTCTTACTATTTTCCTTTTTAGTCACGACGACTCACGAAAGTAAATACGCTTTCAAGCGCACGGCCGTTATTATTTGTTAATTGCAAGTTCCGAAGAATAAAATAAAGAACAAATCTAAAAATATTTTGAAAAAAATTTGAATGCGTAAGTAAACATCATATGAAATGATTGTAAAGATGTAGATTCTTATCTCATTGTGTTAGTAGAATAACAAATGAAAAAAAAAAAAGAACAAGTACGAAAAACAATTTGATCAACTGTTCAATCGTAATACATAATATATTTTTAACATTTAAAATTAGTTGTATAGAAATGATTTAGTTAATTCCATTCCGCAGAGCTCGCTGTACAAATGATAAATAAAAATGGTAAAAACCGTCAATGTTGCTCGGATATTAACATTCAACACAAACATAATAATAAAACAATATTAAAGACAATTAATTCGTTTATTATTTAAAACTTTTGAAGAGTTTTTAATTATTTCGTAAGTATAATTTAATGAAATTATTGTTTTTATCTAATATATTATTTAAATTATTTTTTTCTAACATTTATAAAGACTTATTGATTAGTATTGAACTATTCTAATAATAATTTATCAAATAAAAAGAATATTTATAATTCATACATTTTTACATGAATGTTTTTTTTTTAATTATTATTTTTTTTTTTATTATGAAAAGTTCTTTTTATTACATGAAAGGCTTTATAAATAATTTGTTTACATAACTAGTGGGTTTTTAAATTCAGTTTGTGTATTTTAAATCAAATTACAAAATATTTTTATTGTGTGTTTTGTTTTCATTTTTTTCTTGGAAAATAATGACGTCATCTACACCCACAAGTTGCGAATTCGTCACTAGGGGGTGATACTAGTTTCTTCAGTCAAACAATAGAAGTAAAAAATGCGAGTTAAAATTTATCTTTCTTGCCCAATTTATATCAAAAATGATAATTTAAACTTGTATTCATTATGATTACGTCACATTTTGCAATAAATTTATCTTAAATTCATAATTTTGAAAATTATATAAGTTTACAGTTAAAAAATATGACAATAACACTCTGATAGTTAAATAATTACAGTTTTGTTTATAAAAGTATTGAAACAGTTTAGAAATCAACATTGTTAAGATTAGTAATGACATTTATCATCACAAATAAATAAAGTAAGTAATAAATATAAATATACTACATAAATTAAAAAAATAAACATAACCTTATTTTATAAGCAATAAAATGTCCTTTTGATGTCTTTTTTTAAATTGTTCATTTTAAATATATCTTTTCAGGAATATTATTATAACTAGATTGTAAAAAACTTGAGTCAGAATTGTATCAATAATGTTATCAAGAAAAAACAAAGATTTGCGAACTATCAAGGAAGGAGTGGTAGGAAAATATGTCAAAAAAGAAACTCCACCTGAAATGCCAAGTATGAGACAAAAATTCTATTGTATTTTATTGTATTATATCCTTATCCATTTATTTTTTTCTATTTATTATTAGTAATCAATGTATGGACTACTGAACCTAATGGAAGGAAAAGAAGACAACCCAATCAATCTGCTCTACCAGCATCAATTGTAAGAAATTAATTTCTTCGAATTACTTTTCCTTACATTTCGGAGTAATTAATAATAATGATTTATTTTTTCTCGTTAGCCAATCTCTCAACAAAGTATGGTACAAAAATTTGGAAACACAAAAACGACAACAAGTGCTGTTGGTCTAGGAAGTCACGAAGGAAAATATACTCCAAATAGTTCTGTTCCTGATTTAGCTCAAAGGTGCCTAGTCAAATTAGATTAAATTGCACTTCAAAATATAGTTATAAAGGTTCATTGAATCAAAACTTTTGGGTTCAGATTTGCCAGCTTATCTGTGAATTCTGGAGCAATTGATGGACCTGTGTCACGAACTGCAACACCAATGTATCATTTACGATTATCACCTACAATTTCATCCCATACATATGTCAATCAGTATGCAGGATCAGAATATCATTTAGATAGAGTTCAAACTCCGCAGTTGCCTTACGTACCTTTTGAGACTGATGGAGGATATGAAGACTTTAATCAAACTTCATATCACCAAAACCCTGGGTATTGACTTTATTCAATCTTCTGTAGTTTCATAAGTTGTTAGATTTTATTATGTTTACTTGCATGAGTAGAAATACTATGAATATCGATTAATTATTTTTAGATATAGCAGAGCTCATTCAGAAAGATCTAGTTCACGTAATGAGCAGTCAACAGAATTGCCTTTACCTCCAGGATGGTCAGTAGATTTTACTTTGAGAGGAAGAAAGTATTACATTGATCATAACACAAAAACAACTCACTGGTCTCATCCACTTGAGAAGGAAGGATTACCTACTGGATGGGAAAGAATTGAATCACCTGAATACGGTGTTTATTACGTGAAGTACGTGTATAAACATTTCTAATGAATTCATTAACTGAGCAAATCAAATTTTGAAATCATTCAACTCATACTATATAAATATTTTCTTTAGCCATATTACTCGGCAAGCACAATATGAGCATCCTTGTTATCCGTTGGAAATGCAAGCAGTACGAGTTGTTTCTCCTCCACGGCATACTCACTTCCACTCTCACAGTGTTTTAGTGCCAGCTAATCCTTACCTGAACGAAGAGATTCCTCACTGGTTGTATGTTTACAGTCGTGCATCAATATCCTTAGATAGAAAACTGCGATGGGAATTGTTTAGATTACCAGAACTTGATTGTTTTAATGCAATGCTCACAAGACTTTATAAACAAGAGTTAGAAGAGGTTGTCATGAGATATGAAGAATATAGGTATTTTTACTTACTTTTATTTATTCTTCTAATAAAGATAAAAGTTACTGCTGCTTGCTATAAATCAAGTGTTTTTCTTTTAGATCAGCATTACTTTGTCAAATGGAGCAAAGATTGAAAGAGTTAAACCCAGAAACTGGATCATCGTCAAATGCAGTTGCATTACGTCGATCTCTTCCCTAAGTTACATGATAATTGATCAAGTTATTTCAGTTTTTTTTTCAATTTAAAAATACTCAAAGGATTGTTTGATATACAAAAGTCAGAAATAAATAGAAATTATTTTTTTATTTTATAACTTAAATGGATAAATTATTATATTTCTAGAATATTAACAATGTTTGTACATAATAAAAAAAAACTAACTTGTATAGAACATCTTGTTCATCAGTTATCAAATTATGCTATTTGCTCCGTTTCATCTTCGAAGTCTGCAGATGAAAATATTGTGTCGGGTTTAACAGGAGTTAATGTTTGAGAATTTGCATCAAAATGTGTATGCGATTTTTGTTTAAATCCTTCGAAAGATAAAACTGTAGCCTCCTTTTCTCCTATTAATCTTAGATACCAAAGTGCTAAACAAACAATAACAATCCACTTATTTATTACACATCAAAACAATCAATTTTGAAAAATCAAAATTGATTTCTAACCTGGAAGTTTCTGTTCAGTTGGTGTCATAGGAAATTCCTCCTTTATACGAGAGTAAACGTAAAGTCCAAATGCATTCCATGCCAGGAAAAGATAAACAAAAGATAACCTCCTTTTTATTATTGCTGCACGTTTCAGATCTTTTGGCTTTTTAAAAAATCTTCGTAATTCCATTAACAACCAACGTTTCATTTTGAATTATTTATTAATAAATTATCAGGATAGCTGTATAAGTAAAACAATTTTTTCTTTTAATCCTGTAAACTTTAGAAATATTTAGCCGGTTTTTGGAAATCCTTATTTTCATCATGTGCATAATTCATTTCAGTGATTGAAGGTTAGAAATTGAATTAAAATTACCATTTCGCAATATTCTGAAAAAAAACATGTATACAAATAGTTTTGATATGCAAATAAATTATTTTTAATAAACTTGAATTCCCATAAAAATAATTACGAAATCACTTGGAAAACTAGTTTCTAATCGTCGACAACAAGCACTGTTGCCAGGTCGTATTCGCGCATTATATTATCAACTTATTTCTATTGGTTATGAAATTCAGGAGCGGAATAAATGAGTACTCCAGAATATTTTCATATAAATGATTGAACATCAATAAAAAATATAAAAATATTGAAAGATAAAATTTAAATAAAATTAAATCAGAGTATTAGGCGTTTTGTAGGTTAATAAATTAAAATTTAAATAAAACATTTAAAATAAGAGACGACATAATACATGATGGTGGTGCTGGTAAGTAGATAGTGATTGGTTGATGGGAGAAATACATATCGCGTCTCGTCGCTACTCGCCAAGAGTGGAATGGGAGTCTGGAATCGAATAAAAGGTGGAAGGAGGAACAGTTTCGCGCGTTGATCAGATTCTACAATTTTTTAAAGATTGCATTATTCGTAAGACTTGGTAGTTTCCTTTAAAAATAATCTTCAAGACTAGTCCATCCATATTATTCTGGTGAAATGTCCGTTATGGGCAAGGTAAGTTTTATATTAATTTTGATAACGATTAATTTTTTCCGTCCGGTTACAGACAACCCCTTTTGCCGGCGATTGACTGTCGCTTGATAATTAAGCCTATGCAAAAAGATATTTTGCCACTCGTTTTATACTATTAAAGACTCTTATATTCATTTTTTTTTATTGTTTTAATATTTTTATTGTTATTTTTTACCGACCTTTGACTATTTATCACAAAGTAAATAAACGATAAATTATTTTATCTAGAAAAGTATGTGTGAATAAATGAATTTGTGCATTTATAGCCGGTGCTGTACTCTTATTGGAGGAGTTCTTGTTCGTGGAGGGTGCGAATTGGTATGTAATTGTAATCATTCAATTTATTACTTTTTAATTGAAAAAAATTATAGTTTTTACAAAACAATTTGTAGGTTAAATATTTTTTTAAATTTTATTTATACGATTTGTTACGTTATAATGCCTTGGAAATATTTCTATCATACAGCGCTCAATTTAAAGGAGATCCCGTATGACATAAAGCCTGTGAGCTTGGTGAAGGGTGGTGGAGAGCAGCATTGTAATGAGTACAGGGAGATCAATCCAATGGAGCATGTTCCAGCACTTCATATTGACAACCATACGTTAATAGAATCGGTAAAATTGCTGATAATTTAGTAAATAAATAAAAGAATCTTTGTATTAAGATTCAATTGCGAACAGATATTGAAAATTATTGAAAGAAATATAATTCCTTATTTTAAATTTCAGCTAAATATTATGCATTATTTAGAAGAAACTCGACCACACCGTCCTTTACTTCCAGCAGATCCAATAAAAAGAGCAAGAGTCAGAGAAATCTGTGAAGTAATCTCCAGTGGTATTCAACCTCTTCAAAATTTAGTTGTACTAATTTACGTTGGTGAAGAACGTAAAAAAGAATGGGCACAACATTGGATAACCAGAGGTTTCACTGGTAATTATTATTTCTTTACAATTATCATTCATTTTTATTTATTGTTATAGTTATTAATTTATTTTTAAATTTTATCAAAAAGAGTATTATTATTTAAAAATATACATATCTGAATAAAAAAATAAGATTATCATTTAATTTTGCAGCTGTAGAGAAATTATTATCATCAAGTGCAGGCAAATACTGCGTAGGAGATGAAATAACTTTGGCAGATTGCTGTTTAGTTCCACAAATATTCAATGCAAGAAGGTTTCATGTTGATTTGCGGCCATTCCCAACCATCCTGCGAGTTGATCGTCACCTAGAAAATCACCCAGCATTTACAGCAGCTCATCCTAATAATCAGCCGGATTGTCCGCCAGAAGCGACTAAGTAGCAAGCAAGACAGACCACTCTCTTCTTATTCTAAATGCAAATCTTTAGAAGGAATAAGAAAATTTTTAAATGAAATAGAAAAAGAAGAAGATGTGGTCTAAATAATTATCACAAATTGATTACGATAGAGAATAACAATCTACTGATTATTTAAATAACCGAAAAACCAGACTATTAATTAATTTTTATACATAAATATTGTTATTTATCATTAATTAACTGCAGAGATTCCATATATCGCTATTTACTTTTTAAATAGCAAATTAATTTCACACCAAAGTATTGAATCTACGGGTACAATATATACAACAATATTGTTTACTATTCATAGTCTTTAAGTCTTTTATTCTCTATCGTAAAACAACTTTTGATGAAAATAAATTAACATAGTGGTGAGTAGAAGACGAATTACTAATAAATAAATATGAATTAATTTTTTTTTTATGTTATCCTATTTTTTTATCTTGGAAATTATATACATAATACATATTTTGTTTAATATGCAATAAAAATGTTAGCTTATGTTTTATTTTTTAAATATAAATATATTTTTTCATATTTCTTTTTTTGCTTTCTGATGATATTTTCTTTTCCATCATCAATGGTGATAAATATTGCTTCCGGTAATTTATTTCCTATTTTTTGGATTCTAATCAATTCTAGAAGAATAGGATGAAAATGAAAAACATTATGACAATATTATTTAGATATTTTTTCTATTGACACTGATTGTGTAATATTCAAGAGATTGTGTTATCGAAAATGGTTGTACAATTTAATGATACAATGATTTACATTGAAAAAAATTTATAAATAACTCAATTGTTAACAACATGATCGATTTTGCATTTTAAAGAAAAAATTAAGGTCAACCAGCATGAAAAAGAATTATAATAAAAATGGTATTTGACAATATTATAAATGTGTAAAAACTAGTACAAAGTAACAGACCAAAGAATATTATAATTGATATTGTTGTCAATAACTGAGTTATTTATTTTCATTCATGTTTAATATTTAATGGAAAAAAAATGACAAAAAAATTGAAAAACATAATGGAGAAAGAAAAACAGGCTGCTCAAACCATACCTTAAAGTTGATGAGGCATGGAAAGTACAAAAGATCTTCCTTCAATAGTTTTCCATTTCTAAAGCATTCTTAAAATTTACATTTTTTGAATGATATTAATCATATTTTGTAAAGGGCGACTTTACTTTTTAATGAAACTATTCTGACCTTAAATTTGAATTTCAATCATTCTGAATATTTTATAAAATAGCATCTAATGCATTGTGAATGGCCTAAAAGGTTCTAATAGATGATTCTAATATTTAAGAAGAAAATGTCATATTAGTAAAGTTCACTTTGTTACAACCTGTATATTTTTTTATAACAATCCGTCGCCACATTCTTTTTTATAAACAATTTTTGTGCAAAGTGTGTTGACATTGACATGAAACATGTAAAAAAGAAAATTGTTATTTTCATTCTCATTTAATTTGATTTTATATGTATATGATACGTGTCGAAGCTCTAAATAATATTAGTAATACTGCCAGCTTGCAAAACTAATTATAAAAAGAGAATAATATAATACATTAACTGTAACCATTGTATTTGAAAATAGAAGATGCAATGTATATTTTTAACGTACAAGAACTAATCAAGTCGAATTTTCAGACATTTAACCAATGAATTAAATGTAAATATGAAAAAGATTTAAAGCAAAAATAGTTAAAACAATTCAATGAGAATAATTGAAAGGAATATATTGGCAAGAATCTCTTCAAAATATAAAACAGTAATGAAGACTAATTAATAATTAGTATTCTCAAGTATGGTAATTGACGATGTAATTAATAATTGAACGGATAAATAAGTAACAAAAAAATGTAGTAATTAATTAAAATTGATTATTTTGAATGTATTCATAGGCCTTAAAAGTTAAGTTATTTTGTGAAATTGTCATAGAAGTTAAAAATAAACAAAAAATCTGTATGATATAAATATTGATAATAACAACAATAAAGGGTCAATCAATAGGATTATCTGGTGAATAACAAAAAATTTTTTAATTCAAAAATGATTGTGTAATATTTATGCTTATAGAAAATAATAAAATCTGTGTCATAGAAGTATTTTAAATCCTTACCATGGTTTTTTTATTAATGTGGCTGATATTATTGAATTTTTTTTTTTACTGATAATTCTTATGTTTGTGGAATATCCAATTTGTCTGTATATGCAGACACTCGAATATAATTAATAACATATTTATTTTTAAATAAGTTTTTATAAAAAAATACATTTCCTTAACTATTGACTAGTACCGTCTTTGTTGTTAATTATGTTCTTTTGCATTATTGATTTTTTATTTTGTTAACATTTTTAATTTATTATCCATGGAATGCATAATTAACTAAAATTTAATATTGAAAAATTGGCAGCAGAAAAAGAATTGAAATGATTCAAAGAAAATAGTATTTACACTCATGTTTTTAGTTTAAAAGAAATATGATATGTCATAATTTCTCATCTCACAATGGTATTTTTTTTTTCTTCTTTGCTTTAATTACTACAATAATTATTTTGTATTAATAATAATAATAATTATAATGATGACGATAAAATTTACAATATATTTTTGATAGAAAGCTCTAAAAAATAATCTTACTGTAGATTTAATTTAAAATTATCATCGCATGATTTTTTTGCTGCATTACAATGGCTTTGTACATTTCTAGAAATTATTTTTTTGTACATTTCAAAATTCAGGAAGGTAAAATCTAATATCCTTTTTATGTACTTTAAAATATGATTTAACTATATAATTAATACATCCACAACCTTCCTGATTTTGATGAAATAACATGAGTACACTTGACATTATTATTTAATATTATAATTAACATATCTTAATGATACGCCATTCTTATCGCATTAACAGATTTAATTATTTTATAGAAAAAATTATTTAAAAAAAACTATATACTTATATAGTATAATTATTGATATATATTTTAGTTTGATTAAATTATTCATTAATTAATAACCTTCAATAATAGAAAGAGAGCTTGCAGTGGAGAAATGTGAAAGATGATTTGACCACGTTGTTGAGAAATGGATTCATGGAAGATGGTTGGCCGGGTTGTGAAATGAATAACAACAGAATGCATTTAATGAGCGATTGTTTATTATGCTCTTATGATCACTTGTCATACAGGTAACGATGCTTTTCATGAATGAAAATAGTTAATATATTATATTTATTTATAATTATTTAACATTGAAATGGAAAAAAAAACGAATGGTGATAAAGAATAACAATTTGTGGATGCAAATAAATGTGGTTAGAATGTAGAATTATTAGAGTAAATCTTTATCTTAATATTTTCTGTAATAATAATAATAATCATAATAATAATAACTAATTTACAAACTATCAATAACAATAGCCGTACCCCGAAACTTAAATAAATGGGGTGAATTGGTAAAGGTCAATTAGGAAGAAAACGAAAAGCAAATATGACTCTAATAAAATAAATATATGGTGATCTGTAAATAAATTTAAAAAAAATTCTTTTTTGCTTTTACAAATTGGCAAGTCATATAATGTGATGTAATTATGGTCGATTCGCATTTTTTCCCTTTTGTTTCACTAATAAAATTCATTATATTTATACTTAAATATCTACACATTGTAGCTGATTATTCAATTAGCAAAGTAGTGAAACAAAATAAAAAAATATGCGTTTACAATGTGATTCAATTTAATGGGTTTCCTACAATGATCAATATATCGAACCATTTTATTTATGTGTTTGTTCACATAAACGGTTTTGTTTAAATCATTTTTCTGTTTTATTAATTCGCTATTGCCTATTCATTATACACTATTTTTGTTGTTGTTTTTTTTTCTTTTTTTTACCAGAACAGAAAAATTTCTTTATTTTCATACATTTATTGTACTTTAGAAATTTGCCTATTAGAATTTAATAACATTATTTTTTCAATGCGAAAATTGATTAATCATTTTGTGCTGGTAATATACAATTAGAATGATGATAATTTTAATAGAGTCAATTTTAAAAATATTTTATGAATAAATAAAAAGCCAGAGGAAAAAGACAAATAAACGTGAAGGCGACAAATTAAAGAAATATAGAAGAAAAAGCCATGATTTATCAAAAATTTTCATAACATTTTTTTGTCATTTATCAATTTCATAAAATTTTAGTAATTCACTTATCAATTGGAATTGCATGATATTCGGGACGCGACGACAGCTGTGATAAAAGGCGAACGATTGTGGTGATACACGGGGGGATATAAGAGAACTTGGTAAGTTCTTAAATTACATTTATAGCCAAAGGAATGTAAAGTACAATACTCGATCGTATGCGTTGAGTTACAAACGATTATTCCCTGGTACACTACTTGATCGCAGCCAGCTGCTCAAATTCAATATCGTGTAATATAACGTTAACACAAGTTTGACGGTCTTATGTATGGATCACGTCGCGCAATTTGATTACTCTATTATACAAAATAACAGTTTTCATCATTAAAAACATTCTTCTACTCACAATACTAAAACAACAACGAAACTTATTAAATAACATCAAGATGTTTCATTCATCACAATAATTTATATATCTACCATTAATTATACACGTGATTTTAAAATTTATTAACATTTTTCATAATTAAAATATTTTTAATATTTAATTTTTGAATTTTCACAGAATAATGTTGAACAAATTGTAAATTTCAGTGAACAATTATTGTAAAAATATAAACTATTGTGATTAAAATTATTGTATTGTGAAATGAATTATTTGTTATAAATATTATTGTTAATAAAAGAATGTTTTTAAATGAACTTTAGAGACTCCTGATAATAAAAAAAATTATTGATGAGATGATTAAACAAAAATAAATATTCATCATCATTAGATAAAGATTTAACTATCTAATTCAAGAATAAAACAAACGTGTATATATATATATAAGGAGCCTTTGCAAAGTGTTACAATTAATGATCGATCAATTAATTGATATTTGCGCGAATTTAACGTACTATAATCATTTCTCTTTCGCAACCACACACGCTTTGCAGTTTAGTTATTTAGCCATATTTATTACTAGAACACTATTTATGCATAAACTTATACTCAACAAGGTACTTTAATAATTTTCATTTATTTTTATATATATATATAATAATTTTTTTTATATATATATATATAATCTTTTTTATCCCCGAGCTTCTACATTCTACTTTTCTACCTCAACAACAACGTTTTTCGTATTTTTTATATAGTTTTTATCTTTTTTAATATCTTTCACTCTTATACCGTGATTTCTTTATATTTTTTGTTCATCTTTACACACTATTCTTACCCAAAATAATTGTTATCATATTAACAACCTACCCTAACTCTTGCTTTGCAATGAAATAACAGTACAATTTTGTACAATCCATCTCCATTTATATTATATACTTTTTCCTCGATATCTTTTTTATATTATCTTATTCTTTGTTATTTTTTTTATTTATTTATTTACTCTTTTATATTATTCATATTCATTTTCATTTGGTTTAACCACCTTGAAACTATTCTTTTGCCGCTTATAATCATTAACTGCTGATGCAATACTAATAATATCCCTTATATCATTATTATTATTAATTAATGACAGTGATGTTTAACGATTCTATATTAACAGTGATGTAATGTTTTATGTATGGCGACTACATGAATAATTTTTAGGCTTTCATCCTTTTTAATATTATTTTTTTATCTTTTGTTTTAAACCTTTCCAATGTAATTTTTAAACTCATTTTTATACAATTTTCTAAACTCAAATTTCTTTATAACAATTTGTAATTATCGGATTTCCTTTCCACAGTGACAGAATGCTAATTAGTGAATGAAAGACAGTTAGTTAATGAACAGTAGGCAATTAAATTTTGAGTAAAAAAAAAAAATTTGAGAATAGAAAAGAAATTTTTTTTTTTTGTAAAAAGTAAAATTAGTTAGTAACAAAGGCTTATATGATAACAACGATGATAACCAGTTTAAAATTCGCTAGTGCATTTAACGAGCTTCATAATCATTATTTAATAAATATTTCAAGTATTTGTTAATTTTTCTTTCATTAAAATGGAATTTTGTCGTCATTTTGAAATCTTTGAAAAAGTGTGTTTTAGTGAGCGTTACATCGGAAGTAATAATAAAATCTCTTTAATTATCAAAGAATAATTTGTTCAATATTTGTTTTTTCATTTCCCTTTTGTTATTCTTGTTCTTGTCTTGCTTTAGATACTGTTATCATTATTTGTTTTTAGTTATTACATTCTATTGTCAAGTGGTGCTATGTATCGTATAAATTTTTTTTGTGACTTGATTGAGTAATAATGTACATTATTGTAATATTTGATTATTAATAGTGATGAAGTAAAATCATTTTAAAAAAATGATTTTTTTTTTAAACAATAGTTACAATAAAAATTTTCATCTTTTTAAAATAAAAATTAACATCTACAATAGTTGATATATAATTATTAATTAATCAATATATATATATATATATATTTTTATCTCTCTACAAACATACTCTTTGCATTGTTTAAATATTATTACATTTTAAAAATGATTCATTTTTTTCTTATTTAGCACGATAGCACCATTTTGCTGTCGATCAATAAACGATTTATTTTTTTTAATGAATGGAATTAATGAAAAATGATCTGATTGTAGAATATATGCATTTTAACAGCTAATATCACTGTTAAATAATTCAACAATTGTAGTCACGATTAAAGGGAAGAATGAATACGTGCTCTCGTTATGGCACAGAGAATTTAATGGAGCGTAAAAGTGACATGTTTAGTTGTTAATTTTTTTACAATTATACTTTGCTCTTTGCTTTAGTTGTTATAGTTTTTTTTTTTCTGTTTTACTCAATGTCAGTTAACGATGACATATTTTTAATTATTGTTTTCTAATCGTTTTGATAATTAGAAAAATCAAATAAACTTTTTCGCATTATTATTGTTACTAACATATATTTTTTTATGTTAATTTTCAACTTTAATCTTAATTGTTCAGCAAATCGCAGTTAATCTACAAGATTTGAGTTAATTGATTAATACAATGATAAATTCATGATGTAGCCTAGCACACACAGCCAAGTAACGTGATATATCACGCAGGATGGTAATAAAGATGTTTTATTCTTCAATTTTTTTTTTTTGTTTATCACGAGATTTTTTCGTTTTATTTATTTACAATGAATTTTTTATATTTATTCATTGTAATTATTAAACGATTTTTTTTTTTTTTAAGTTTTAATTATTAACTATGAATTGCCAACGTGCGAAATATTTTTTGATGTTAGACCCATCTTTCTTTTTAATTTAATTAAATTTATTTAACTACTCGTGTCACATTGAATGATTTAACTTTGTTATGTTAATGATGAAAATTTGCAAAGAGAATGATTTGTTGACATGTAATTTGAAAAATGACCATCTGTATCAAGTCTTTCTACGCATCTATTATTATAATTGTTCACAATAATTAATGTGACATTGATGTGTACACACGTGGAATTGAATTTCAATAATTATAGAAATAATAACAAAAACCAAAAAATACTCGTGTGCACATCTATATTAGTTGAGTTTATGATATATAATATAATTTACTTTTATATGACTGTAAATATGAAGACGTTACATTGATTCTTCTACAATTCATCGTGATGAATGTGCTAGTTGAATGAATTATTTTAAGAGTCATCAACTCTTTTGTGATAAAAAAAAAAAATTAAATATGATTTTATAGAATATAATATCAAATTATATCTAAAATCATATTTAATAATTTTTCATGTCTGTAGAAATTAACAATTTGTGAATAGTATTGTAAGTATAAACAATATTACATACGTTTTTGAAAAATTTGTTTACTTCATTAACAGACTACCTTTAAGGCCAAGGTAAATAAAAGTTAGTCTTTTAAAGAGCTTATATTACTTCATTAAAGGTTTCTTAACGGAAATTGCATTGAATTGGGATCATCAAAGAGACATGCACAGACTTTGTATGGTAATGGATATAGGAATATCTAGCTGAAGCATAATTTTTAATTAACCAAGTTCCTTCAAAAAAAAAATAAAAAATAGAGGGATTCACTACACAAAATACTTGATGTTAAATGTTGATCATTTCTAGCGCATTAAGAAAAAAAAATGAAAGAAAGTTAAGCTAAATTTTGATTTGTCATAGAATAAGTCTCACTTATTGTGACTTATAGCGATAATTGATCAATATAAAAACATTGAATATAATATTGAAATTGGTTCTTTGACCACATTATAGTCTGTAAACACATCTCTTTGATGCTTACCTAAATTTGCAAGGAGACCGTATCTTCCGCGGTACGTTAAAGGAAAACCAGCTTCTCGGCATTCTCGGCGACATCACGAACACAACAGTGATTGTATTTGTGTAATATCGACCTTATTGTTCAAACTGTGAATACTGTCAGGTACGCAGTAGAAAGCTCCTTTTCCGAATCGTCCTTGCTCGTCGTACATTGCTTGCCGTGAAGCTATTTTTCCTGCGCAAAACAAATTGTCTACATTTTTCACACGACTATTGATATTTTTTTTTTTTTTGTTTATTTCAAATATTGCCAACTATTTGAATCAATTTATATGTTTGTACACCGAAACAATCTAATAATATTAAACTTTAGAAATCCTTAGAGAAAACACAAAAAAATAGCTTCCACCCATTTCATTTAGAAAAGCCACTTACCCTAATTAGGTTTTATGCATCTACCAGTTGTAAAACAACGTTAAGACCAATATTAATCAATTCGATTTCGTTCGAGTTCATTAACGATTAAAAGTTTGTTTTTTTTTTTTTCTAAACAAATATTTATAACAAATTCATTATAATTATCAAATTAGGACGAATTACATGATTTTGATAATGAAAAACGATATAAAACGCGAATCTTAGTGATAAAACACAAACTGTGGTAGTTGATTTAGCCTAAAGCTCAAGGTAATAGATATTTTACCGATTCACAATAGTGATAAAGACACGATCAATGGCCTTAGTTAACCCAACATTCGATAAACGACCGTTACCCCAATTTATCAACGTAACTTAAATCTCTTAAATCTAATAAACTGATGCCCTTATTTAATATTATTATTAATTATCAATTACTTAACAAAAATTTTATACTCATTTTCAATACAAAACACTTTTTGAGTCTGTTAATGAATTATAAATTTGTGTCAGTTACTTGAACCATAAAAAACATCTCAATCACACCTAAGAATTGTAATGATAGTAATAATAATGATAAAAATAATAATAATTATTGTAATCAATAGTTAATAGCAATAATAATAAAATCTATCAAATGTTATGATGCTTCGAATTAATCTAACTAGCATGTTTCAATCGTTTATTTCGCACGTTATGTGATATAAACTATAAATTTTTTGTCACGATGATACTTTGTAATCCAATTGATAACAGATAACAGATAATATATGATAAAATGTGAATATTTTGCTTCGCTTACGGACGCAAATTGTTTTTTTTTTCTTGTTAACAATAATATATAATATCATTGTTTTCTTAATTATATTCTATATATTTTTTTCTTTAATAATCTAATTCAACTTCCTCATATATATATTATATATATGCATATATTTATATATCTTTCGTTTCTTTCATTTATATGTATATATAATATGTATTCATATACATGCATATATATACATAATTATATAATTTTCTATATAATTCTCTCTATTCCATTCTTTGCTCTGATTGCTCACTTCTTTCTTGTCATATATTAATATCCTTTGTAATATTTATAAATATACAAGTTTTTTTTTTTATCCAAGAACGGTAAACCAGCGCCATTTTGTTCATTGATTTGCGATCATTCGTATATGTTCAATTTTTTCAATATGACTTTAATTGATTTTATTTCTTTTGTATTCAATCACTGTCGGACTATTTTTATATTTCATTTTAATGTGAGCTCCTAAAACATTGCCCTACTCCAGAATGTAAACGACAATCGCGGAATATTTAAACTCTCTAATAAAAGTATCGGTTCACTCGTTCAACAAGTGGAACGTTGGATATAGACATTGTGACAATATTTATTGTTATTTTAAATTTAATTTTCTATTTTTTAATTACTTTTTTTTTCATTATTGTTTATTTAATATATCTATTTAAAAAAATTCATCTATACGAGCAACTGCTCATTTTGGACAAATTCATTACCATCTTTGTTATTCTATTTGTGAATGTTATCATTACTTATATTCTCTCTCCTTAATGGAATAAAAAAATATTCGCTCACACTCAACTCTTCACGTATTCCCATCTGTTGCCCTGTATTATTTTTATCTTATTATTATTACAATAAATCTTTGATTAATGAACCTCACTGAATTGTTCTATTATTTTTTTTTTTCATATATCATTTCGTCTTAATTATTATAATTAATTATCTTTGTCTACCTCTAAATCTAAGATGTGTACGTGTTTATTTTCATGTCAATTAACCAACACACGCAAAAAATGATGAAATTTTTTCAATGAAAGAATGTGCTTTAAAATGAATTAATAATTAGATCGAAAATTATTACTGATAATTAATGACATTATATATTTATATCTAATAAAATTAATTGTAATAGAATTAAAAAAATTAATTATATTACTTTTGTTAATAATATTTATATTATTATCTGGCTTTATGAAGTGTAAAAATAAAATTATGAAAAAATAAAATGTCCAACTAATAGTTAAAATAATAGTCAAGTACAAAAAAAGATCTTTATATTGATGCAGCTTCGAACTTTGAACTTATATATGTATCTAAACATATCAAGTTAGATATATACATATTCAAAGTATTCAATTCAATTATTTTGCAAAATAACAATACATTGTAACTAATTACGTAACCGGACCCGCCAGTTATATTGGAATATTTTTAATTATTATACTCAACAATCAAATGGAAAATTATTGCGGATTTGTGAGAATTAATAATCTTTGGTATTAATAATGGTTATATTTTTCTCTAGACGATGAATAAATAAATTCACGGAAGAGAAAAATAAAGAACAAGATAGAGATAATAATAGTAATAATGGAACAAATATTTCAATCTAATTATTATATCGTTTAAAAGCTAATGCAACAAATTTCAATTATTTTTAAGCACAATCTATATGAAAAAAAAAAAAAACATGGCAACCATTTGTAACATCAAAAAAGATGAAAGATTAAAAACAATTAATCATTTTTTGCGTTCAACAAGACTTCGCATAAACAAATTGATTGTGAGTAAATGTATGAATGTTGTAACTGGTTTATTGAAATTATTTCACGTAATCTATATCGAGTGTAATAGTGTTTATATTAATGTATATGTGTGATAAAGCCCCGTAACGTGGTGTATCACAGAACAATTGTAATAATTGTATAACGAACATGTAAATAACGATATAATATATTAATTAATATATTATTATATATTATGTATATATATATTTATATATATATATATATATTAAGAATTTGAGAGATAGATAAAATGTTAACGAGCTGTGAGAGAGAGATGCATGAAACACATGATGTTGGCAATGCGTAAAGCGCCTAAAAGTGATGTTTAACGATATTTGTTTGTTTGAAGATCTACAAAGTATAGTCAGAGAAATCGGACAATGTGAATAGTTTTTGTTTTTGTGGTAGAACTTGAGGAAATAAAAGTTGCCCCTCAAAGTGCGATTAACTCTAAATGACGGAAGTCAATAATGGGGATGATCGCGGTTGAATCGCGTGGAATCAATGAATAATTCCGGGGATAGCATTGTGACGCGCTCGTTTAACTTCTTCCTCGCTGATCCGTTGTTCGATTAGGTACTGAGCAGTCGCGATAGCATTTGGAAAACCCGTGATAGTCACAATGCGGTTCCTCGTGCCGGGCGCGAACATGCCCTTCTTAGATATCTGAATGTTGGCGCCACTCAGGTGCTGAATCTCAATGAGGTTACGACCACCGGGTCCCAGAATAGCTCCCACTATAACCTCTGCAATTTCTATATCTACTTTCTTGGTCTCCTTGCTGTTGGCGTCTATCTGAGTAGGACTCTTACTTACGAGTGACAATTGGTTTGTGCCCAGGCCGAATGAATTGTTGTTCAGATGAATGGCACTTGCGGCAGTGTTGTTCTGCCGAAATGGATCGAATGTTTCATATCGCTCAAGTGTACTCCGTGGTGTTGGTGATGTAGAACCGAGTGTCGGGACCGTGCCAATTGGACCAAAAACTCCTCCATTGTTGTTGGACCCATTCGCTGAGGTCGCACTGTCAATTGGATTGCCCAGATAGCTTACACTTGATGGCATTCCAATACCCATACCAAGAATATTGTATTTGGCTAATGTGGCGATCGCCGTGAGGATTTCAGTGGCTGCTGCCTCAGAAAAACCCGCACTCCTCAAACTTAATTTTATGTGCTCGAGAAGCTGAGTTGTCACAGGTGCTGTACCAGCAGTTATTGCTGCACCCAAGTTCAAATTCAAACTGAGACCAGCGCCATTTAATAAACTCACTAGAACAATCATCAACAAACTAATAAATATCATGTTTACAATTCTTCCATTAATCAACTATTTAATTAATTAGTATTTTACCGGTATTGAGGCCAGCTGGAGATGTATATGTTGGTGTTGTAGCAGGTGCTTGTGCATAAGGACTTCCTGTTGGATTGTAATTAGCTACGGGCCCACTTACGTCTGCATAGCTGACATTTGGGCATGTACCACTTTGAGGATCATCCGCTATTTTAGCAAGAATCATCAACAAAGCGTTACGATTATTTTCCTTATCTCCAATCACCGTAATACAACGTTCTTGGAGGGATAGATCTTTAGCTTTTTGACTTATTTGAACATAAGAACCAGATTCTTCTTTTATTTGTTTTATGTAATTCCCTGCTTTGCCTATTATCATTCCTGCTGTACTATTGGGTACTAGTATTTTCACCTAGAGATGTAAAACATCATTTATTATTGTACATTTATTATTACTGCTGTTATGTAAACATAAACTTAACATAATTATATTCCCTTAACATATTATCATGCAAGAAAATGATACCTGTTTATCCCTCTCTGCCGTTGTCTTGCCCGAATCAAAGTCCACAGTTGTTTTTGGTGTCAAGTCAGGCTTCTCGCGAATCTTATCCATTATAAAATCCATAACAGCCATTATAGCTTCTATACTTCCCGTTATCAAACACACACGTTCAGAAGTTCCTAAACGAATAAAAAATAAAAACAATCATAAACTGAATTGAGTTCTCGTCCAACTATCGATTTGGTTCCAAAATAAAATTGGCGCAATATTTACCTGGATAAAAATCTCGTGCTTTTGACATTTTAACCCTCGCTTCAGTGTCTTTTTGTAATTGTGCAATGGTATCACCGCCCTTTCCGATAATGGCCCCCGCTGCCACTCCTGGGACGAGTACTTTGAGGTGATACATTCCATCTCCTCCTGCTTGACAAATTAAAACGTCATTGACTCTAATAAACAACTTTTCAGCTTGAATATCCTAATGAAATGTGAAGGTTCATATTTATAAGGTTGGAAGAATATTTTTAGTCTATGAAATAAATAGAAAACTTTTATCATAAACCACAAAGTTATTGAAGCGTTGTTAACAATTCACTAGAAATCTGATTAATTCCACTGGTGAAAAGTCTTAATGGTTAGAAACAAACAGCTGTTTGACAGGCGACAAGTGTCTCTTAACTGGTTCACTTTCGACCTTGACCCACGACCCAACTGCTGCAGTATCTGAAGACTCACCAGTCTTATTCCACATCCTGGTACTGCAAACACTGGATAAAAAATTTTTTTTTTTTTTTTCAATTGATTTTGACCTTTAGTTGATTGTAAACGACACTGGCAAGTGCGATGTTAGGTGAGTATGAAACAATGATGACGCAGAGGAAACTTGCGAAGTCACGAAACCTACGATACAGCTACTAGAGTCCTCCATTAAACGACGTTCTCAAACGCCCACGCATCGACGAATGTCAAATTCGAAAATGCGCCGTCACGAAGTTGCTACGAGATGAAAATAGTGAAGGTGTACGCATGGAAAAGTTGATTGGAAATGTCTGAGAAAAATAGTTGGACATAAATAGCTCTAGGCGTATTGAAACATTGTTAAGTTATTCGTGGTATTTTCCAAAAGTGTTACAACTTGCCGTGGCAACACTTGAAGCTAAAAGCTTCAACTTGCCATTGCAGTAGCCAACGTTTATCAATCCACGATGAAATGAACATTGACGACTCCCTCACGATGTTAACGAGTAAGAAAGCTAGAGGGAGGGAGAAGCACGAGTGACGAAGAGAAGAAGTGAGAGCGACAAATCTCTTATCTGACAATTGCCAGTACTAACGTATGATTTGAGTTAAAAAAGAAAGAATAATTAAATAAAATTTGTCTAAATGATTACCTGATCCGTAGTGAGACCTTTTAGTTGCTCCGTTCTCAGCGTCGCAATCAAGGGGCCGCTTCCTGGAGTCTGCGATTTCTGGGGAGGGACACGTCTCCATTCCCGAGTCGGCGGCCATCTTGCGAGTCGTTTGCGCGCACACGGAGACGGAGTGTGCGTGCGTACTACTTGTGTTTGTGAGGCCTGCAGGTGTGTAAGGAAACGAAACGGGACGTAGTGACACTGACTGCCAGGGACGAACTGGTAACTGTTTAAGATTATTTTTCAACGTCCCCAGGAACTTAACAACCTCTTATTCACAATAAACAGTAACGGAACCCACGGGTGGGAACGATTTACTGCGGATCGGATCGTGGGGATGATGACAACACTATGACAGTCCAACACGATCCGCTCGCGGGAATCCGCGTCTCACTGGCGACTGCTCGAGGCTCCCTTGCCAACCAGCTGGTTTGTTACTCGATGGATTCCGTCGATTCACCGTCTCTCTCACTCTTACACACCTTATGCTATTACCCCACTCCTATGGCCAATCCGCGCACTTGGACCCCTCCGCCTCTCTATAATATATAGAAGGGAGAATCTCTTCTACTTCCCAAACTAAACCTCCCAACGCACGACCACGTTTGCCCAGGGCCGTAGCAGTTGCCCGAGTGCAATGAGGCCGCTTGCATAAAGCACCCCTCCTCTACTCTTAACTTGTCTACGTCATGCAGCACCACAGTCACACGTCGACGCCATGGCGCAGGCGGTTAGAAATGCGATCGTTCTTCTATTCTATCCAACAAGGTAACTCAGCCCTTCTCCCCACACACCACCCATTTTACACATTTTTCCAGCAACTGTTGAAGCTTCTGTTGCAAAGTAAATAGCTGCGAATTGACCCTCGCCGATTGCCTCGCGAACAAAATATCCAAGCCACTTAGAGACCGTTGAATAACTCAACGTAAAAGGTTAGATTTTTTCTATCAACTCTCGAGGTGACGAACATTTTACGATTCTACCATCTAAACATCATCATCTTTTACGTCAACTTCTAATACTTGTATTGTACTGAGTTCCAACTTCTATACAGGAATTAACACAACATCAGAGCAACCTTATCCTTGAATCTCATCTCTAATGTCTATCATCATCTCTGTAGATTATTATTTTATTTAAATTCATAAATTGAAATTTGTGTCAAGTTTTCGTCATAATCGATTCATCAATAATGGATCGTTCATGACATCACTTCAGGATATAATAATACCATGTGTTTAATGTAATTATTTTCCAACTCATTTTTATATTTCATCATCAGTTATAAATTGTCATTTTTCTAGGATTTATTTATAAAACGTATCTCTACTCCAATAAAATCCTGCTGTTTGCTACTCATCAAATAATGTTGCTGTTGAGTCAAAATGTTATGCTGATTGTGTTCGACCTTTATATTATATACTCAAGAATGTCATATCAGTGTGTAAAGCGATTGTAAATCGCATTTTCTTATCGCTTTGGTCATTAGGGCACAGCATATAAAGAACGTATAAGTGCTAGTAGGCCTTTTGTAAGCTATTGTAAAATTCATTATCAACCTTAAAGCGCATTTCTGGAATCAAAGTATCTTCTTTAAATTCTAAAGGCGCTTAAAATGAAAAACCTTTTAAAAATGAAAAGTTTAAGCGAACGAGAAAACAACTTCCAAAGTCATTTAATTGCTTCGAAATATGTCTAGAATCATTCATTGCGATAATACACGACCGTGACACGAATTAATTGTATTTTTATATAGTGTTGGTCATAACAGCACTACACAATAGACTTTTACATAGATATACATGCATGTATTAGAATTGAAACTCAAGTCGTATGGCTCGATTCATCGATCAGATTGTAAACGAATCGTCAACGTGATTTGTTTCTTTTCCTTCTTGCTCCCTTGCGCACGATTACGTCCAATTACCAATATGTGCGTTTATTACATAACCTCCTAAGTGTTCCAGATTGGCGCTATTACAGCGCTCGGACCATTCTACGTACGTCTCTACACACTAACGTTGTTATAGACCAACGTCTTAGATTTATCAGACTTCAGACTCTCATATTTAACTTCTTTTGCTTCTTTCGTACACGTTACCGTGACATCGATGCGATAACTTATATGTATATGTATTTTATTTATACTCTAGACTTTTACTTTTACATTTTTACAATTAAGGACATTTAACTTAATAGTAATTGTGACTAATTGTCATGCCCTTAAATTTTTTCATGACTAATGTTGAGGTATTCTTGATGACTTAAAAACCTTTTTCTTAATAAGTATATTATATAATCTCACTGATGACTGGTATTGCTCATCCACTTTACAATCACTCAGTCAAATCCTTTTTATAATAAAAGTCTTCGTGGTAATTAAACAAGTGCAAATCAATCAGTATTTGCAATTAACTAAAAGGTTTGTAAATTTTTGTGTTAAAGATACATTTTATCAAGATATTTTTATCTGAGAGATCAAAAATTTTATCATTTCAGATTTATTTGAGTAGCAAGAGGTTGTATTTTACCATTTAATTTCAAGATTTTAATGAGGATTTTAATTGAAACAGATAAAAAGCTCTGTATTTATTAATATCTATGCATATGTATCTGATGCCAGGTAAATCATTTAGATGAATATAAATTAGATTAGACTAAAAAAAAAAATATATTTGAATAAAATTGATTCTTGTTCTATATGTTTACACGATCTAGCACAGTAGAACATACAGTTTTTCTTGAAACAAAAAAAACTTCATAAAATAGATTATTCTTGTCTAATAGAAGTTGTGTGAGAATTATTTATTATATTCAATATAAAGAAGTATATAATGGAATAAAAATTTTTTAACGATTTATTATCATAGACTGGTCTTTATCCAGTCTAATTTCTACAGTTGTAGATATAAAAGGCGTATGCATGACGACTTCAACAGATCTAAATGTTCATCCAAGGACATTTTGTATTAAGGCTTGGTATGCACTTTGATTATGTTAGTTTTTTTGTTTACTATTTATTGCTGCGATTGAATCTAAGTAGACGTGCTATTATCAATGTTACTTAGATTTAATTTTAAACTTTAACTATCAGTATTAAATACCTGTTTATATATCTTGATGATAATCTTGATAATTATTCATGTTAAAAATGTCTTGTAGATAGACTATTGTTATAACAAAGACAAAATTAATTTCACATTATTGTTGTCATTAAATTCCTTAATGATTACATTTAATTCTATTAATAGAAACTTTCTCTATTATTTATTTCAAATAATTTATCGAAATTCATTTTTTCGTGTTAATTTCATTGTAATAATATTTTACTAACGTTAATTACATTGAATTCCGTTTAAATGATTTAAATTTTCGCGGGAAATAGTTGAGTCAAATTACTAACTAAATTAAATCAAAAAATTATAAACAAACAAGTCTTAAAATATTTTAAATATATTCTTTTTAATTTAAAATAATTGAAAATATTTATTTCAATATTTTTATTATTAATAAAAATATTAAATAAATATTCATTTGACTAGTAACTGTCATAACAATTATAACCTTATTTTACTCACGTGACAGTGTTTGTCTTCGTCTAAAAATGAGCATATTATTTCTTTTATACGTTTAAAAATTGTAAAACGTGTTATATAATAATTTCCTGACTTAAAAGTATACTATATTATAGCTTAATAATGTCAGCAATCATGGGACCGTGGAAGATTCACCATTTGTGTCTAAAAGGTACATAATGGATCATGGACTCCAAAAAGCAAATATAAAGGTATTATTTTTTGCTACTGCACGTGAGATTACTGGAATAAAAGAGACTAAGATACGTGTTCCTACAAGAATATCTTCAAAAGAACTTAATAATATAATTATTAAGAATTTTGGATTAGAGAGTATTCAGAGTAATATCATTCTTGCTGTTAATGAAGAATTTATAGAAGATAATGTCAAACTCCAATTGTGTGACACAGACGAAGTTGCTGTCATCCCACCACTTAGTGGAGGTAATATTAATTAATTAATAAATAATATTTAGATTCTTCTTTTTTTGCATTTTATGATAAATATCTTATTTATTTTTCAGGATAACATGGAAGAACCAAAAAATATTCTTAAACTCCAACCGAATAAATTAAAAATTGATGAAATAGTAGATTTAGTAACTTCTCCATCATGTGGAGCAATATCAACATTTATTGGAACTACCAGAGACAACTTTGAATCTAAAAAAGTAATTTAATTTCTATAAAATATCGCAGAAGATCATAGTTTTTACTTATTTTACTATATTTTTGCGATTAATTATTTCACCGGAAAAAACTGTAATAAAATTAGTTCTGTAATTATGTTAAAGGTTTTGAAATTAGAATATGAAGCTTATGAACCAATGGCTTTAAAGGAATTAAAAAATATCTGTGATAAAATCAGGGAAAAGTGGGATGTTAAACATATAGCTATTTTTCATAGACTTGGTGAAGTACCAGTTTGTGAAAGCAGTGTAATAATAGCAATCTCCTCTGCACATCGACAAGAGTCACTACAGGCTGTTCAGTTCACTATTGACACCTTAAAGTCAAATGTCCCAATTTGGAAAAAGGAAATATATGATACAGAAGAATCAGCGTGGAAGGAGAATAAAGAATGTGCGTGGGCGTCTAATTAATAATTTATTTTTATGGTTATGAAATTTTATAAATTTTATCAGTTGCTCGTTATTAAATAAAAACTTTAAAAACTATTAAAATATAAGTTTAATTAGTCATGAATAAATAAATAGATTAATTCTGCATGACCAACTAATTTTGATTTTTTTTTCATTTAAATAGATAACGAAATCATTCCTAAATCAGAATTTCCAAATGATTGTCAAGATGACAAAAATGAAGTTAAATTAATTACTGAAGATCATGTAAAAAAACAAATTGAACTCGATCCTGATCAAGTTCAAGTGAGAGCTGATTCTGCAGAATTGAAAAGGAGAATTGATTCATTTATCTTCAGGAAAAGGCAACAAGTTAATAGTGTAAATATTCAAGAATTTTGCTGTCATAGGTGTGTAAAACAATTTTCTCAATTAAGATTTAAGTTTATTGACTAAGGAAACGATGTAATAAGTTTTAAAATCTAGTCTGAATAATTTATGCTAATTTTATTATTATTAAATAAACTGCTAAATATTAACTCTATTGCAGGAATGTAAATGATGAAAATGAAAATTCTTGTGCAAGAGTTGATGCGATACTAGTACGTCGTAAAGACTCTAAAAGTCACGTTAAAGTTCACCGAGTTTGCAACTTACAAGGACCACAGACAAATTCAATTTCATCGACGCGAGAAACGAATCAAAAAGCACTTGAAATAAATAACCCATCATTAGATGAGAGATTATCAGTTGCAGAAAAATTCCTCAAAATTAATAAACCTGTCCCACGTGATATATATCAACGAATTAAGAACATTGAGGACAGATTGTTATATCTTGAAAGTATTTCTCCTGAATATGGTGATTTTTGTGTAAGTAGATTCTTGAGAATCATTAAATTGATTTAAATGATAATTAAAAAAGATTTTTTATTCTTTTTTAGATTAAAGAAAATCCTGAAAGTCCTAATCATCATTCACATAATGCAAAAAGAGTAAGATTTTGATGTGAAATATGAAAAATAAACCAAAATATTGACTTTTATAATATAAATCCATTGGATGATTTATTTTTGATGGAATTATACAAAGAATTAATAGTTTATCATTAATATAGTCGGTAAGAATAATACTTTTTAAGATTTATTTTATATTTCAAACTGAAATAAATCAAAGAATATTCTTTTACATTGAAATGCATCAAATTATCATTAATTTGTAGGCAAGTTGATACCAATAAAATTTTTTATTTGAGTAAATTTTCAATTTGTGGAGAAAGTGATAAACACTAAATGTTAAATAAAAATAAATTATTTACATATAGTGAAATTTCAGCTGCTTTGCAATTCTGCGAATATTTATGATTTACAAACATGCAAGCTGTTTGCATGAATACCAGCAAAAGTATTCAAACATCTTTCAGTACTTTTCATCCCGCAACTCATGTTTTCTTATAGTAGTTCATGAATTTTTTTAATCTATAACGTAATATATAGCTCATTTCACCTAGTAGCTCATTACTTTTAACTAATATTACCCAGCTAAAAATAATAGACTTAATAATACCTTATAATTTTTATTCGTATAATTTATGTAATTGATGATAGCATTTCTTTTTTTGTAGACTTTCTCTGCTACTGAACTGGATTAATATAAATCGTGCGGGAGTTTTAATAAATGTGAAAATTCGTGAACAAAATTGGAAAAGTAAGAATTTTTCAATTGTCATCAAATATATAATTTGATTGTCATACGATTATAACAGTAAAACCGTTATTCCTTGAAGAGACTGAAAAGTAGGCTTGCAAGTTGATAATAATTCTTTTTATGGAATAGAATTCAAAGTCTTGAAGACTCATTGATATGCTCAATACGTTTTTTATTGACCTAACAGCAAAGTATAGTTATAGAGATAATTTTATCATTTTATACAATAATTTATTAATAATTTACACATTTTCTATGCTCCAAAAAATTTTATTCATTTTTATTTTTATATTTACAATATTAATAATCACTTGAATGACTTGAGAAAAAAGTGAAGACATTAATTTAATTTGTCAACTCATATAAAATCAAGTTCTTCTGATTTATGTACCTAATTTATTATTCAAAAGGGACAATTTTCTATTTCAATTCAATGAAGAAATTATAAAAAGTTTAAACACTGACATATAAAAATGCAGTTATTTATTTCAAGCTAGAAATGATTGATGAGCATTTTTTTTTATTGACATTTAAATATTTTAGAATCATCAATGGTCAATGAAATAAAGAAACATTTGATAATTTAATATAAAACTAGAATTAAAATCTGTTTTTAGAATTTAAAAGAACAACTATCGATTTGAAACTCGACTTTAATAATAGTAAAAGCTTACTTTCTTTTTTATTCAGATTAAAGTGTCTAATTTAATTGTATTTTTATATATCTAAAAATATTTCGTTTAATTTCAAAGTATCTAAAATGAAAAAAATCGGTTTTAGACCATAAGGAGTGAAGTTAAAAAAATCGATCGTCTGCTCGCACCAACCAATCCTGTGTATTTTGGAATTACTTTTGTGTATGAGTGTACATCAGAATAGTTTGTCATACGACTGGTAGAGGCAGTCGCCGTCGCGCTTCGAGACGGTATGGCTGTAAATTGTTGGATTTTTACAACTTCTTCGATTTAAAGTAAGTATTAAATAATTTTAACTATTGTTAATAATATTATTAGAACGTAAGTTAAAGTTAAAGAGCACAGTAACTTAACCTATTATTACTTTAAGTTTTTTAGTGTTGTACTTTTTTTAATCTTCCGGTGACATTTGTTTGCTTCCTAGACCTTAGTGTCAAAATCACACGCGGCTACCCCGGCCCTGACACTTTCTTTCTACGAAAGATTTTTTTTTTTCTGCAAACAAAACAGTTGTTAAGAGTTCAAGGTGAGGAGAAAGTTTGAAAATTGTGATTAGAATAAGTTCAGTTAATTTAATTGATAGTTTATATATCGAATTCAATATATTTCATTGATGTGAATTTTTTCCGTTATTTTTATCTAGGTATAAATAGTTGGTGTTTATTGTTTTATTTATTCACATAAAAATTTGGAGTACGTTAGGTTGAGTGGATTTTGAACCATCTTGACAGTTTGAAGATTAATAGCTTGCAAAAATAAGACAAGGAAATTGAATTCAATTCTTTTAAAATTTTTCATTCATTTGCGTAATGACTAATCAATCAAACAGTCAATCTACTTAGCAATTGTTTATAATTATTCAATACTTTTAAAAGCTAAAATTCTTTATTTCAAAATAATTCTTCATTTTTAAAAAATGATTATTTCCTGGAAAACTTTTATCATCATTTAAGGAATGATTTTGTATTGTTGGTTACAATATGCAAGGTCAGGTGATAAAAATTCATTTGATTTTTGTTGCAGTATTTTAAAACATTCAAAAGCAGCGAAAAACTCTTCCACTTCTATATTAAATACTTAAGTGCTAAATAGTTAAAAATGTTATAATACTTGTATATTGAAATATTTAACTTTAAGAGGAGCACGTACTAAGCTGATAGAAAGTTGTGGAAAAAAAAAATATTTTGATACCTCAGCCAAGTGTTTTAAAATAAGATCACATTAGCCAATAAGACACAATTATCTTGAAAATTTGGAGTACCATTGGATCAATGGCAAATTTGTTCTTGATAATCTCTGCAGTCAATCCGCATTGTACTGAATATTTATTCATCAAACAGATCTCTTTTTGTTCCTCTATTCCTTTATAATAATATTATTTTATTCCCGTTCAATTGTATTTTTATAGCATAGCTATCGTACTTTTGACTAAAAAAAACTCGATAAACTTCAGCTGTTTTTTTGTCGACAGGTAGAAAATATGAAAATAAAATCTACCATGTGGAACCAAGTGAAAAGACGAATTGCGTGAAAACAACATATGTATAACTGACAATAACTAGTTTTAAAGTTTAGCACTAACAACGCAAATATTAAAAGTAATCCGATCATTATTAACTGTATAACATTGTTTAATTTTTCAATTAGTAGGAAAATTTCAAAATTGGTTGAACAATTCCATTTATCATGTTAATAAAAGAGATATTAAAGTCAATCCAATATAATGTTATGCTTATTATATGATGATTATCATCATGAAGCAGATTTAATTAATTAATTAAGTTTCTAAAAATTTCAATCTCTTTGCTACAATTAAAGCTTCTCATAAATTAAATTTATTAAATAACATTGTTATAAAAAGAAACTTAGTTAAATTATTTTTCACTATTTTCACTTTTTATAAATTGTTGAATGATAATAATAATATTAACTAAAGTTGTATGAGAAATATTGTTGGTAAAATTGGTCTAATAAATGTTAGTAAATTAGTGAAAATTACGGGTTATTGAATTAATATTATTTCCGGAAATTTTAAGAGCTCATAAATATGGAAACATTTCTATCGTTTTGTCGGAGAAAAATTAAAGAGTATAAATCAATAATAAGGTCATCGTCTTTATTGTTTTTTATGTTTCATTTAAATAAGAAAAAATATTTATGCTGTCTTATCCTTTCTATTCGTCTAGTCAATAAACTCATGAGTTCGCGTGTCGTTTTTATCGTCTTGGATTCTTAACATCGTGTCACTTTGGGCCTTGCTACTGACACCGAATATTTATTCACGCGATTCAAACGCTTCAAGTTTCTTTTCTTTATCATTCTTTTATCTTATTTTATTTCTCTAGTATTTCTAGTACATAATTATTTTATAGCTTTCAACTTTACTCTTCCATGTCAATTCATTCGATTTCCCGGTCATGCACATAATCTTTTTTTTTTAGTTCTCTTTTAAAAGCCTTGCTTTTAAAACAAGCAGTTGATACACAGTTTATTTTTTTAAATCCTTAACTGACTAAATTTAAAAACTCAGCATGATTTAAAAGCAATTTTTAATAGTAAAAATAAAACAATTGAATATTGTTAAATGATATAGAAGTTGGAAGATTTATTATTCTTTAGATTTACTTTGTATTTGATTTCAAGCTATTCTAGATATTTGCATTCTTTTATTAAATCCAAGGTCTAATTTCTTCATTACATATTTACTATAAACCCAAGACCTACTAGACTTCTGAAATACTATCTGTAGTTGAACAATCATAATCAATATTCTATATGCATATTAATAGAATAGTTTTCAAATATAAATATATAATAAAACAAAATTATTTAAATCACAAATCTAAATTTAGATTAAATCAGTTACCTTCATTTATATTTATTACCAAAAAAAAACTGCTATTTAATTATCAAAACCATCACTAACTAGCACACTCCAACATGATATGTAAAATTATTCAGGACAATGACTTTCATAGAGTCTGTCAAGGTAATCATAAGCAATGAATAGCATAGGTTCCATGTTTCTATCAATATACCATGTCAGGTAATTCTTTCTTTGCAAAACTCATTTATCTTTTACACTTAAATTTTTTTTTTTGTTATTTAACTTATTTATTTATCTTATCACATAACTCATAAAATAAAATATTAATTATTAATCTATTTTGTTATCAATTCACTAGTTGTCACTGTTAACAAACGTTAGGAAAATATATTAGAGATACCTGTTGGCCTCATGAATGAAGATAAACGATTCTAGACATATTTATTCATTCAGGCATGTCGTGCAGGGTGCGATCAGTCTTCTTTATTTGCATAAATAGCATCAAAGTTAATATGGATGTTTTTAAATTATTTCCTGATCATGTTCATCATTTTTTCACTTTAGCTTTGTTAGCTATTGGACAAATTCATCCACCACACTCGTCTGTTGACCTTTTTTATGCTTCCTTGATAACCAATGATCAGGCTTAATTTCATCAAAACTACCAGAATTAAAACTGAATGCTGGTTATGATGGGGAAAAAAAGCTATTTATAACTTTAGACTTCTCATGCAAGTAGTCATTTTAATTGGAAACATATAATCCTTACAAGTAGTTTACTGAATGTTTAGTAATATGCTCAAGTAACCTTGCTATCGTATTATTTCGTCTTTGATTAACACGAGATTATTTTAGGAATCCATGAGTTCGTTAAATTAGTTCCGTTAATTTATTACAGTAATCTTGCTAAAGTAAGCCTTAACTTTATGATATAAACCATATTTCAAGTATCTATAAATAAAATATATGTTTGTATACTGACGAAGGAAAAGAAAATTTCTTGCAAAAAATCAACAGCTACTTGACTACAAGTAGATTTTATTTGAATATTTTATTTTCAGACTCGATGAATTAGAATTTATTACAGCTAAAAATAAAATTGTTCTTGGATTAAATGTATTTTTTACTTCCTTGAGAATATATTTTTCTTCACTTGATCATAAATTACTTTATTTTTATTTAATATTATATTTTTTCTTCAATGAAACTTATTATAATTAACAGGATCAAAGGACTTATGAACATTTTCAATTAAGATTAAGAACATGAAGCATTATGTTAATAACCAACTTATCACAATTACTTTTTTACATTTATTAAATTCTAAAGTTAAATTTGCTATTTAATTATTCTTTGCTGACAATCATTTTTTGCTATTAATTTTAACATATATTATTTTCTCTAATTATTAATTAAATATATATTTTTTCGTAACTGTAAAGTACCATGGTCTTCTAATAATTCAATATCTTTATTTATATTTAGTTTCCTAATGATGTTACTTTATGTCTTATGTCTTAATTTGTTCTATTTATTCTGTTAAAATGTAAGACCTAATATGATAGACCATTTCAAACTTAGTTCACACTCATTTAAATGAAAAGTTTAACTTGTTTAAGTATTTAACTGTTCATTTTATTGTGAGATCTAATTCATTTAATTGAGCAATTACATCTATTTAATAAAACTAACAATTTTCTTTTAAAACTAAATTGATATTTAAATTTTTGAAAGAAAAAATTGATTCCTAGATTTCAATTACTCTTTGGTTTTTAAATCATTTTATAATGATCTTTTATAGAAAAGGAATGTTGGAATAAATTTTCATCATTATTTTGCTATTTTTCTCTATGAAATGATGTCACAGAAGAATTTTCTCCTCTTGAAATGGATACCCTTCAGTTTCTCTTTCTACAGAAGCAATTTGCTATCCATTATTATCTCTTCGTTCTTCCTTACGTGTCTGTCACTGTTGTTACCACAATCTTGAACGAAAATCAAAGTACTTAAACCTACAATGACTAAGTGAACAGGTAATTCTGTTGTTGGTTATCGCGTGTACAAAGTCGGTATAGATTCTACATCGTCGCCTAGTTCCCTAGTACACTGTAAACCTAGTACATAATACCTTTACTTCTAGTATTGTTCATGAATATATCTTTAGTATACAAACTATCCAAGAAGAATTAAGTGCGGATACTAATTTGCCTGTGACTTAAGTTTGCGTGACATTAACACGCGCAACCAAGTATCGTGTTGTTCAGGAGTTGGCGTGACGCACGAATTAATTTTCTTTTGAGTAAACCTCGTTGATACTATTTGGTATGACCGTGAAGTTCTCGATACTAGGGCTTGGCCTACTTGAACTTTTTAATTTCAAAAAAGGAAGTCTACACTTGAATGTATATTCATACATTAATGTTATTAAAACTTTTCCACTTCATTTCTCTACCTTTTCACTCACTTTACAACATCTTGTCCTCATTTTCTACTTCTCCATCAAATTTCCATCACTTTTTTAAACATAAATTTCCTCCTTTTTTTCTTCACTTCAACCAGGAAGAAATCCTTGAAATAATTCTCTCAAATGCACAGACAATTGTAAGTTAAGATTGTTCATCATTTAAAGCACATCTCCAACATCTTGCTTTTTTTAATCCCATCTACAAGGAGAAGATTTAATTAAGAATCACTTCTTGGAAACTTTATAATTCTAACTTTATAAAGTTTAATATTTAAAACAATTTAGTTGAATTTACTTCAATTTTTTTTTTTACCTTTTTACTTCCGTGTTGTCTGAGGCAAATTCCACTTTGTTTCTTTTTTCGAACCCTCGTGTATGCATGTAGATATTTCCTTGTTAGGTTCCCCTTGCTAGAGTTGCGGTTATGAACCCTGAAAGTAGACAGTTACTGATGTAATGATAAAATTTGGAGATTAAATTTATATTCAGTCTAAAAATAGTTATTTGAATTTATTATCATGGTTATGATACATTTTTTTAAGGATCAATACCATTAATACTTCATTAAAAAAATGTTATCACATTTCCTTATATTTTTTGGATAAAATTACTCAAACAGTTCCCTTGATAATAAATTAAAAATAATATTTAGTAGCTGCATCATGAAGTACATAAATAGTTCCTGATCACTAATAGAATATTACTGACTCATAGTATAAAAATATTGATTGAAGTTTATGCATCCAACACAAATCCACATCATCTTATAATATATAATTAGTTAATTAATTATAAATAATGTTCTTGATGATATTTTCTCAAGAGGAATACTTTCTCTCAAAATTTAAAATTACATTGACTTTCAATGTTTTATAATCCTGGAATTACTTCCTTCAATTTCCTTTTTTTTCTCCCTCAGAAAAGGAGAACGTAGTCACATTTCATCTCAACTTTTTCTCCTTTTTATTATGGTGAGAAGCTGTAGGATGTACTTTTTATACACATTGTAGGCTTTATCTTCTTATATATTTTATTCTAACTTCATTATATTTGCATCAAGGCACAATCAATGACTAGGCTTTTCCGCAGTGAGTACTTTCAATCATGACTCTTAGGTATTGACAATATTGATCAAATCAAGTGGAAGAAATGAGATTCATTTTCATACCTAACTCATGTTCACTTTGTTATTCATAACCCACTACAATACTCAAGTAATTATAAACTTATTGGAAACTAAATGACACCTAGTCTTTTAAGGAAAAGGTCTAGCTTGCTGTGAATGGTTGACACACCAAACAAATTATCATGAGGATTTAAAAAAGTATTTGTTTCATCAAATATAATTTATAAAGTCTTTCATCAAAGACAAACATTAAATTCATTCATCTAAATATTCTATAAATCAACAGAAGTCTATTTCATTTTGGCTATCTTACCCTGAATTAACTTTCGTGCAAATAAAGAGAATATCCTAGATTGCTGAGCAAATTTTCTGAAGGTTGGTAATTGTTAAGCTCATGGAGATCCAAGTAAACTAATCTCCAAGGTCTATAACTTTTCTATCTCTAATACCATCAACGGAGCTGGTGAGATAGCTAGTAATTACTAGAAAGTCTGTAGAAATTTTGAATATCTCTGTCCAACAGCCACTGGATAATCTGATCGTTAAAAATATTTCCTTGTTCGTGGATGCTACATCGTTCTTTCTTCTTTAATTTCACACCAGTGTAATTCCAGTTTATTTCTAACTTTAATTTTTTCCAGTATTAAATTACATACCAGAGTATTATTACCATCTTAAATTAAACCAAGCCCAAGTATCTAATCGTTTAACGTATTAAGCAATTAGTGGACTTTAGGAGTTTAATCCATATATCATAAACTTTGACAAGCTATTCTGTATAACAACTGTCGAAACTGGACAGTTATGAAGATCTCTACTTGGTACTGTGCTTGGTGCAGATATTGATCCAGAGGATATTAGTTACCTAATACCAACTAGGTTTTGATGTCGTTATAATTTGTGTTGTTGGAAGCTATTGATGTCCTTTCATGCAATCAATTATTTTAAGCTGTGAAAATTATCAATACATTATCATCACCATCATATTCCATATTTATTAGATTAATTATCGCTTCAATATTTACTTCCTATTTTTGATCAATAATATTATCATAGAATGAAGATATCAACTGTTGGTCCAGTATTAATTATTGATGCTCTGAATTTAGAAATAATTAATAAAGTTGTAAATAATGAGTATTGATGAATTGATTCTTTATGTTTTTATGTATTTAAATTAATTAATTTTAATTTATCTGTAATAGATTATAAATAGGTTGATATTGTTGATTAAAAATTAATAGCAAACAATCTCGGTTACTTTAGAAAGATGTCTGTTGGTGAAAAAGGTTGCAGTAATGTATTTAGAAAGCTGTTGTGGTCTTTTATTGGTTGTGGCTGTGTACTAACATGCACCTCTTGAAGTAAATGGTTGAAATTCAAGGTACTTGATTGTTCGTTTGTTGCGTAGGTTGATAAGTATTTTTTCTGAATGTTAGGTCGTAGTTGATAGTTCTAATGACTCCCCTAACATGCATGTTGTTAGCCAACTAGTTATTCAATTTATATGTTGAGGAGAGTGTAAGCAACTCTATTATTGCCATAAAAAATGGTAAAGAATCAGTGGCTTTTAGTTGAATAAAGTAAGAAAACATTCGAATAGATTGATAAAAGGATCAATTGATTTTAAATACCTTTATGATGATATCAAAATTTATTTGGTGATGGCTAAAAGATATAGCAGCTATAAAGTGTACATCCGCTTTAATATATGAGTTCCAAGTTCCGAAGTTACAATGGACGGAAGTTCGAAGTAGAAATAGACATCGTTCTGAAATAGTCAGACATCACTCCAATAGTGATACATTCTTCCAAATTGTTTTTTTTTTCACGATTTTCTTCAAACTTTTGAAATAATGTAACTATTTTGCATAGACATTTTTTTTAAAAAAAACAAGAAAATTATTAGGGATTGATTAAAGTTTGTTAATTAAAGATAGGAGACAAGTAGATTTAATCAACTTGCATAAACAAATAGCTCATTAATTTTAGAGGTAATGTAAATTTGTTCGTGGACAACCATTTCATTAAGTTAAGTGCAAATATTTTACTGTAAATTGGGAGACATTTTTTGTTTGTTTCTACTTTTTTATTGAATTTATAATTGATTACTGATAAAAAGAATATCAAGATAAAATAAATAAAATTGTCAACTTTCAAATTATAGAAATTAATTAAGTCTTTAATTTAAATAAAATACTTGATCTAAAAGTTCAAAAGTATTTTTATATTAACTGACTTTTATGGATGAATTTCATTACTATTTTTATAATTTAATTGATCATCAAGTAGGTGAATGACCTTTCTGATGAAAATACTTTGTATTAAGATAAACATCACTTCTACAGAAATCCTCCGTTAATTAATTAAATTACTTATAATCCAATAAATGCATTTAATATTGATTGTTTTAAATTACAGTTTGTTTCCAAGTTAACCTTGGACTGTTATGACTGAAATTCTAAAATTAATTTGTCATTTGCTTATTTAGAATAAATAATATCTATTTAATGTCATAGAAACATAAAAATTAGATTGCATAAAATAAAAAAAGGAATTTTAAATTTTAAGTTTTTTTTAAATCAAAAATAAATCACAATGCAATACTCATCGAAGCTCAGTCTCAATGCTTTATTTGTTCAGTGGATTGAAAAAAATATCAATCGTTTTTTATTTAATTGTACTGTACAATGAATACCAATAGTAACAATTCTATACTGGGCTCGATACCTTTACGATCAATGATACGCTTGAAATAAATCCTTGATAGGAGTAAACACTGCAAGAGAACAATGAAAATTTGACCTGAGTTCATGTCACATTTGATTGTACTTCCACCTTTTAACTTTTGAAGATTGAAAAAATTTTATTCCAATCGGTTGAGGTGTATTCAAAGGAGTACTTTGAGGTCAGGGACAGTTACAAACGTCATTGTCATTCTGTCGATCAGTGTCACCTACGTTGATAGAAAGAAAGTTACTCTCTAAGTAACTAACCAAAACTGTTCTTCGTATTTTTCTTAATCCTACTGGGCGTCTAGAATCAGTTTTTTCAATCATAAAATAACGCAATGGCGCCCACGTTTTTTGCCCATTACACATAGCACACATTATTTCTTTATCATGCTCATTCAAATGACTAGCATGTCTAGTGAAAGCCCGAAATTGTGAGGACGTTGCTTGAGTGGACAGTGTTTTCAATCGTCCCTTCATGTTACCAAGAAGACAATAGAATTTCTTGCCGCGAAATCGACTTCCAAGAATGCGAATAGTGTGAAGGCGTTTACATCTCTCTAGAATACGAGTCAAATGACTTGATCGTAGATACAAACTTCCAGTAGATCCCGTGCAGTCAATTATGGAAAGTTTCTCGAGCTTCTGATTACTTCGAGATAATTGACATAGGATATCATCGCAATCAGGACGACGATGAATTGTAATTCTTTCAAGTAATGGCATCCGTTTTAGCTGTTGAAGCACCACGTAAGTGTCTGGGTCATTTTCTTTTACCTAAAAAAGGAAATAACATTTAGTTAAAGGTGTTAATGATGCAAAAAGTATGAAAGTTTTAAGTTGTCGTTGCCAATAGTTGCGTTAAAACATTTATAAACAAATTCCAATTATTTCCTAAGCAAATTAAGGTCAGAAATTCAGTTGAATAAATCTTCCTAATTAATTTTTAATTACTTTCAAATTTCAGTTTACAATGTGAAATTATACGATTTATTTTCTTTAAAAAATGGAAATATAAAAACTCAAAAAATACCTCATAAGTCTTCCACAGAAGTGGCTCACCAACAATTCTACCAAAAAATTCTGAAACTTTTTCTAGGGCGTGGAGGTCTTGAGGGTCGAGATAAGAAAAGATTTCATGAAGAATTTCTATGGGAAGATTTTCAATCTTTATATACGTATCGCTGTTGTTTGTATCATCATTTGTTGTTGATGTTGAACGTTCATGTGTCCTCTTGCAGAGTTTCTTGGACCATGATATCAAATCTGGTTGTTTTGTTCCCATTCCAAGAACTGATTCAATATTTACATTTTTCGTATCTTCACCCAACAATAAAATTTCGTGTCAAAACTAAAATAATATTTATTCTGTTTCTTCAATATTTTAATAATTGATGCATGGATAATATTTATCCGTGCCATATACTTTCAATTTCGATGACCGTGACATGTCGACATTTTTTTGTTTATCTATATATCGTTCACCTTTTTATTGTCTATTTATCATTTGCAATTAATTTAAATAAATCTGTTGACAAAGTGAATTTTTATTGCGTTGACTTAGAATAGTTTGTAAATGAAAATTTGCACAGAAGTTTTATAAATAATTATGCAATGCAAAACATGTTGGCATTCCCGTCCGGTTTGTTGAGTGAAATGAGAGACAAAGTTATGTCTGATTGCTACTGGCAATCCTACAATATGTAAGCGTGCTGTTACGTACCGGGAAATCAATGTCGATCAAATGTGTGCAATAAGAATAGCAAGTACATTTTGATTATGGGATATATTCAATAAGATTCAATCCATCATCACTATGATGATATTCACTTCGATCCATTGTTTTTCTTAAATAGATTCATCATAAATCATTTAAATATTTATGTAATGAAACATTTTTAATTCATTTTATCGACAGTTGGAGAAGAAATCAACCGTATATTGATAACCTTTTTTTTGGTTTTAGGTTAAAAATGCTAGCGCAAATGAAAGAATCAACCAACAGGTTAAAAGGAAAAAGATCCAAGGAATTAATGTCATCTTCAAGTCTTTCTGGGATGTCGCAATTATCACACAGCAGTGAAGAAACTCTAGAACCCTTCATACATGAGCCCAACAAGTCGGACATCAGCGAAAGGTAATTTTCACTTTTATATGTTCATTATTGTCAAGACGTGAATAAAATATCGATCTTGTATGCTAATTAGTGAGTAGGAAATGGCCTAAGGTGATTAGAAAACTCGCGTGCTTTTAGCGTAAGGCGTATAAAGTGTTACTTTTCTTCGGTAACGCAATTCTCACGTGATTAAATGTTGGAGAAGAAAATTAAAGATTTTTTTTTTGCTTCATTATTAGTTAAATGTTTAAGGTGATAGAAAAAAAATGAAAACTGTTAAGTAGAGAGAATCAAAGCTTGTTAATCTTGTCAAGGAGTTAATCGTCACATCGCGTGCTTTTGTGCCACCACTATTAACACAAGTGCACGTGGGTGAAAAACGTGCTGTATTAAAAACGCGGAAACAGAGTACTCTATATTTGGTCTTCTGTAACTTTTTTCAGTTATATATTTCCTCCTTTACCAACATCTGATGGTAAATTTCCACTGGATTTTTTTTTGTTTTGTTTATGTTCTTTTGTTACTAAGAAGTTGATTATTTATGATGAAAGTATTAGCATTTTTAATTAATTACATTTAAATTTTATACTTCAAATATCAAAACATACTTATTACGAAGTATTTTCTTCTTCTTGAATATTATTAATAATAAGTAATCAATTATTATACAAACATCTAGGTTTGTAATCTTATTGAAGTTCAATTTTATATTTTTTTTTAATATGGTTAAGTCATTTGAAGTTTCTATTTGAATCACTAAATAATTTAATTCATTTAAAATTTATAAATTTTTTTTATATTTATTCTGTTTCAGTATTCCAGAAAAAAACAATCCAGAGGACAATGAATGGCTTATCAGTGGACCAACTGGCAGTAAATTACCTCTTTTACGATTTAAGTAAGAACAAACTTCATTTTTATATCATTTTAACCATGTTATTTTTTTTATTAAACTTTTTCATTTCAATATTTTATTGTCATTAATCAATGTAGAGAACATTAAGTTTATTCATACATCAGTAAAATTTTTAAAAAATAATTTATTGATAATTTTTTTGTCCATTGAGAATAATGATTTAAAACAATGAAGTGTAAAAGAATAATAAATAAATAATGATTATTAATTTTCATATATTTTTTTGGGATAATTTAAATATAAAAGGATTATATATATCAGGTGTAAATATAAAGTTATATTTATTAAAAAATGCAAAAAAATATTAGTATTGTTTGACATGTATTTAAACCTTAAAAAATGAATATTTATAATTAAATTAATTTTTTAGATGTTCGGCTTTATCAACGTCACCTGACAACCCACCTGCCAAGCAATTGCACATGACTTATAAAATAATACAAGCAGATACAAAATTAATAAGTCTTCTACTCCATTCACATGGTCTTACAGAGGTATGTAAAAATTAAGATCATTTTATATTTGATATTTTATTTTTTTTATGAAGAAAAAATAAAAGGGATTCGGTTAATGACAAGTACAAATGTTATATTACAATTGATGGCAACAAAGAAAATACGTATAATAACTATGTGTAATCATGCTAACCAACTATCGAAGGATAAAGCAGAGTCTTTGATCCTGCACTCTTTATTTTTTTTTTTTGTTACAATTCTTACTTGTTGACCTTCAGAAAATTTTTCAAGGACAAGTTGAGAGGAACAATTAATACTGATATCACAAAACAGTCGAAAGTATCTAAGAAAGATATAGATTTTAATTAATACAATTACTCCAAAACCAATGTGATCCAGGACAAAGATCTACATCAAGATTAGCACGAGCAAGTGTTGTTCTTAAAGTCTTAACTCCTTCACAATCTAATCCCCAATTGGCTAAATTACCAATTCTCTTTAATTTCGTACAACTTTTGAACATACTAAGCACAGTAGATGCAGAAACTTTACTCGCCTCATACACATAAAAACATGTTAAATTTCTAATAAGACTGTTTTCCGGTTGATCAACACCTGAAGTTGTATTTGATGTTAATGAAGCACTAAGAAGATTTTCTAGATGTTCATTAGTAAGATCAAAACAACTGTGAATGTGCAGTGATTTTAATGCTGGCGTAAGTAAGAGTATTTTAGTGATGGTTGTAGCAGTGACTGTACGTCCCAGCTGTATTTTTTTAAGATGAAGTAAAGGAACTGGATCAGGACCGTCGAACCACATAACATTAGCCCCGTCCTTAGTGAGTGTAACCAGGTTGGGACAGTTGATAAATATTTCTCTCAAATCAAGCTGCAATGGCGTATCACTTTGTGTTACACGTAGGTTCAACTCACGTAGATGATGGCCATTGGTATGTAAATAACCACTGAAGCCAGCAAGCCATTCTTTTGTCGCAGGAATACCATGAACACTGAGACTAGTGATGTAGGGGAAAAGTCTTAAAGCCTCTGGCGGATGATGCGGTTCTGAGATATGAAGTTTCTCAAGTCGTGGGCAAGTTTGAGCGAGTAATTCTAGACGTGCTTGAGTTGTTCGACTACTTTTCGCTTGTTTTAAATTGAAAGGTGTCTTCAACCCAATTACTCCTCGATTCATTATCTCCATGACCCTACCCATGTGATTATAGTCAGCCAAAGATTCAAGATGTGAAACATGGGCCAATGCTAGAAGTACTCCAGCGGTCGTTACTTCAGTGTTTGCAATATTGAGTACTCTCAAAGTATCACAAAGAAAGTTCCTACTCTCACAGTATTCTAAAAGAACTCCTTCACTTTCCTTTTTGTCCCTTTTGTTCTTCTTCATTCGAAACTTCGTCAAAAGAGTCTTCAAACGAGACCAGCTTGGTGTTTCTTGAACAACGGGATCGATGTTAATAAATTTATCTCGTAGCTCTACTTGTAATAACAACTGCTTCAATCCTAAATCTGTAACTTGCATTGAACAAGATACGTCTAGGACTACCAATTTAGGGCAGGATTTGCCAATTACTTGAAGTACTGAATCATTAGCGATATTTTTCAATGTCAAGCTTAATAAATTAGATGTATTCATCAAAGCTGAACGTAAGAGTTTACAATCAAGACGTAGAAGAGCAGATCGTGCCAATTCCAGGGATTCTAGACCCACACCTTCACTAGCTAACAGTTTTAGAAGTGATGTTTGATGACTACAGCCATAGTAGCAACACAGGTTCACCTTCAGCTGCCGAATATCATGGCCCAGAAGGATCGCAAGAAGGTAGAGAGGTGCTGGGCCGGAAATAAGCGTCGATCCGTCTGCCGCAGGCCCATAAAGCATTCGTGATGTCTCTTCAATGACGCGTGAACGTAGTCGTGCTGGTAATGCGCTGACGTAGTATGGCCTTATGGTCTGCTTAACAATTGCTAGTACTTGGCTTGCGGACGTCTCCTGCGAAAGCACTTGCAGACGCCGGCACGTTTCATCCAATTGCTGGCACACACGTCCCAAACTAAGTCCCTCTAGGGATATAGGCTGACGGTAGCCAGGCATTATTCATTCAACTGGAACAATCATTATGTTAATTATTAAGTTTGTTAATCAAACAAGTGAACCGGTTTTAATGTATTGATTGTTATTAAGTTACATGGATGTATCATGAGTTGAATCATCTTGGGAAAATTGTTAAATGATCATCGGGTCATCATCACCTTCTCCAAGGTTCACTATCTGCTCAATGGATATTCTTGTCGCGCGTTCAATTGTTGGTTTTATTCAGGGGCAAGTGTGAAGCCTTACTGAATTGTTAACAAGACCTTGCTAATTTAACTTCCTTAAAGGAAATATTATTTACCTGCGCAATTATGTACGCAGAAGACGTCAACATAGACTTTTTACTGGTCGACTACGTAGTCGTTTACAAGTACTTCTTAGGATATTATGATAATTGATTTGTGACTACTATTCAATTTATGCTTTTTTTTTTAATTACAAACCTTGAAGTTCTAGTTTGTCTGTTGCTTATAAAAAATTCATCATACTTTTGATTATTATCTATCATTTTTTTTTTTTCTTATCCAATTGTCACTGATGTGTTCATTAGAGTTTTTCAAGAATCATTGTAATTATTTGAAAATAATGCCAAATGACCTAGTATTTTTCAAGGCTTTATCACCATAATATACTGATAGATGAATTTTTGTAATGGCTATAAATTAATTTTAGAGTAAAAAAAAAGTATGTTTCTGTTGGCAAAGACAGATTTATTGAGTTCTAAAATTGGCAATTGCTGATGATAGAATTTTATAATTCAATATTTGACTGAAATAAATTTTTTTTCAAGGCTCTTAATAATTCGTAGTGTTGTAAAAAATTCTTCTATCAATGTAATTACCATTACTTTAAATCTAAATTGAATACAAAAAATAATAATATTAATGTTAATGTTGCTAATTAATGCTCAAAGATAAAAAGTACTAAGTAAAAGTTAAAATATTTTTACGTAATTTTTTCTTTCACGATAATTTGTGAATTTTTATATTTACAAAATATGTTTATAGCTTCACCAAATCTTCGCAAATGCCTTGACATTTACACCGAATGTCTGACAACGTATAATTTATGGGTAGTGAATGGTCTCTAAAAGCATTTGTAGTTAAAGAATGAGGAAATAATTTACTACCACTTTCAACATTTCATATTGATATTTAATTAATCCATAGATCATGATGCTCTCAAGAATTATTAATGAGGTTGTGCGTCAACTTCCGACATGCTTCCGGGATATAGAATCCATTCATTAACTAATTTATTATTATCATTATCCTGATCATTAAAAAGTAAAAATATGTCCCTCTGATAAAGACAATTTAATACAAATATTTATTAATTAAAAATCAATTAATTTTCATTAAAATATCTTTTCTCAAAAAAAAAAAATAATGCTTTCAACGAAATTAATCACAATAAAATGTGATTTATCAAAAATGTAAAAAGAAAAAAAATTGAACAGCAAACTTGAACTGATGGTTTGAAGTTAATACGTGATCATGCAAAGCAAAAGTATCTAACTTGAATACGTGTTGATATTCAAGAGTAATTAAAAGTGATAATTAAATTGAGGTCGTGTGTCTGGAATAATATGAAAGATTGAAACTGTATCACTACAAGTGTTGAACAAAATAATCAATTTTTAACTTGAAACCAAACACTGATGTCTTATTTATTGTTTACACGAAACAGTTAATCCAACCAAATGGCGTGTTCATGTAGCTACTAGTTTATTTGCACAAGTAGTATGCTAGTTGTATAATGATATAGATAGATATGACAAAAAAACAAATACATTTGCCATGTTATTTATTAAGCAAAAAGTCTACATTAAGTTATCACTAGAAAATTTTTTGTGTTTTATTAAGTTATATTGACAAATGATTAGTTCACTTGATGATAATAATTGAGTTGATAATGAGAATCTAGTATAGTTTTTAGATGTTGAAACGCGTGCCTACCTTTTTAGAAGCAAAGAACCCAACGGGTGTCTCCTGAGCGGTAGCTCGTGCTAGACTGACGACGCTGGCGATAATTGTGAATCGTCTATCGGTATACTCTCTTGCTTTTTCCTTCTCTGTTTTGCACGGCTGGTCTTGCGACCTCGTGCCTCCACTCTAGCAAAAGCGGCGCCACAACCAGCGTCATAGTAAAGACCCGCGACGACGTTCCTGATCTTAAAATACTGAAGATTAGATATAGAGGTCGATTACCCCCCTCTTTCTCTTCATCATCTACTCATCACTAATTCTTGGTAGATATTTCTTTTTTTATTTTATTTTTTATTATATTTATTTATTCACTTACTAACATTTTTTTTTTGTCTTAAAGGTGCAGTTGGTTTATATTCAATATCTCCATAATTTCTTCTCTCAATGATGTGACCCTGAAGAGAGCCAATGCTCTCTATAAGATTGTTGTACCAGGAGCCACAAAAAAATGATTTATAGTTGTGTGTGATTCATAGGTGAAGATGAATAATTATAAATTTACTAAATAAACAGTGAACACCTTTTATTGGTAATTGTAACGTCAAGATGACCGAGTTGTTATAGATTTTTATGCCTTTTTTCTTATGATAATGGTGATGGTGATGTTGGACAGGTAAAAGCTTGACCTTATCTCCTGGAAGTGAATTATTAAATCTGACCTGAAACGGAAACAGTGGAGAAGTTTAAATGAGTCAAGTTTTATCAAAGAATCAACATTTTTTTTTAAAAATTATTTTTTGTTCTTTTTTTACATTTTTTTGTTGTATTTATTGTACGCTGCGAAAAAAAGTAGTTCTGACAAAAATTATTCCTCGTCAGTAGCCGTAAAGATTGATTTTTTTAGCCAACATATGTAAAAAAAAGTTTTGTTTACATCGTAAATATCTCGAAAGGATAAAATTTAGTTGATTTTAAAATGATTTTTTTTTATATTATTCAAACAATAAATTGATTAAAGTAATAAGAATTTTTTTGGAGTATAAAATTAAATCAATATATTTAAAATTAATAAATAAACTTTATAAATTGATTCTCCATAATAAGGTATTTAATTTTTTTTAAATATTTAAAGAGTAAAAATAATTATGTAGTGATAACTATGATGTAGTTAATTATTTTTTGATGGCCACATTGTTTGAGAATATAATCATCAAATAATTGTTATCATAAAAACATAAAAGTCATTGAACATTAGGAAATGAGTATTTAGTCGAGTTATTTATCTCATAAAAATTAACATTTTGGTTTAGCAAACGGTGATTTATTCAACACACATAAATCTTCATTGGATCGATTAATAAAAAATGAACAATAAATAAACATTGACTAGGATGCAAAAGTTTTTATAAAATAATTTTTTCTAAAAATAAATAATTAATAGATTCTTGTATTTATTTCTAGACATCATTTAATTTTCAGCTATTTATGCTCTTATATTAATAATCTTCAATTAAATCCATTTTTTCAATGATTAATGACCCCATAAACATAAACACACTATTGAGAAAATAATTAATTAGATATAAATAAATCTCATTTGATCAGACTGTGTAATTTGTTCTATCAGTACAGAGACAATATTTATAATAATTATACTTAACATTTTTCTAAAGGTTAAATTTATAATGACTATTGAATTTTTTTTCATGAGACTTTAAAGAAAATATATTTGTTACATAAAATATATTTATAAAATCTTCTTATATAATTACAAAAGACATTAATTAATCCTATAAATAAAATTTAATTAAAATAATCATAAACTTGCTACCTCTTTATCTTATATTATTATAATTGCAATTTATTTTATAACCGTATCGATATTACAAATTCCAATCGAAATTTGACTCCACAACATATTCAATTTCTTTTTACTTTCGATTTCCATTACATCACCACACTATTAACTTAATTAACTCATTAAAATATTATCTAAATTACTATTTGTAATTAATTTTGTATCTTCTGAATTCATTTAAAGTTTAAAATGCTTGAAATATTTGCTTTAATAAGTAAATAATAATTTTAAAGTAAATTTATTAGAATCAACTTTTGGAGCATTTATTGGAGCAGAGATCTAGGCATCTAATATTTAATTCAATTAAAAACATTACCATAATTGTATACGTCTTTTAAAATGCCTATTATATTTAATTTATAGATGAAAAATGTAATTATTCATCATGAAACAATTTTTAAAAAAACCCCAGTACTGTAAAACCTCATAAATTTATAAATAGTTTAATTCTTCACTGGACACTTTTTATGTCCAAGTCATACGTCATCAATTAAACTTTTTATAAAAAAAATCCCACCAAGAAATTCAAGAGAAAGAAGGTAATCACGTTATGAAATAAATGTTAATTGATCTAAGCCTCGATCATGATGATGATGAGATAAAAAAATTCAAATCGATTATAACTCAATTGACGACGTTAATCTTTTTTTTCCTCTGATCTTTATCTAATTCTCCAGCAGTTTGTATTGTATCTGAAACTAATAACCATTTACTGATGTTCATTATACGCACGTGCGCTAGTAGTGATTGAATTGATGATATAGAGGACACAAAGAAGAAAAGTGGAGACTCAATTGTCTCGTGACTTATATGAGTTGAATCAGAAGCTTGCTGGTCTATATAGCAAACAATTGATTTACTTTGTATAAATTAATGTATCCGTGCGTAGATAAATTATTACACTTCCTTCATCATCAATTGATTTCATGAATTGTAAATCATCATTGATTTTACAATTATCTTAGAACATGCATTTTCTTCCATCTCGTGACTTACATTGATCAATTCCATTATTAATATGTATCAATATGATGATATTCTCGAACACTCGATAGAATTCATTTCAACAACTAAATGTACATACTTTGATCATTAACCATTTTTGCAATATTTATTCCTTTCCGCTAACTTCTTCACCCTCTCTGGCATACTAATACGGAATTTATATTTCCTCTCATGTTTTACTTTGCTTTACGGTTGTTAACGTGACGATTTGAGGGACATCTCACATCACCTCAAGGGTTCATGACTCAGTTTATTTTATATGTCTTGTCAAACATAGCTTGGAGTGTGTAGTTGTTCCATTTTAAACTTATATATACGTTAGGCTTGTAAAAAAAGGATTAAATTTGAACCATAAGGCTATGTTTACCATGGCCATCCTCTTTGTTTCCGCATAGTTTGATTTCAACTTCCTCACTAAGAACAATAAAAGTTTTATCATAATAACCATATTTATTGTCACGATTTTATCAATTAAATTATTACGTAGTACAAGTATTTAATTGATATTTAGAATATTTTTATTAATTCACAGATAAAGTCTGAAAAAGAATGTTTAGTGGAATAAAATACTCTTTTTTTGATAATTGATTGCGATTGTTGTATTCTTAAGAGGATATGATGATCATAAAAATGAGTATTTATTGATGATGATCAAATTACTGACAAACTATCAAATGTAGCTTCTGGCAAAAAAGTGTGAATTTTTGTCAAGATTATCAGCTGGAGAAAATGGCAGATAGTTATAGGGGTTTTGAGTGGTAAACATCAAAAGCTATTAAGGTGTCTGGATGTGTATAAAAAAGTTTGTCTATCTAGCAGGCACAAGGTCATCAGTGATACCTGGTCTGGCCCACGTTTGTGGAACGATGTGAGGCGAATACTTAACTGCATCTGCTGTTTCTTATGTTGTATTCCCTTTGTATTAAATTTGTGATGCATATAACTGAAAAAATCACGTCATGCACTGAATTATCATGACAAATATTCTTTTGTTAATAATATACACTAAAAATCTACTTGAAATTAACTCTTATATAAGTAAACATACAAAAATAAGTTAAAACTAAAAAAGTAACTTTACTGGTTTTTTATCAGAATATATTTTTATTTATTTATTTATTTATTTCTGTGCAGGTTTCTATCAATGATACAGACTTCAATATCTTGTGGATGGGTAGTCATCCAAAGCCGGACATACTGAGAAACTTGGCACCGTTTCAGAAGGTTAATCACTTTCCGAGGTAATTGTGCGAAAGCTTGGCAAAGTTTAGCTACTAAATAAATCAGATAAAAACTTTATTCAATTAGAGATTTTGAAATGATTTATTTTTTACAGGTCTTATGAAATAACACGAAAAGACCGTTTGTATAAGAATATTGAAGCTATGCAAAGAAGTAAAGGACTTCGTAATCTTGATTTTATTCCACAAACGTTTCTGCTGCCAAGTGAATACAGAGAGCTGTTGACAGCTCACTTTAGATATCGTGGACCATGGATAGTTAAGCCTAAAGCAAGCTCTCGTGGACGAGGCATTTATATAGTCAATAGTGTAAGTGTTTTATTTATAAGTATATCTTTATCAAAATCCCAGAACAAACAATTGCTTGAAAGTCATCATAATAAAATGGTTCGAAAATCTGAATTTAATTTAAACAGCAAATCCTTCTAAAAGTCATACAGAGGTTAAATGAAGAACTAAAATGTTAATTCATTCAAATACAATTTCAATTGCAAAATAATAAATAAATTGTGAAACAATTTTTATTGTTCATGCTAGATGTATTTTTCTTTTCTTCATATATAAAAATAAATTCACTCAAAATAAATGAAAGATTGGGTCAAGTTCAAAAAACTAGCTTAAAGGTTTTGTCAAGGCCCAATAATAAAATATTAGTTGAATTACTTGGAAAAAAAGAATTAACTTCAATCATAAAGAATTTTTATACCACTAGAAATTTTTTAATATCAAATATTATTGCTATTTTATCTTGAATACGTTTCTTGAAAATCAAATGATAACAATTATTATGCATGAATTTATCTAATGAATGAATTCCACTCAGTAGTAAATATATTCATTCTATTTCTCATTATTATATTTCTCACGTTAGTACTTGGTTATGATCAAATTGGATAGTAAATATCACATAAGGAAATAAATTTTTGCAACCACAGTTCAGGAAAATACATCAGATTAACAAAAGAAAAAATTACCAATTACTATATAAAATTTATTATTTATTTTTTTGCAATAACAATTTTTTACTAGTTCTTATTTAATAACAAAATCCTGGTATTACTATTAGCCATGAAAAATAATCGTTTAAATAGTGTAAAGTATCAACATATGTACATAAATAACATAAAAATGATTTATCGACATTTGTTTTTCATCATTTTTCTTTTTAATTGCAGCCGGAAAAAATAATCACCGAGGAATCTGTCATTGTAGCTCAGTACATAAATAATCCACTTTTAGTCGATGGTCACAAATGTGATTTACGTCTTTATATCGCAGTAACTAGTTATGATCCATTATTAATTTATTTATATGAAGAAGGACTTGTCAGATTTGCTACAGTCAAGTATGAGGGTGGTAACCAGTACATCTGGAATCCTTGTATGCATTTGTGCAACTACAGCATCAACAAATTCCATGTTGACTACATCAAGAGTGAAGATCCTGATGCAGAAGACGTAGGACACAAGTGGACGTTGTCTGCCCTGTTAAGACACTTGAGAGCAATGGGACAAGATACGGAATTACTCATGCAGCGTATCGAGGACATTATAATTAAATCTATATTGGCTACGGCCTCTGGAATTGTTAGTGGTGTTAAACAATTCGTTAAATATCCAGACACATGTTTTGAATTATTTGGTTTTGATATTCTCATTGATGATACGCTCAAACCTTGGTTATTAGAAGTTAATTTAACGCCATCATTAGGCTGTGATTCTCCGTTGGATATAAAAATTAAATCTGCGCTGATGTCTGATCTTTTGACACTCGTTGGAATTCCAGCAGTCGATCCGATTTTGCGGCCACAAAATACTCAGCAGAATCGATCACTTGGCAACACTTCCAAGAGGCTGGCCAGTGTATGTATGCTCATGTGTATTCATGAGAATCATCAGGATTATTCCTTGAGTTTAAAAATAATCATGTAAATTTATTTGCAGTACCGACGGGTACATTCTGCTGAGACGTTGGCACAGAAAAAAAAAGTTAACAAGTCATCAAACCGCTCGAATCTTACATCAGAGCAACAGAGAATTGTTGCTTCAACTAAAGCTCAATTTGAAAGACGTGGAGGATTTGTTAGAATATTCCCCAGCCCTAAGTCTTGGGAAATGTATTCACAGTATTTAGGTAAATATTTAAATTACACTTGTACACTAGGAATTGCAAGTGAATTTTTTTTGGTTTATTTTAATTAACCACAAGCTTAAAAACAAATATCATTAATGTTTTTTCATTTGAAGTAATAAATGAAGTATTCAGTAATGACTTTGAGTTTCATCAACATTTAAAAAAAAAGAACTTGAACGGGTCTAAGTTGTGATAAAAACCATCGAAATGTAAAAAATTTAAATAATTCTTATTTACTGCCGAGAAGTTGAAAAACATATTATTAAATTTTTTAATCTTCAGAAAGATACTCAGATTAAAGATTAGAGTGATCAATTTTGAATCTAGTTTTTACAGTTAATACTTATTAATAAAAATTAAATTTTATTCAGTCAATTAAAAAAAATTAGGTCATTGCAAGGTTAAAGGAAATGCAAGCGATTAACTTGAAACGATTGAAATAAAAACAATACAATCAATTGGCTACCGAGATAAATCATCACCAAAAATGATTTATTCTCAATGAAAAAAAAATTGTTCGAATATTTGTTGTCACCGAACTTTATTAGCATAGTGGTTTTTCAAACTACTTTTTTACCTATAAGTCCTTGCACATTAATCATTTATTTTTCTCACAATTTACAAAGACTTTATATTTATTGAAAAATTAAAAAAATTCAACAAATCATTTATTTTAATTAACCATTGGTATTCTAAAACTTTTCTTCTATTTTCTCTTAATAATAAATTATTATTATTATTATTATTATTATTATTATTTATTACAATTACAGCAATAAATAATTTCGATGACTCAATAAAATTAATTAACAGGATCTCATTTAAGTTGTTCAATAAATATCGTAGAAATTTAAAAATAATTGAATAAATTTAATTAATAGTTCAAAATTAAAAAAATATTCCATCTCATTAAAATTACCACACGTTAGTGATGTTTCTGCATATAAAATATTTAATAGTTTCAAATGATTTATGTACAGAAGATTAAAATTAACAGCGAAGCATAGTAAAGTAGTTAATCATTTCTACTTCAATTATTTTTTTTGTTGAATTCGGTAGCCACTTATTTTCCATCATTTGTTTGATTCAAATAAGTAATTTTATTCTTGAATAATTTAAATCAGCTCAAATAAAATAATAATTGTCAATGATACAATGATTTTTAGATCCAACAACTGGAATTCCTGTAGTATTTGATCCTCTAGGACCTAGCAGAGTGCCTCAACAAGTTCATACAAATCATAATCTTATGCTACATGAACAATTATTTCCAGCTGCTAGTCGCACTTCCGGTTTTTCAGTGCCTGAAGTGACATTAGATAGACTGTCAAGGTAAATCTAAAGCCATAACGACAAAAGAGATAATTGTCATTTACTTGATGAATTATTTGAAATATGGTAACACAAGATATGTCAGTTTATTTATTATATCACTTATTATTTCATGCAGATATGAGAGATATGAGAGAGCGCTAGTTAAAGGACATAAACAGAGTTTAGATTGTGGTGATAGCAAAGAAAATATAGATGTTGATTCACATAAATATAAGGATCAAGTTACTCAGATGATGCAAGAGGGTAATAAGCTCAGGTGTGTATATAACATGTTGAAAAATTGATTAATGGCTCATCCGATAAAGAATATGTCATTTAAATGTCACTCGTTTTTTTTTTTAGTCCGGGGGAAGCAAGAAAAGCATTTGGTATGTATTTGGGATGTATTCTCCGGAAAATTTCACAAGCGAGTGCGGACTCAGCATGTTGTGATCTTGTTATGAAGTTTCTGCAACAGTCGTCAAGTAATTTACGTACGCCTTTTGTATTCACCGTAAGTATTTGTTTGTTTAAAACGTCTACTGCAGTATAGAAGAACTTTAATTTACTAAATGGAAATACCACAAAAGAATTTCAATTCAAAAGAGTATAATAAAAAGTTTTCAATTATAAAAGCTGCTCCATTTTCTCAAAGATTTATAATATGAACTCTTAAAATGTACACAGAATTTTTTTTTTTATACTTTATTTAAAAAATATAATTTTTCATATGTAGGATAGTATGCATTTAAAAGATTCAATGCAAAAAAAAATATTATATAAACTATTTGAAACGAAAATTTTTATATGAATTAGCTTCCTTTTATGTTTTGAATTAATTTAAGAAAAATATACATTATTCAAAACATTTCATTCTTCATATGTAAAATTTTCATGACATCAGTTGCATTTCAATAAAATAAATTTGTGTTTTTTATAACTATGAATTTAACTATTCTTAGTCATGAAGTAATTTTCATTCGATTATTTTATTTTATTTCAGTTACCAAGTAATAAACTGAGCGATAAAGATCGAGCAGCAATAACAGCTAAACAATTGTCAGATTTTCTACACCTTTACAATAGAGAAACAGATTTATATGCTGATACTGTTGATCGACCACGAACCGTACCAAATAGATTGTTTCAGAAATTTCTCGCTTCTGCAAGGTAAATTAATTCTTACAATAGCTTCTATATATTCCTTTCATAAACTTAATATGTATTAAAAAGATGAAGAAAAATAGTCTAGACAAAACTCACATAAAAATTGAACTATTTTATATTAATTTTTATTTAATTCTTTTTTAATTCTGATAAAAATATTTCAAGAAAAACTTTTCAATTAAATTTATTGAAACAATGTTTCAGTGAGGAAGATCTAGATGACGTCCTCATTCTCCAAACACGTCTCTACAATTGTGCCCATAGTTTCCTCGGACGAAGTGGTTTTGCCGGAAATCTCCGGGGAAACAATCTCTTAGGATCATTGCCGCAAATTACTTCAAGAGTTCACTCCAATGCTGTATCATTCGAGCAGTGTAAATGTACTCAACCTAATAGACCAAGTAAAGCTCCACGAACATGAGCCGTCAATATTACAATCGATATCTTCGTATATTTTTAACAACATCAGTTTGATTAATATACAATTCAATAATTTGATATTATTGTCAACCGTCCAGACGCTTTAATTATGGAATTTTTCATAATGTGATAGCGATTCATCAACGAAAATGGCCTAATGTCATTTTTACATGTAAAAAAAAAAAACATCGACAATCCTTCCTATAAATCAAGCGATATAATCAACATTTATAATTGAAACAATAATGTTCGTAGAACTGAGATTCAATTTGTTCATTAGTAATTTTTTTAACGGGTCAATCATTTTTTTTTTGGTGCTAGTCTAGTTAGAATAATAAATTTTTTATGAAAAATTTTATTTAGTTTTAAGCATAAATATGAGTAATTATACATTTATTTATTTATGAGTTTATTTAATTTCAATCACGGCCTTTATCACTGTTTTAAGCATCAACCACCCTAATATATATTTATATAAGAGAAATAATTCCATCACTATTTGCTTCCATAAATATATAATATATATTTCTTAATCTTTCCTTCTAGTCACGGAGAGTTTGTTGAAATCGACAACTGATTTGATAGAGAAAGTTGTTGAATACCGAAAAAATATTTTGAGCAGGCTCAGTAGTAATCTTTTGCATTTGCCTTATGATTACTCAATTAAAAAATGTATGGCAAATTTTAAGAAGTATGATTTATATATTGTAAATTGTGCACAAAAACGTTTATGAAATGGTAATTGAAAATAGAATGAGTGAAGTGTATGAAGACTTAAATAATATATTTTTTAAGTAGTCAAGTACGTTTAATAGTAAGCGATTTAAGCAATAATAAAAATATTTATTTGGCAGATTATCATTATTTATTATAGTTACTAATTAATTTTCATCTGTATCACTTGTACCATTTTTTTACGTGATTTTCATAGATTGCATAAAATGCAAAAGCTGTGATACAAGTGATATATTAATTAAAAAAAAAAAGGACTTGAATAAACAATAAATAGTTAAATGCTTTTGATATTAAAATTGATAATATTACGCATATGTTTGAAAGAAATTTTTTATTTGTATTCAAGTCGTAAGTTCTTTTAATCCAATAAAAAAACAATAAAGCATTCGAAATTAGGTATGTAAAGAATAAATAATAGTGTCTAAAATTTTGTAAAATTAAAATAAAATTTACAAAATATTATGCGAATTGTTTACAAGTTAAATTATTTAATTAAGTGGTTTTTTTTATAATATAATATTACTAATTTTTTATTTCGTTTTCAAGACAATTATTTTTTCTATGTATTTATGTGAATTTGTTTTGTTATGCTTCATTGCTTGTACAACCTAATTACTTATTCAAAGACAATTGAATAAAATGTAAGGTCATGTGTGTGGTGATAAAATTTAATTGTAATAACACTGCATTTTTAGCTATATACGTAAGCATTTTTGTAACGCATGATGCTTCATATTTTAGTATAATTTATCTTACATTGCCAAGGAAACGAAGAACAAAAATACTGACAAAGGTATAGTTGTTTGGGATTTAAAAAGAAAAATGTCTAATAATTAACAGTTAAATTCTTAATACTGCCTTTGACTAATAAATTTTAAAATTTTTAAAAGTTATAGATTTCTAGGAGTTTGTTCAATTTAATATTAAACATTAAAGTTATGTTCATGTTGTAATTAAAAAAAATTTTTGTATTAAGATAAATTTGAAAGATTATCGTTAAACTACTTATCATTATATGCCTCCAGTTAAATTAGCAATCTATATTAAAAGCTATTTGATGATTAAAAAAATTATTGCTGAAAGTTCTGTATATCTGTATAAATAGCTGTAAAAAACATTGGGAAATGTTAAACACTGTAGCTCAGCGATAAAATGCTGCAGCTCTAAGGTATAATACTGTCTTGGGTTTGAGAATCGTACTTGAAGTAAATGTTATTGATTATGTGAGAAATAGATAATTGAAAATAGTACTTTGTTAGTTTGGACTCATTGTTAAATGAATAATGAGACACAAAGTACTCCTCTTTACCTGTGATCTGCCAAGTTTGCTAGTCAACTGTACTCAAAGTAGAGTCAATAGTAACTTTATTCAGAAAGGATAATGTCAAAGAATGCGGTATTAGATATTTTTTCATGGCAACTAAACTTTAATTATTTAAGTAAGATGAAATTGAAACATTTATTCTGTACTTTTAATCAATAAATAAAATTATTGTATTTAATATTTGTGTTAATGACTCAGTTTTATTGCTATTCTCTATAGCAAATTATAGAGTAAAGATTTAGAACTCTTTAGTAATAATTGATAATATGATAGAAAATTGATTTTTCAATGATTTTTTATTACTCAAACTAAATAATCAGTGTTGTTGATAGTAATTAATTATATTAATAATAAATTAATAATAGTCAGATTAAGAAAAAATCGTTAAATATCATTAAAATGTTTTTTATTCAAAATCATTGTATAAATTTTATTACAAGTAAATATTTATTTAATTTTTTATCCACTTGGGATAGAATATATTAAATTTTAATAAATCGAATTTATTCTTATACCATATATAAGCTAAAAATGGAATGACAAAAAGATTCCAAAGTACAAAATCATTCTTACGTAATAAAAAATGCACAATAACCTTTTATTAAAGCCGACTTTTGGTAAATGTTATACTTCATTTCTGTAATTTCTTTTTTAAATTATCAGCCAACTTGTTCATAAAGTCAAAAGTCTCAAGATAGTCTGATCTCTTCACATTATCCATTCCTTTAATGCAAATAGCTAAATCCTTAGTCATAAATCCTTGCTCAATAGTTTCTATACAAACTTGTTCAAGTTTCTCAGCAAAATCAGTTAAGGCTTGATTATTATCAAGCTTAGCACGATGAAGAAGTCCACGAGTCCATGCAAATATTGATGCAATAGGATTCGTTGATGTTTCTTTTCCTTGTTGATATTGACGGTAGTGTCTAGTAACAGTTCCATGAGCTGCTTCAGCTTCGACAGTACGTCCGTCAGGGCAAATTAAAACTGAAGTCATAAGACCAAGAGATCCAAAACCCTGAGCTACTGAATCAGATTGCACATCACCATCATAATTTTTACAAGCCCATACAAATCCTCCATTTGATTTCATTGCATAAGCTACCATATCATCGATCAAACGATGCTCGTACCAAATATTTAAAGCTTCAAATTTACTTTTATATTCTGCTTCATAAATTTCTTGGAAAATATCCTTAAATCTTCCATCGTATTTCTTTAGAATCGTATTCTTTGTTGACAAATAAAGAGGATATTTGCGTAAAAGAGCATACTGGAATGAGCTGTGAGCAAAATCACGAATGCTTTCATCAGTGTTGAACTGAGCTTGAGCTACACCTGCACCTTTAAATTCATGAACTGTATGTTGAATCTTATTGCCATCAGAACCAGTCCAAGTTATTTCAAGCTTTCCAGCCCCAGGTACAACGAAGTCTGTAGCCTTATATTGATCTCCATGAGCATGTCTACCAATAATGATAGGTTCATTCCAACAAGTAACCAATCGAGGAATATTCTTACAAATGATAGCTTCCCTAAAAACAGTACCACCAAGGATATTTCTTATAGTTCCATTGGGACTTTTCCACATTTGTTTTAATTTAAATTCTTCAACTCTTTTCTCATCAGGTGTAATGGTAGCACACTTGATACCAACGTTGTACTTTTTTATAGCCTCAGCACAGTCTACAGTGACTTGGTCAGACGTGGCATCTCTATTTTCAATCCCAAGATCATAAGTGTGTAATTCAATATCCAGATAGGGAAGAATCAGTTTTTCTTTGATCGAGTCCCATATTATACGTGTCATTTCATCTCCCAAGATGTCTACAACCGGCCCCGCCTGTTTGTTAAGGACACAAGATATTTATTCATACTGAATATAAGCAACAATTGATAAATTTATTTCAATAAAAAGTGTAAGTATTATCAAACTTTACTATTTAGTAATAGAAAATTGAGATTGTAAAAGTACTTGACAGCTTCAAAAGGTGTAATGGTTGGAAATTGGGTGAAAAAAGTTTGATATCTCATTCACTAACCTTGATTTTAGCCATAGTGACTGTTGAAGCACTAAAAGATCGAGTAATTGAAGTATTTAACAATTTACGATTTGCACAAGCAAGAAGAGAAAGTGTCTGTTTTCTACTAACGTTCAAAGTCCCGTTGTTAATTGAATGAACGGAGACCGAAACACGAATAAAATTGTTGATCAAGTAACGAGGAAAGACAGACATGACAACCTACTTTGCCGGTGTAATCGTTTCTCTTCTTTCCACTTGTACTTTTTCACCAACATCTTCTCTTCGTCGATCCCCACCTTCAGATTTAGCCACATTCTATCTTTTTCTTAACCGCTAATCAAGCAGGAATTATTGCCAAAGTGACATTGCAATAAACATTTACTAGATCATTTGTTTATAAATATTTATGTCAAAGAATGCGTAATCTAAGTACTTAGCAATCATTTAATACAACTACCTTATCAAAATAATAAACTTTTTGTTATTTAGGATTAACAATGATTCTATAAAAATGCACTGTTATTAAAATTAATGTGAACACAAATCATAGAAAATTCTTATCTTTCGAAATTATTATCAGCCAATTCTTCAGTTAAAAAAGATAAAGCATCACTAAATAAATAAGTTATTGAGAATTTTGATGCCGATAATTCGCAACCTAGATAAAATTAATAATTTAAAAACTACTTCACAATTGATAAACATAAATTTATCAAATAATTTCGTAACTTTTTAATACAAAATCTTGAATGCAAATAACACTTTCTTCATATCCATCGCTATTTATTACAAGGATTTCATCCATTACGATAATAAATCATAAACAAGTTTATTCTCATATTACGTAAAAGTTAGATTATTATTCCAAGATTATCAATGAAGGTTATTGATCTTTAAAAAAAAAACTAAGTTTTTTCAAATCTTTCGCTGGTGAAACTTTCGAAAAATCACCATGAACGCCACTCTTCTTTAGCGACCGTTTCACTTGGTAAAAAAATTTGAACTTCGTGCTCTAATAAATTGATTGGGATTGGTCGAGCTAAATCTCTAATGGCACCAATCACAGCTTGGATCAAAGATGGTAACGACACCTGTAGTTCTTCCAAGGTCCCTAAATGACAAGTATAGTTACACTGATAACTGAATCATTTTCCACCCACTACGTATCTTTGTCAAACATCTGTGATAAAATTTACAGCAATTTCTGTCACGTACGGATATTGATATGTAAGAATGTACATCACATGACTAAAAACGTTTAAAAAAAATTTATTGTGAATGGAAAATTTCACTATATCGAATCAAGAAGTTCCTTAACCTCTACTGTTATTGGATATACATCATTGGAAAATGGAGTAACAATTTTAAAACGACCAAAAAATTCAATCCTGCTCGTCAATGTATTCTATTGGAATAAGTAAGGATAATAACGAACCCAATATACTAGAAATGGTGAGTGTACAAATTAGATTAATTCTTTGATATCAAAAATTGTGTCAAACTGATATCTAATATTCATGGTCAAGGGAAAGAGCACAATACAGAGTCGTGATCATCATTCAATGAAATTGAAGTATTTAATCAATCGATACGTAATTCCAATCAAAATTTCACTTACAAATAAAGATGACTTTATTGACGTCGTATTCCAACTTCTATACTAAACAATATGTTTGCGTATCAAACTCTAGCTTCATTTGGTAGATTAACATAGCTGATTGAGATTAAAATACTTATTACCATAAATATCAACTGAAAAGAAAATAAAAGAATTGATATGTGCAGAAGGTCTGATCAAGAAGTCATAGAAATAGAAATGACAACAGTGTCTTATACTCTCATAATGACATACATTTAATCCTGAATTTATTAATCTGGATAAGATTTTTATCGAGCTGTTATATCTTGTTAAGCTATGGTCAAGTGAATGGCTCAAAGTTTCAAATAATATAATTTCTGTGAGTGGTAAAATGTAAATTCGTTATATATTCCTTTCATTTTTTGTCCGAACTCTATAATATCTTCATAGAATTGCTAATTTAATTACTGAGTTGTAGGAAGTATATTAAAATAGTAGTTGCTTGAATTAATCCTAAATCCAAATTATTCTCTTAATCAATAACTAAATTGTAAATAATTTAACCGAACCAATCAACCAAAAAAAAGGTTAAAGATGAAATTGTTTGTCTCTATGTGCAAAATAGATCAAATCAATGCCATGGAGAAATTCCCATTGAAGGGTTCACCGTTGAATGTTTCTGCTCATACAACTGCTGGCACGACTTACAACTCAGTAGCCGTTGCTCAGGTATGCATTTTGCAATCATCGTGTCATTTTCCTTACACATGCAATTATTTACATTACAAATGAAATACTTGAACCTGGATATGGATAATATTTTAGCAAATATTTTTATTTAGTTGCTTTATTAATCCTCCTGTGTAATTTTTATGTAAATCTAATCTTGCTTCTAAACTAAAAACACCATTTCAGAGGTAAAATTTCTCCTAAGAGCTATTAACAACTAGTAAATAAATCAGAAACAAATAAAAATAATATTGGGTGTGTAAAAAACCTACATGTGGCTTTGATGAAATACCAAACTAGAGAGTAGAATCTCTTTTTCCATAATCTATGTTAATAAACAATAACACCACGTATCTCGAATTAAAAGTAGTTGGAAACCGCTCAAGTGCTGCACATATTGGTAGCAAGCGGCTAATACCAGAAGTAAGAATAACAAAAAGATTTTTTTGTTAAATACATTGAGAGACACATATTTTACTTTTGTACATAAATATCACTTATACTTACGTAACCACTATGTTGTCTATTACGTAGTTTTCTTTCTTGATAATGACCCTCTGCACGTTCATTTATTTATCATCAAATGTCTAAAACTAATCAAACTTTGGAAGGATGTTGGCATGCTCTAACAATAGACACTGATAAATTTGTTCTGAATCAGTAAATAGTCCAGATTCAAATGGAAACATAATTTTAGAACTTTTGTTTCCAAGCTTGTTGATATTTTGAATAGTCAGTTCTACGCAATGTTCCAATTTTTTAAATCATTTAATGATAATTATTAGTTGATCATAATATAGTGCAAGATTCGATGTTAAATTGAGTTAAAATATGTAATAAATCGGTCAATTATTGGCATCTGTAATTTGAAAATAATGAGTAAAAAATACTGTCAATAATAATAAGATTTAATTTCAGTTTAAATTGAAATTAAAATTGTTTAGTATTAACTCTTTTGAAAAAGAATCCCTATATGATGGATATAAATGTTTTAAAATTTTATTAATCTAATTTTTAGACCAGTAATGGTCTAGAAGGTAGTGGTGATACCCGTTTACGGAACAGTGCTTATGGTCGTGGAGGAAGTTTGAGCAGCGACGACGACATGGTGGAAACTAATCAACAAGTTAGTCCGAACGAGGCGAATAATGCTTATCTAGAACGAAGTTTACGCCTTGATGATGCATCATCACACTGTAAGTATAAACTTTTTGATTAAATTTATCAATAAAATTAAACTCTGGAATAAGCAATGTATTTTTTTCCAACATTAGTTTCAGCTGATGATATTCCTGGAATCGGTCAGTATGAAGATTTTCATACAATTGATTGGCAGAGAGATATTGCAAGAGATCGTATGAGACATCGGTATATTGTTAAAAGAAAAAATGATTCTATTTGGGATCTTGTGAAAGGAGCACATGATGCTTGGTCGGGATGGTTGTGTGTTCTTCTTGTTGGATTGTTTACTGGTGTGGCAGCTGGTGTGATAGATATTGGAGCATCTTGGATGACGGATCTCAAGTTTGGAATTTGTCCTGAGGCTTTTTGGTTAAATAAGGAGCAATGTTGTTGGAGCTATAGTGATTCAATATTTGATGATGGCAATTGTTCTCAGGTAAGTTATAATTCTAGTTCAATACGTGTAAAGTTTTTCTTTAGAACTTTGTATTTATTATTTAAAGAGTTTAAAAGCAAAAGTTAACGACTACTCTAGTTGTTCTTTTGATAATAAAAAGTAAAACTCGTTCTTTGTTCAACTGGATTCTCAAATATTCATTCATTCTTTTAATTTGTACTTCAAAGTCATTTTTATAAGTTATAAAGCTTTGTAATTTTTAATTCATACACTACATAATTGCAAATTATGCTTTCATATATATGTAAATTTGTTTTAGCATTATTCGCTTCTTTTTGAAGCTTTTTATTGAATAAAAAATTGTAAAAAATTAATACGACAACTAATTTTATTTAATTATTGCAGTGGATGCAGTGGTCTGATATATTTGGCCAATCAAAAACTGGAGTAGGACATGCTATAGTCTCTTATATTTTTTATATTGCATGGGCTTTACTTTTTGCCTCATTATCTGCATCATTAGTAAGAATGTTTGCTCCTTATGCTTGTGGTTCTGGTATTCCTGAGGTATGTATAACTAAATATGTAATAAAAAAAATTTCTAAATGTTTCTTCTTGCATTCTATTTACTTATTTTATTTTAGATAAAAACTATTCTCAGTGGATTTATTATTCGAGGCTACTTAGGAAAATGGACTTTGATTATCAAATCAGTAGGTTTAATGCTCTCAGTATCAGCAGGTCTAAGTTTGGGTAAAGAAGGGCCAATGGTACATATTGCTTGCTGTATCGGAAACATTTTCTCATATTTGTTTCCGAAATATGGAAGAAATGAAGCAAAAAAACGTGAAATCTTATCTGCTGCTGCAGCTGCTGGAGTTTCAGTTGCTTTTGGAGCACCAATTGGTGGTGTTTTGTTCAGTCTTGAAGAAGTAATTATCCTTAAAAATTATTTCAACCTAGAAATCGATAATAACTATAATCAAAACCGACATCGTGGCCTAAGTGGTAAGGTGCCAGCCTAGTGCACTATGGGTAGCGGGTTCGATTCCCGGCTGAGACAAGACCCATTTATAATATAGTCTTTTCTCTGACCACGATGAGCGGGAGGCCTCTCAGAGGGCAGTCAAGGGCGTAAGCTATCGTGCTGATGACTGAATAGTACAAAAAGTGCTATTGCCGCCACGATGCCCTTGGGGAACCAGGCGACACCCCATTGTAGTACAGCCTTGCTGATGCTGAGTCTGAAACCAGGACCCTTGAGGTAACCGGTAGAATCTCCGAGGGTAGGACGATTTCTTGTGGAACTGGGACGACCTCTTAGGTTGACACCAGGCCTATAGATCTTGCCTACCTAAGGCTGAGGAAACCGGGGGACCCATGGGGCTTAGCGGAATCTCCAAAGGCAGAAATAACGTTCTTTCGTACCACCATAATATATATATATATATTGGAAATCGACAGGGACTGTTTCGGGGCTCAGAAGGGAACCAAGGCAACTTGGGAACCTAGGGAACCTGCAGGCCTAAGACATAAGACGACCGCCTTTACTGTGCAAACAGACCCTGTACAAAGGCCCTGTGGCTAAGTGCAGGGGAAGGCGGGACATTCTAAGACATCTTCCAAAACTATAATCAAAATTCAACCTTATAATTAATTTTATTTACAGGTCAGTTATTATTTCCCTTTGAAAACTTTATGGCGATCATTCTTTTGTGCCTTGATAGCAGCATTCGTTTTACGATCAATTAATCCATTTGGCAATGAACATTCGGTACTATTTTACGTTGAATACAACAAACCATGGATATTTTTCGAACTGATCCCATTTGTTATGCTTGGTATTATTGGAGTAAGTAATTAGAAATGTTAATTAATCACAACTTGGAATCTACAATTCATTAATCAATAAAAATTATAGGGCATTATAGCAACTCTCTTCATTAAAGCCAATTTATTCTGGTGCCGCTATCGAAAAACTTCAAAGCTTGGTCAATATCCAGTAACGGAAGTATTAGTAGTTACTGTTATCACAGCTGTAATTGCCTATCCTAACCCATATACGCAAATGAGCACGAGTCAATTGATTTATTTGCTATTCCGAAAATGTGGTGTTTCAAATAATGATATGCTTTGGTAAGCCCGATTATTTCATTCATTTAATTTAAAATTTATTCATCAATTCTGATCAAATTGATTTTGATTTATTTATCTTTTAGTGATTATCAACGAAATTTTACGAATTTTAATTCAACAATTGAAACCGCTGGAGCCGAACCCGGCGTTTATAAAGCAGTATGGCTTTTAGTACTGACATTGGTAATGAAACTAGTCATGACGATATTTACATTTGGTATTAAAGTACCGTGTGGATTGTTCATACCGTCACTTTGTCTTGGAGCAATTGTTGGAAGAATAGTCGGTATTGGAATGGAGCAGCTAGCATATAATTATCCGCACATTTGGATGTTTAGTGAAGAGTGTACTGTTGGTACTGATTGTATAACACCTGGTTTGTACGCTATGGTTGGTGCAGCAGCTGTTTTGGGTGGTGTTACAAGAATGACAGTGTCTCTTGTTGTAATCATGTTTGAATTGACTGGTGGAGTGAGATACATTGTTCCACTGATGGCAGCTGCTATGGCGAGTAAATGGGTTGGAGATGCACTTGGAAAAGAAGGTATTTATGACGCGCACATAGGGCTCAATGGATATCCGTTCTTAGACAGCAAAGAGGAATTTCAACATACAACTTTAGCTGCTGATGTAATGCAACCAAAGTAAGTTTGTTTTCTCATAAATTTTGGAATCAATTTTTTTATTTTGAGCATCTCAATAATAAAAATCATTCTGTTTGATATTCTAGACGCAATGAAACACTTCACGTCCTTACACAAGACTCAATGACGATAGAGGATGTGGAGAATTTGTTAAAAGAAACCGAACACAACGGATATCCGGTGATAGTATCAAAGGAATCGCAGTATTTAGTGGGATTTGTTTCACGACGAGATTTGAACTTAGCTATAGCAAATGCAAAAAAAGTAATGGAAGGTATCACTAGTCAGTCATTGGTCATTTTTACTGGCGGAAACAATTTGCCTATGCAAGGACCACCACCATTAAAATTGAAAAAGATATTAGATATGGCACCTATCACCATCACCGATCAAACTCCAATGGAAACGGTCGTTGATATGTTTAGGAAATTAGGTTTACGACAAACTCTCGTGACTCACAATGGGTAAATAAAAAATTATTTATCATTTTTACTATCATAAATCATTCAACAAATATTAATCAATATTTTTTTATTGCTTTTCAGCCGATTACTTGCTGTAATCACGAAAAAAGATGTTCTAAGACATATAAAACAATTAGATAATGAAGATCCAAATTCGGTTTTATTTAATTAAACTTAAGAAGAATCCAGCATCTTACCATTAATTCGTAAACAAAATTCATTTATCTTATTCAATCGTCTTTTTTTAATATTACTTTTTCAAACGAACTTCCTCCTCCGACTATATTTATTTTTAGTGAATAATGGGAATTTATCATTCAATAATTATATATACATATTATATAGTATTGTTATTTTTTCACTTTTAAAGTATTTAGAGATTATTTATTCACATGGAAAGTAACTAATTTTAATTATACATATTTTCTCAGTAATCATACAAACTGATATGTCGTCCGATCTGATTATTTGTTGGAAACTAATTAATGGTGATAATGATGATATTTATTATAATTATTTTAAAAAAATTAATGAAGCTATAATTCAGATAAGTTGTAGAAAATGGAACAAATTGCCACCAAGATTTCATTAATCATGTTATTATTAATTTATTATGATAAGGGAATATTAAATATTCTATTATAATTGTAATAATTTGAAATTGTAAATAATTAAAAATATGAAATAACGATGTATGTTCAATTAACAAGATTAATATTAAGAAGATATTATTTCTGCAATTTTTAATAAATTATAAAAAAAACATATTTAGGTCAAAAATGAAATAGTTAAATGTATTGGTAATTAAGTGTTATTATTTTTATTTAAGTATTTACTTTGAATTATGATATTATTCATTTTAATTTTAATTTTTGTAATACATATTGATATTATTTTAATCGTTTGTTCCTCATTTTATAATTTTAATTATTTTTCTTTTATTAAAATAAATAAAACAATCATTTTAAAAATAAGCAATTATCATTTGTACACTCACGCAAACATATTTTATAAGTTGAAGTAGGCATTACTCAATCTTGCTTTTTCATCAAAATTAATAAGTAAAAATAAATGTTCTGAATAAATCACAAGTATAAAAGATAAGCAGTAATAATAATAACAATTTAACTGAATATGTTAAAAAATTTAAATATTAATAATTACTGTTGGTAGCAATGCATCCGTTGTCACGCTTACCAATGCCGCCATTTGTCAAAAAATAACGACATCGGGCTGGGACAGTTGGATTGAAGTGGCATCCAGTGTCATAGATGATTGCAAGTATGTGTTGTGATGTTCCTGTTTGTTGATGATAAGTTATTGCTTCGGTGTAGATGCTTTTTGGTAAGTTTCTATCATGATATCCTTTCAAAAAGGAAATTAGAATAATTTTTCTGTAATAAAAGGGAAAATATGTGTGTCGATTGAAAGGTTAGATGAAAGTGTTAGCGGTTTTTCTGAAATACTGTTACCTGTCCGCTCTCAGGATGTCCTCGTTGTCAGCTCAATTAATAGAATTTATGCATCATTGTTCATTATATATGTCCATATATTCTTAGCGACTTGTTAAATAGCTCATTGCAATTTCTGCAAATTAAATCTATCAAATTTCATTGGACGCCATCGACAACTTAACCTTCTCTAACCCACGGAATTCCTTGACTCGGTAAATCGGCTCAAGTTTCTACGATACTAACATTTTTTTTATATCAATCGCTTCTCTATTTTATCAAGATTACTTTCGCAATAAATCGTATTATCCATCTATAGTACATCAATTCTATCTTGTTTCATCATAACTAATCTAAGATATTTTCTCAATTAATCATGTAAGTATGCCGTGTTTACATTAAAAGAAGATGGAATAAGTTTGAAAAATGATTATTAATTGATCAAAATTATTCTTCTTTTCAATATAACCTTATTAAAGTCTATACCATTTTTCATTTGTACAGGTACAGTGTATATAGACATTGGTGAACCAGCACGATGGGCAAACTCTTGTCAAAAATTTTTGGCAACAAGGAGATGCGCATCCTTATGCTGGGTCTAGACGCAGCTGGAAAAACTAGTATCCTTTTGAATGAATTAATCTCGGAAAAATCATTGTGACTTCTGTAGAATGTTTACATGTACAGAAATTGAATAACTTGAATATATTTTTAAAACTTGAACAATTGTTCTCTTAACTTTACATATATAACAATATTCATTTATTTAATTCTTATTTAAATGCAAATTTAAAGTTATTATTGGAACTGGAAAGAGTAAAATAAAATACAGTATTGAAAATGATTCATTTATTCCTTAACAAATTTAATATTAGCTATTCTGTATAAATTGAAATTCGGACAGTCAGTAAATACCATACCTACCGTAGGATTTAATGTAGAAACTGTTACATACAGAAATGTTAAATTTAACGTTTGGGTAAGTTAATATTTTTCCACATTATTAAATAATTAAGTATCTAAGTTTGAAAAACCAGTGATGTATAATAGAGGAAGCACATTTTTCCTTTATTATAATTAATTGAAGAAAGTGATTATAAAATAATAATTTTCCACGAATCATTCTAGGACGTGGGCGGCCAAGATAAAATACGCCCGCTTTGGCGTCATTATTATACTGGAACAGAAGGACTTATTTTTGTAGTAGACTGTGCAGATCGAGATCGAATTGACGAAGCTCGTCAGGAATTGCATCGAATTATTAATGATAGAGAAATGCGTGATGCTATTATTTTAGTATTTGCTAATAAGCAAGATCTTCCTAATGGTAAGTTTTTCTACTTCAACGAATTTAATTAACTCGTTAGTGCTTACTGGCAAATTAACAGTCTTACGCAAAAACATAACCTACAATTTATCTTAAATTTCATTTTAATCACACTTGGGTTTGAATAATGAAGATATTAAATAAAGTTTCAGAAATATGTGTATTTTGTTTTTTAGAAAAATTTTTCTAACATCACATCAGTTGTTGGGATCATGATATTTTTATATTTTTCTACTTCAGTAGTAATTGAATTTTCTTTCATGCTTTTAAATCATTCCTGCGTATTTAAAAAACTGTGGTGGTTATTTTCAGCAGTTACTTTGTTTATTATAAAATTCATAAATGATGTACATTAATAATAATTTTGTACTGGTTATAATGAATGAACGCTGATACTTGATTACTTTATTTATAGAGCTGACGTAAAATTTTTATATTTAACTATAGTTACCATTAAATTTAATATTAGTCACAGCTATTGAACCCATATGGACGATAAAATGAAATTTTAGGTAAAGCTACACCAGACATAATTATGACCATTAATTTTCTATGCTAATGTCTAAAATAATATGCTTTTAAAAAATATTAATTAACCAAATAGTAACACATTTTCCTATTTCTTCTATCTTTTTTCCAACTTGGAGCCTATGAATTATTAATAGTTATTTTGGAGTGATATTCTACAAAGATGCATAATGATGTGAATATTAAGATACCTATGATCTGTTTTAGCTATGAAACCGCACGAGATTCAAGAGAAATTGGGATTAACGAGAATACGAGATAGAAATTGGTATGTTCAACCGTCATGTGCCACGACAGGAGATGGACTTTATGAAGGCCTTACATGGTTGACTAGTAATCATAAATTATGAATAATTAGTTAGTCTCTTTTCCTCGTGGTTTCATACATCAAATACACGCCTGCCATGTGATTTTACTTTACGCCAACAAAGTCGAGTTTCTGCCATCGCGCAGAATAGAATTAAATGGCATTCTCGTCCGCCGCAAATGAACGAATAAACGTGAAGGAATGTGAATCTAATGTACAATGGCGTTTCAGTAATGTATAGAGTGGGTAGAAAAAAGGTCCCATTCACACGATCTATCATTTAACAATGAACCGCAAATGTCTTATTGAAATTATCGGTTCAATCTTTCGTTGCGTAATATACCCAAATCATTAAACACAACATGTTGAACGCGAGGTACACTGAAAATTATTAAAATCAACAAAATCGTTAGATAATCATCTGTTCATAAATTTACATCTTCACTACTTTAGTCTAAGGTAGGATTCTTTTTGCAATATAAATATTTTATCGTTTTGTTTATACAGTTTTAATTTTTCAAAATATTTAGAAGGGAAAAAACATTCAAAAAAATAACAAAAAAATACTAAGTAAAATCCTCGCACAGCCATTGACTTCTATATAATATTAATATGTACTATTAAGACGTACTATAAAATAAAACAAGGAAAATTAATTAAAAATCTTTATAATATAGGAATGATTTGTTTAATTTTAATTATACTTTTGTTTTAATAACATTCATACATATTTAGTTGTGATGTAAAAATTTATTAGTTTTCTGTTCCAAATATTTTTACGTGCTTGTAAGAATATCTTTACACATAAAAGCAATGAAATAAATTTAAAAATAGATTTATTTATTTAAAACAAATAGTTTGAGTCAATTGATAATTCATAAATAATTGAGCCAATATGTTGGTACAATTATTTTGAATTAAATAAAAAAAAAAAGATATAATTATCTATATAATTTTTCTGAAATATAATAAAAATATGTTTCATATAGAATTATATAAAAGAAAAAACAAACGTACAACGGCGTGACGGATAATGATAATTTAGTTGGTTAAAGAAAGAAAAAAAAAATGAATAAAAATTAACTGTATACAATTGCCGATATTTAATGCTCAAAATTTATATTCTGTCATTTATCATTTTTTAAATGTTAAATATTTATTCAATTGTAATCAGAAATTTTTATTCATTTTAGTTATAGCAATAGAATATAAAAGCACACGAGCAAAATCACAAGCGACGTTGAATGATAAGCATAATAAAATATTTTACTATTCTTTTGGTCAATATGAGTGTTCATATTTAAGTAGGGATTCAAAGAACTAAATGAAATAGAAAAATATAGGAAGTGAATACGTATCTTCTTGGATGTTGCCAAAGCAACGCAACAATTGCATTCCGTAGTATAATCTCTAGAATCACTTGTGTAATAAAACTTAATCACTGATTTATAATGATTAATAATATTCCAATATTTTTTATCAACGATTATATATATGGTGTTGCCAATTAAAATTGCGCTTTTGTAAATGACTCTGTACAATTAGTACTTTTGGATGATTGAATTTAAAATGCTGATAATGATGGTGATGATTGATTAAACTAAGAAAATAAAAGTACGCATTAATATTTTGTAACTAACAATTCAGTATTGGTTTTTAGAAATTCATTAATACATAAAAATGATTTAACAAACGAGAAGATGGCAATAAGATTCGTTTGTACAATGATTTTGTACGTTTCTTCAATACTGATGTACCATAGAAATGACTGAAATTATCATTATTATACATTATATTCTCTGTAAATTTTATTTTTATTGTCTTTATATAATTATCCCTTTCATCACATTACTCTAACGTCCTCATAATCGAGCCCATTTGCTGGACATTGAAATCCTTTATCTAAACATTTACAATCGATCATCAACTAGAAATATTAACTCGTAAAATGTATAGAAAATATTGATAGTTCAGATTGATCACTTTCAAAAATAAGTATTAGTGGACAGTAATATTTATTTATAAGAATAAGCACATAAATAATCAGTCAATTGTTGAATAAAAAAAAGCTAGGATTTTTTTGATTGTAAGAAAAAGTTTGAATATAGAATAGTTTTTATTTTCTTTAGATATTGGAGTATGTCCAGCTTTTAAGACTCTCATTTTATGTCCTTCCTACTTCCGTACCGTTAAAAATAAAAGCCATAAGTAAATTGCTGATAGGTGGACCATTGTGTGCTCACTTAATGTCACTATTTTCGATAAATCAAAATAAAATTACAGTTTCTAAATGTTTGTATATCTGAACTATTTTTTGTGCGTTTGTTGAGTCTTCCACTGAATAAAAAAGTTGGATGTATGATAAATGATAATAGACTCATAAACGTAACATACACGATACTTCCATTAAGATGAGAGTAAATTTACAATTCTCACACATTTTTATTGTCATACATTAAATATTTTTAAACAATGTCTGAAAAGTTATATAGCCGGAAAAATACTATTGTAAAATTATTTCTATCTTTCAAATAAGTTCATAAATTTTTAATATGATGTATTTCTGGAGAAGCAATAATGATGAGAAATTTTATTTTATCCACCGAAAGTCGTTATTAAATTACAAGAAAAACAAAAAGCATAAAATTATTACTAAATCTGTATCACATAATTTGTATAATAAAAATAAATTTTTATTCAATTTTATTTATTACAAAATCGTGCTTGAAATTGAAACAATTTCAATGAAATTTCGTTAAATACCAAGTAAATCCGAGTGGGTGTACGTAACCATGGGTCAGGGTTACTCCAAGGTTTCCGCCCATTTTTCCACCCTTCCTTCTCTGCTACTATACAATGCATTCACTGCTCCACTGTGCTTGTTCATCACTCTCAAAATGATTGAATTATTGCATAAATTAAAAGATAACATTTTTCTTTTCAAACCCTGCTATTTGAAATTTAGAATCAAAATGGACTGAAAAAAAAAAGAAATAAATTAAAAAGCATTTGATGTATAATCCATTGTAAAATATATTCTATATGTTATAGAAATTTTGGAGTAAACCGGAAGCTAAAGAAATATCTACATGTGCCAATTAAGTTTTGTATATATAAGAGGTCGACTATGTGCCAAAAGTTTTTGAGCGATTGAGGCCGGGCATACGTCGTCGTGGGAGCTGCTATATCAAGCGATAAAAAAGTTGGCTGATGTAATAAAAATCGATTCAGCAGATAGGGTAATAATTGGTCACGCATATGATATCAGTCGAGTAATTATATATAATATGAGTCAAGTAATAATAAGTAACAAAATGAAAAGAAAAAAGAAAAAAGCAGTTACAGTAATCATAAAGGCGACGAAAGAATGAAACAAAAAAAGGTGTAGAAGAATAGGAAAGAATTGGCTGCCTTCCGGAAAATGCGCAAGGGGTTGCGCGGAGAAAAAGGCAAGAGGTCGCGAGCGCGTGATGGCAGAAGGAATTGAGGGGTGTAGAAAAAGGAAGGAGAATTGAGGAGCTTGCGTACGAGACTGGTAAATGATCTTACGTAGAGAGAAGAAGGAGGGTGCGCCAACGAGAATTTCCTCCTTCACTTGAAGGTTATACATGTTAAATCAATGATGCCGAGCTTGCGCGTATTTAGAGTCTGGTCCTGGTCAACTAACTAGAGTGAGGGAAAAGGGCAAAAGCTGACGGTGATGATGTAGTAATAGTAGTAGTGTTGTTACAACAGCTAGCACACACACTAGACTCACTTGCTTCCCCTTCAACTCTTGCGCGGCGGCGTCGAAACCTCACCCTACTCTCACACACCCCCGGAAAAGCTTCCAAAGCACACCCGTTCTCCCCCAAAACCCGCTCTTGTCACTCGTCTCGACGTAGTAAGAGTATAGTAATGCGCGCGCGCGGCTCAAGGCTACGATTGGGAGGAAGATGCTTATATTTTCCGTCTCGTTACTTGACTCCCGTTAAAAAAACACCGCGTATTTAACGTGAAAGAATAAAGAGATACCAGGCGTGTGTGAGAGAGATAGTGAGCTTTGTGTATGGCTAAAAGGTAACCAACGAAAGATTGCCGGAAAAAAAAATACATGAGTTCGAGTGAAAAAGATCACGATCTGTTTATTAGCTGTGGAGAAAACAATCAAATAACTCAGACTGTAGTGTTTTTTTGATTCGTTATAAATCAAATTCGTACACAATAACAAGTGTACAACCGTATATAATATAAATGCCGTGATATATTTTATATCAAGTGTCTAGGGCGAGGATCCTTGTAGTGGTATTAAGAGTACGCGTAAACGCACAGCGTAAAACAAGAAAGGCATAAGTGGTAAATTCTGGTGAGAGTTATTCCAAGTGTTTAGAAGTTGGTTGATTTATTGTATGTCAATAAAATAGTGATATGTTTTTGAGTGTTATTAATTATTTCTAAAATATAATTATTTTTATTTTGCAGTGACTACTTGCTCGGCAGGCTATTTTTGTTCTTAAAACGTTTTTGTTGTTCATCATTGGTCCTTGGACATGGATCACTGCATCTGAAGCGTCGCTAGTACTCCCCCAACCAAGTTTTTGTGTCTCAATGCATTCAAGTGGCAGATTATTATCTTAAATTAACTATTAATCTTCGGGGAATGGAACATGTAAGGCGTTATATTGACAAATTAGAACAATAAAAAAAATACTGTCTTGATACGATCAAGTGGTGGATTATTATCTTAAATGAACTATTAATCTTTGGGGAATGGAATGTATGAGGCGTTATATCGACACGACTGGACAATAAAAAATAAAAACAAAAAATTCGAAGATAAGGCAAAACTGAGAGGATAAATTTTAGAAAGAGAGAAGAGGAATTGAAAGAGAAGAAGAGATGTATCATTACGTTAAGAAGAACACGTTGTGCCTCGGCATAGTTTTTCTGTTAAGCATTGGAATCAGTCATCAACAGGAGGAGGACATTCCACACAATGAGTAAGTTTGGCTTTTGTTTAAAACTTTCGAAATGGGGCTGCGGCCGTGTTCGATCGTCGCGGTCTTTCTCTCTCGTTCACCCTCTCCCTTGGTCTTTCTCGCCGGCCAATGATGTAACATTTGTGCATCATATACATGCCGGAAGAATTTTGTAGTCAATAGAGTGACATGACGATCTTTTACTGCTGATAAATGCATGATATGAAACGCATACGAAGATTAACGGTATGAGAATTGGCGCCGGTTTGATGATTAGATGGTGAAATAGACTGGGGGAGAGGTGGGGCCAAATGGTCATCGATAGTTTATGCGACAACCTGCTGCTCGATGTTACAGGGTGAGAAACTGGGCACTTAAGTTTGGTGTCGATCTGTGGGAGTTTGGACGCCAAGCAACTAAACTCAGTGAAATACAGAGGGTAAGTTTCCAAACACAAACTTTACCAATAACTCACCATTACTTTAAATTTCATATAAATTTTCTTCTCCAACTCTTTCGATTTGTTATTTATCTAGAATTATCACAGTATGGAAGCTTCTGTTATTAAAAAGGATGGTCTCGTTTTGGTACGTGAAATGGCTGCAGAGGTGAAAAATATGATGGATTTCAAAATGAATGCAGTTATGGTAAGAATCAATGGAAGAAGAGTTATATGTTGGAAAAGATGTGAGCAAATAAAATATGTAATAAATTGGTGATATTATAGAGGCTGGTAGAAAGTGCAGAACAAGCCGCAGTGTCATCACCGCGAGATCCACCAACGTCTCCACGCTATTACAGTTCCCATGAAATCAATAGATTCACTGACGATGGTAAAGTGGTAGCGGGTTCACGAGAGTTATTACTTACGATGAATCGTCATTTTGACAATTTACCAGTCAATTTGAGTTTATCAGCAGTACTTTTGCCTAATGGAATAGACGATTCTAGTTAGTTTCCATTAATAAATCAACTTATTTGCATTACTAATCAGTATATGATCAAATATTTAATTATCTATCAACATTCATTTATAGGTCCCGAAGTAGCTATCGGACTTCAATGGAGTGATCATCTAGATCCTCTGTTCGTAAATAATTATGAGAGTGATCCTACTCTATCTTGGCAATATTTTGGAGCAACCGCAGGTTTTCTTAGGCGATTTCCAGGTGAATAGAATTTTTAAAAAAATTTGATCTTTGAGTTAAAAGGTATGAATGATTTTTTTATTCTCTTAAAGCCATGTCATGGCCACCTAGAGGAAGATCATCAAGACCAGAAGGTGGGCCAGGAGTTTATGATTTTCGGACGTTAGATTGGTTTGTTGGTGGAGCAACGAGTCCCAAGGATCTTACAATTCTCGTCGATAGTACAAGTTTTTCATCAAAAAAGCTTCGTAGACTGGCAATAGCTACTTCAAAGGCTATCTTAGACACTTTATCACCAAATGACTTCGTTAATGTTTATAGTTACGCTGAAAGCGCAGAAGAAACTGTTCAATGCTTTAAGGATAGCCTTGTCCAAGCATCTCCGGAAAATGTCAGAGAACTAAAAAATTCGTTGTACTCAATTCAGTCTGAATCAACAGCAAATGTATCGGCTGCTTTAGCCACCGGGTTTGAGATTCTTTCTAAGTACAATAGAAGCAGTCAAGGTGGTCAATGTAATCAAGCTATAATGTTGGTCACTTCTAATACTGAAGCAGCATCTGCTGAACTTATAAAAAAATACAATTGGCCTCATATGCCTGTGAGACTATTCACGTATCTTATTGGAGGAGATAAAAGCTTTGAACTTCAAGAAATGGCTTGCCTAAATAAAGGTAATAATTTTTAATAGATAGAGAAGAAAAGAGCACTTTAATCATTTTTTCTTTTTAATAAAAATGATTTTTCCGATATAAAAATGATATAGACCAGAATAGTTATCTTTTTTGCAATAAAATATAACAGTTCATTTTCGCAGCTTTTATAGTAAATGGGTTAAAAATAAAACGGCGTAATATTTTTAATATTATTATAATTCTTAACACAAATTTTGGAATATTATTTAACCTTCAGTAATCTAGATAAACTATTAATTTTTAATTAATGTACTCCACTTTTTTAAATAGAGTATAAATTCTTGTACAATGTTTTTAAATAATTGATTGATCTTTTTTCAGGGTTCTACGCTAGAATAGTATCAATGGAAGATGTTAGAAATAAAGTATTTGAGTACGTAAAAGTACTTGCAAGGCCTATGGTTTTATACCAACATGATCACCCCATTCACTGGACCCCTGCTTATGTTGGTGGCGAGGTATACATTTTTCTGCTCCAAAATCAATTAAAGTTTCATTTTCGTTTTATGCGCTGATAATATGTGCTTTTGCCTGCGCAGATGCTTGAATGAAATACCAAATTTATTATTTAATAATCAGTTTCAGACACTTTGCAAGAAAATTTAATTTTAAAAATATTTTTATTTATAGAGTGGAAGATTTGGCGAGGAACGACATGGTCAATTAATGACGTCTGTTACAGCACCAATTCTAGATCGTCGCAATCATACAGTAAGTTTTAAAATTACTAATTCTGTTTGTCAATTGTGATAAATTACACCAAGATTTAATTTGTAGGTAAAAACCGCCAATTTGTTGGGTATTGTAGGGACGGATGTTCCTATAGAGGAAGTACAAAAGCTTGTACCACCTTATAAGGTAACTTTTTAAATGTTTTATTTTTCAAGAACAATTTATTGAGCTATTTTTTTTTATTCTAGCTCGGTGTAAACGGCTACTCTTTCATTGTCGACAATAATGGTCGTGTTTTATATCACCCAGATTTACGTCCATTGGTGAGATTATTTTAATTAAAAATGAAGAATAGCAATTGAACTATTTTCATTTGAATATTTTAAATAATATCTTTTTATTATTAATTGTATAAAAAATTTTATTTACAGCCTACTAGTCCAAATGTAAGTTATCAGATACTTTTAAATACTATTTAATTTTCCACAATTAAAATATTGATTTCTTGTGTTTAATAATATTTGCTTTTTTCCTCTCTAGTATGAAAATACACTTCATCCTCGATATACGAGCGTTGACTTATCAGAAGTCGAACTTGCGGAGTTTGATGGGCCTAGTTATTTATTTAGTAACAATTCTCTGCTTCTAGATGTAAGTTGATCACCACTTTTATTGAGTATATAAATACAATGTTTATTTTGTATTTATTTCTATATTCATTCATTGCAGCTGAGGCGTGATATGATTGATCAAAAAGAGGGAGAAACAAACTTCCCGGTGAAAATTCATTATGATAATATGGTAATTATAACAATTAAGAAAAAAAAAACTAGAGTGATCATTAATTTGTAATAATTATGATAATTTGTAATCTCTAGAAACGTGTAACAATTCGTCGACATAATTATTTTTATGAGCCAATTAGTGGGACTCCGTTTTCTCTGGGGTTGGCACTTCCTGAGGGCTATGGAATGCTCGAAGTGCATGCCGAACTGGAGATCAAACACGCTATTATTAACGGTAATTATAAAAACTAAAGATTTATTTATACATGAACGAGTTTTCTCATTATAGTTTTTTGAATAATCTGTTTTCTTTTTGTTGGACTTTGCTTAAATATTATCTTAAAGTATGATGCAGTAATTTCGATAGTCGGGTTGAGTTTTTTTTTTTATCATGTAGATTTATACATTGAATAAAAAGACATGTGGAAATACAAAAATAGACAATAAAGAATTATTTTTAGAATCAAGTTTTAAATACATAGTTTAGACATAAATAAAACGATAAAAGAATCAATAAAAATAATGAGATACTTTAAAAACTCACTTTGATCAGAACTATTGTAACCTTCTTACAATTAGAATAACGAGCTTATCAGTGAAAAGTTGCAAGTAATAAAAAAAAATCTGATTTAAAAAATCCGATATGATAGAATCAGAATAAGTTAAGTTGAATAAGTAAAGGGTTATTCAATAAAACAATGTTTTTTGAACTTCCTTGTATTATAAAAAAAGTAAAATATTAAAAGAAAAAATTATTATAGTTTGAACTGATGAATTATTTATTGATTTATCGGTTCAGGTACGTTTGTTCTGAGCGATTTAATGCAATACAATGTCTTTTGTTCGAATTCTAACTTTAAATTCGTCTAAAAAGTCAACCCAATTTTTTCTCCGGTGGTTTCACATAAGTTTGAAACTGTAGTTCAAGTAAAGTATTCGATCTCTCGTCGTCTTTCAGTACACAAATTTCTTCAAAAACTATAAAAAAAAACTAATAATAAATAAAACAAAAAGAATTTCCTAACAATAATGAACTTTAAATTAATTAGAAAATTATGTTAATTTATTAATTATAATATTATTACAAAATTTCAGTGTTTGACTACTTGAATGGAAGTAACTGGAAAGTACATCCGGATTGGGTGTACTGTGAATACAGTTCGGCATCGGATAAGCAATTTTCCACCCCTGAGGAGCGTATTTTGCACTTCCTCGGTCGAACTCGCATGCCCGGTTGGAAGTGGATGTCTATGAGACCTAAGAGTCCCAGCTCGCATCATAACCAAGCGAGCAAGCCTGATAAAGATGCACATTACTGTAAGTTCATAACATCAAGTTCAACTAGCCACTTAAATATAACCAAAGTCCCAATACTTCCTAAATCTGTATATGTAGTAAACACTAAAAGAAAATTGTTTTCATTGCAGGTGATAAAAGATTAGTACAATCGCTGGTCATGGATTCTGTAGTAACTGGTGGGTTCAATAAAAGAGACAGTACCTTAATGCACAAGGAAGAAAATTCGAAGTAAGTGGTTGGACTTGAGAATAGAGAGAAAACCTTGAAACAAACAAGTAAAGAAGCATGCATTGCAGTAATTACTTGTAAACCCGAGCACCTATTAAATGCACAAAGCACTGATAATTTCTCGTTGATTGATCCGCCGGTAAAACGTATGTAAGACAATGTGGTGACAAATTTAATTGTTTTTGAACGATTAAAAAATATTGTCACACTAATAATTGATAAGATACCGCCCGTCAGATCAATTGTTTTGTATAGATATTCGTTGAACGCGATAACCACAAATAATATGATGACCAATTGACAACTACCCGCCGTGATAATAATCTGGCGAGGAAACTGATCTCCTTTCTGTTGATGAAGTTTAAAGGATCTCAATGATGGCCAAATGTGTGTGAGACACATACGTCGTAAAACAGCGGAGCAATCTATAGGGGTATTAAACGAGGAATATTGAAAAATTAATTAAAACAATCGTATTGCTTTTAAACGACACTTTGCACCTTTTATTGACACCTATAATTTTTATTTATAATATTTATACTTTCTTGCATATTTTTATTACATTTTATTATTGTGTGTCTCCACCGCCAGCCCCATTGCCATACTGATGGCTCTTCTGCACAGGTAATTTAATATGCACAATTATATGTTTTATCCTCTCTCGCAGTCTTGCACGGTAAATATACCAATGTTCACGGTCATCCCAGCGATTGTGTTCCTGCGTCCTAATAGACCTGATCATTGTCGCCGATTTTTCATTATATTTTTTTTTTTATATCATTTTCGTTTATGATCTATCGATTCATCAGTTTCTTAGATTCAAAGTCTATTCATCAATCTTATTATCTCTTACTCATCTCACTGGAAGATATATTACTGCCATTGGATTGATAAAATTACTGAATTTACCATTTTCTTTTTTTTTTTTTTTTGCTTTTAAAAAATTATTTAGTTCCATTTCCATGGCTTAAATTTGTTTTTTTCAATCAACTGTCAATTAGTAAAATCATAATGAATAGATAGATTTTTTTTATAAAGTCTATTCTTTAGAGAAAAGTTTCTATACACTAGAATTGATAATAATGAGATAAAATTGAAATTTTTCTTAAAGAAAACAATTATTTTTTTATAGAAATTATGATTTACAAGAAAGTTTATTTGACCATTTTATTGGCCCAATATTTGGTTGATTAAGATAAGCAGTACATCTTGGTGGTAATTATATACATGATACAAATGAAAAATATTTGAACCTAAGGTATAATTGATAATGTGAAAAAGTTTGTTATTTTTGTATAAAAATCAATAATTCACATTAAACTAAACTATTTAAAATTTTGCAGCCAAGGAAAAGGCCGATTCGATGTTGTCCGAAGTTTCATCGCAACGAGGAGTGGTCTGTTTCGATGGCACGACCATCAAGACAATAAGGAGGCCGAAGATGAACCGTAAATGTCAAAGATGAATTAATAATTAATAATTTGAAAAAGAAAAAATTTATTAAAAGTGCTCAAAGTAGAGTTAAATGCGTATGACGCGCATATTTATGAGATTGAACGGCAAATTGAAGTTTTTACTTGATCAGGCATTTTGCTGACATGAACAAAAGAGCTATGGACACGTCGTGGTACAAAAGAGCAGCAGAACAACACGCAGTGGAACCTGAAAGTTTCGTATTTAGCGTGCCCTTCAACGCAGGTAAGCTTAAAGTTCACCTTTAGGTTGAAATTTTAGTTATCGATGTAATCTACCAACTGGACTAGTCTTCCACGAAGTCAATCAAGTGCAATTCAAAAATAAACATCAATTTTTCTTGTACACTTTAAGCCATTCAGCTTCTAACTATAAAATAAATAAAAATTATTTACAATTAGATATTTATGATCAATCTCTAACTCTTCTTGCCTATATAAGGCGACAAGGATCCAAGATGGAGTAACAATTAAATCTTTGTTCATGCTATAGAAAAAATGAAAATTTAAACTTAGGAATACATCATTATATTTTTACTTCTTTGCTATTCTCAATACTAATTAATCTTTTAATTAATTAGCTGAGCTTACGGAACCTCTAGTGACCGCAACGCACGCTGTCTTCGTCGAGGGTAAGAATCAACACAAGGCACCAGCAGCAGTGGTGGGATTACAACTTCAACATTCATCCTTAGCTTCCCATTTCATGAATATAACATCCACTGTAAGTATTCCTTTTATTTCACTCCAAACCAAATAGTTAATGGCTTGAAAATAATAAATACTGATAGTCTATAGAAATTTATGATTAATAATTGTTCACAATCATAAATCTTTTAAATTACTATATCATTAATTTTTTTTCATAATAATAGTGCGCATCATGTAAGAAAAATTGCGCTTCAGAAGAATTGGATTGTTACATCCTTGACAATAGTGGATTTATTATTATAAGTGAGCGTCATGAACATACTGGAAAGTTTTTCGGAGAAATCGATGGTACTATTATGGATTCTTTGGTTCAAGATAGAATTTACAGGTAAGAAGTTCAACTTTCTTTATTAAAAAAGAAATGAATTGATATAAAAGAATCAATAGTTTGGATAAATTGAATTTTAATCATAGATATTAGTAAAACTAATTAGATATTTTATGAAAACCCAACGAAATGAATATATAAAGAAAGCTGTCATGTTTAATATAATGTTCGGGAAAAAGAAGAAATATATTCAATTATGAGTTTATATAATTCTCTATTGATTTATCAAATTATAGGTTGAATTATATAACAGCTTTGAAAGGGTTTACAATTTTGTTATATCTAAAAAAATGGGTTATATAATAACAAAAATAGTTAAAATGTAATTTAGTAAAAAACTTTGTTATTTAACTTTTAAAACCTTTTAAACTTATCTAATTTGTACTTTTTTAAAATCTTTTTGATGTTTAAAAGTACATAAAAAAAATTTCTTTTTTCCAGAAAAGTGACAGTAATCGATTATCAAGGTGTTTGCCCGCCTCAGGAATCATACTTATCAGCAGCACCAAGTACAATTTCAGGATCAATTGTCAAGACAATTGTGTCGATGATTGGTCTCATCTGGTCGTCCATACTCAAATTGAATCTCTATGAAGCAATTAGTCCTGCGTTTGCATGGCCAAATGACGCTCAAGCTGGTAATTATTATCAAATGATTAATCGATTATTGATTAATATAAATATATCTTTCATAACATTCATATTTTACAAAATCAAATAATTTTTTTTTTCTACAGACGATGCTGACATCAAAATTGACGATGAACCAAGTCCCCATGATTCATTCACTCAAAATTTATCAGAAGATCCAACGACTGGAAAAGATAAGATTCCTCCATTTCCGGTTATAGCATCTCCACCAACAGTTCCGCCTGCTACTCACGCTACATCAGCTCAATATATGCTTAGCAAATTGCGCACTTGTGAGAAGAAAACAGATCTATATATTTTGCAACCGGAAAGACTTAATACAAGTGGTCAAAGCAATCCTCTGAAGGGTAAACTAACGAACTGCCATGTTACTGGATGTGAAAGGTAAATAAATATTCAACAACTTTTTTATATTTGATCACAGATTTCATTAGAGAACTTCAGAATAAATTTGACAAACATACATTTATATTTTTACTCTTAATATAAAGCACAGTCTTTTTAATGTTGACATAAAATATTTTTATAGATAGAACAAATCTTCGAAAAAAATTCCATAATATTTCAGACTTACGTTTTATTACAAAGTAATTTTCACGCAAATATATTCTTCATATATCAACATCGACAAGCTTACTATCCTTGAAAATCAATATCTATGTTCACGAAAATTTTTTACATTTTCATATTTCAATTTTGCTGGAGAATATGTCAAAGCAACATTTTCTTTATGTTACAGACCCTTCAGCGTTCAAAAAATTCTCCACACGAATCTCATTCTTTTGGTGGTTGATACGCTGTGTCCCTGTGGGAGTAAGCAGCTTAGTATCGAACCTGTCGAAGCTATAACAGAGCCAGGAGCATGTACGGCTCGAAGAGAACGTCTTTATCGTAAACGACCGCCCAAGTGTATCAATTATCATCCTGAGGAAATGGAAATCAAATACTGTGGTGCTGCACATCGATTATATGTGTCGTACGGTCTCATTGTCGCCTTGTTGTCGACATTCTTCACGTGACTTAGCCATTGATAATCGCGATCCAACGAGTAAATCTATTTATTTATTGAATATTTACTTTATGCAGCAATTTATGGATAGAAATCAGAGCAATAGCAAAATGAGGGTAAAATGAAGAAATGAGCGATAAAGAAAAATAAAAATACAAAAAAAAAAGATAATAAATTTATTTCTTCGATTGTCCATGATAAACGGCTGTTGAATATTATAAAACAAAATACAATGTAAAAGACTAAAAAATACTTATCTCACGATTTTATCACTTATTTTCATCTACTGAAGATATTTATCTGACAGAAGAAGAAAATAGTCGGAAAATACGTACGAGAAATAAAAGAAAAAATGTAAGATGTCGGGATTGATTCGCCGTCCGAGAGTGAGCGACGCATTTCCCTATTGATCCGTATGACGGCTCAATCAATGTTTAGACAATACAATTTGGATGCAAGAATTTTTATGCTTGCACCAATCAATCTATTAATTTTTATCGTACGTACAACATTTATTTGTAAAATATTTTTTAATTAAAATTTTTAATCAACGAGGCTGGAGTTTATTGGATAATTATATAAGGTATTACGAGTTTGGCTTCTAAAACTTAGCCCCTCGTATTTGTATTAAAGACATTTTTTTTTTAATCTTTATTATTACTATTCTTCTTATTATCATTACAATTATATACATAATATATTTATTTATATACACTGATAAGCTTTATTTTACTGTTGATCGTTGAGCATTCATATTATCCAATCATATTATGAGCTCATATTATACCAGAAAAATTGTGAGTGTGTCTGTTTAAAACGAGACCTTTTAAAGATTAAAGAATTTGTTGTAAAAATGCAAATTTTACCACGACTTAGTCATAATAACAAATGTTTGCAAAAGTTTTTGCAACTTATTCTCGTCGATCATTAATGATATTAATATATTCAAAAAAGAGTTCAATTACTTGGATATTTGGTTTTAAAAAAAATACATAAAAAATTATGGCAAATCGTTATATTGTTCAGAAATGAACCGAATGATCGTATTTATAATGTTACGAATGAGATAGCGTTGTTCTTCATGTATAAAACTACACATTTTTTTGTCTTTTTATTTAATTATACATCATTCCATTTACAAGACCATTTTTTACTGTGTCTTCCACGAAACGGCCTTTCTTAATGTGGATTACGAAGATACGTATGACGAAAATGAGAAAAAATGTGAATGTTGAACTTCAAATACATATCGGCTTCCTGAATTCCAGTTGCGTGATGTTGGGGAGAGATATTTAAAACAATAATGTATATCGAGAACGAATCTACTGAATGTTCTGAAACCAAAAACCCTACATTCTTATACTTATAAGCAAACTTTAGGCAATATAAATAATAATAAAAATATACAAATAACAATATAAGTTTCAAGCAAAAAACATAATTAAAATTGATAAAAACGTCTTTTTTGAAACAAATGAACGGTTAACACATTATTAACATGTCACTATATGTATTTTCGTGACGATAAATAACAAAATACACAATTCATCAGTTTTTATCTCCCATTATAAGATTATAACTTCAAAACTGAGGCGATCAAAAAATGATAAGAATACGTAAAAGAGTTGCGCGTGAGTCAAAGACAAGTATTTGAAATTTTCAAGCAAGATGCTAGCAAGAAATGAATTTAAAAAAAAAAAAAGAATTATGTCAAAAATATTGAAAATATTAAAATGTAACTGTTTTCTATATAAACAGACTTCATTCGGGGAGACAATAAAAGCATTAGAATGCATTCACATAATTCCATGCAAACAATGGCTACTAAAGGATACATAATTATGCTTTTGTGATTGTTATCTTTTACAGATTAATTAACAAAAAAATTTTTTAAATACGCAAGAGTATTTTGCATAAGAAATTTAATGCATCTCAGTAAATTGTATTCTATTATAAAAATAATTATTGAAGTATTTGTATATGGACGCGTTTCAAGCTGGGCCAAGAAAAGAAAATTATGTTTTAATGTGTAATTTATTCCGAGTTTGGCTGTTGTTATCTTGGATATCGAATTAATGATTAATGTGTTGTATAGAAAATATGCGGATAGTTAATTAAGTCGAAAAAAAAAACAAACATAAACAAAGGAGTATTTTAAATTTGAGAATTGTTTTAAAAAATTATTAAATTATGGAAGAATGGTTTTTCTCTATTGCCCAAAAGTGCATTAGCACTCTTGAACGTGTATTAGGAAATGGCAATCAAGGTCAAATAAAAAAAAAATTCAAATTCTTATTATGAATGTTGATAAAAAAAAAAATATAAGCATCTGAATAGACCACGGCGCCCAACTTATCCTTTAAAACATTGAAACTAATTTCAATATAAAAGATAAAAAAAAACAAAATTATAATAGTGTGAAATGCTATTACGTCGATACTTGTACATTATTATATTAATTAATTAATATTATTAATATTATTACATTAAAAAATGTGTCTAATCATCTTGAGCTATCCATTATTACCTTAAATTATTATCTTAATATTCCTCACTCCATTTAATTTTTTTTTTTTAAATTCAAATGTGTTTTAAAAATTAAAAACATCCTATCAACGCTACCTGTCAAATTTATATTAAATGATTATTCTTTTTGCCAAAAGTCGATAACTTTTTTGATAACCTCATATAAATATTTGTTTACTTTAAAATTTAATTTCTAAAAATTTTTGTTGAAACAAACACTCTAAATTAAATTTTTCAAGCAATGTTGTTTGGAGTTCTTCAATCAGTTTTTTTTTTAAATAAAATATCTGATTACTCATCATTATTTGGATTATTTTTATATTTCTAAGTGTTTAGATATCGACTATCAATGTCCTAGATCTTTTTATATTATTTTGAATGATAGATCCAATTGTCAACAGTATCTAAATCTAAATCACAATTATTGAAATAAAGTTTACATATAATTTTTAATTTAAAGAAGATAAATTCATACCAATTATGTGATATAAAATAATAAAGAAAGATGTTCATCAAATTAAAAATATTATGATTACATTGACATTTGATAGGTTATCTATTGGACCTGCTCAATGCTGTTCCGCATAACATAATGTTGACCTTGGTGTTGAATTCATGCAAAAAAATAGCTGATGATAAAGCTGTATATAGCAAAGAAAATGTGATAATTCTAAAGTACTCTTATGCCAGCTGCGCAAATGTAACTATTACCTGACTTGGTGCAAACTTTTCTTCAATTGCAACTTGGAAATTACAGGTTGAGTATAATCATTCTTTAGTTAAAGTTCAATATCATATTTCATGTATATTGTATATAATTATCAACATTTATATTTGTTTATATTATTTTTAACATTTAAATTTATTACTAAGAGTGTTGTAATAATGAGTTAGTCAATTATATAATTATATCAGGAGTAGAGTTTATTTAATCTAAGTAGGTGATTACATTGCAAAAATTTCTCTGATGATTATATATAAGTTTTAAGCGTGAACTTATTAGTGTTTAAAATTATACTGGTGTCATAACAGTCATTATTGTGTTTCAGTATTAATTAATAATGGCTCTACGTTGGGGAATTACAAGTGCAGGAAAAATATCACACGACTTTACCAATGCCCTTGCCACCTTACCACCTGAAGAGCATCAGGTTGTTGCTGTCGCTGCACGTGATTTAGACAGGGCTAAAGCATTTGCTGAATTACATAAAATAAAAAAGTCATATGGGAGTTATGAAGAGCTTGCTAAAGATCCTGATATTGGTATGATCAATTATTAAAAAATTTTATATTCGTTTTATAAATTATTATTACAATTGATATATTTTCAATGATTTCAATAACAAAAAAATAACTGTAATAAAATAATTTTCACAGAGGTTGTTTACATTGGAACTCTTAATCCTCAACATCTTGAAGTCTCAAAGATGATGCTGGATCATGGAAAACACGTTTTATGTGAAAAACCCCTAACAATGAACCTTAAGCAAACATCGGAATTGATAACTCATGCAAAAAATAAGAATCTCTTTTTAATGGAAGCTATTTGGAGTAGGTGTTTTCCAGTTTACGAGGAAACAAAGAAACAAATAAAGTCTAGGCTCATTGGTGATGTTAAACAGATAATTGTTTCATTTGGTGTTCCTATGGGAAAAAAAGAACGCCTAAAGTAAATAAGTACTTGCTTATGTTCAATATCGGCAATCTTACCGGTTTGAAATGAATACCTTCAGGTAGTATAATCATTTTAATCCTTAATCTTTATTTGATGTCTAGTAAGAAAGATATGGGTGGTGGCACCATTCTGGACTTAGGTGTGTATACTCTACAATTTGCACAATATATATATGATGGGGAAAAACCAGTATCACTGAAAGGAGGTGGTCATTTAAATCATGATGGTGTTGACACATCAATGTCGGCTACTTTAATTTATAAAAATGATCGCACCGCAACTATGATGACCCATTCAGAAGTTGAATTACCTAATGAAGCTATCGTTATTGGCACAAAAGGAAAAATTATTATTCCTCATTTCTGGTGTCCAACTAAAGCAAAGTATCTGCCGGTGGATTTACCTGCGAAACTGGTCGAAATTGCTCTTCCTCAGGGACCCCTCCCTTTTAACCATTTAAATAGTGCAGGACTGCGATATGAAGCTATGGAAGTACGAAATTGCATTAGAGCAGGTACTTTTTGAAACCTACAATAAACCGGCGGTTTGCCCTAACGATTTAGTACCTTTAATTAAAATATTTATTAATTTATTAAATGAATGTTTACAGGTTTAAAAGAAAGTCAAAAAGTTTCGCATGCTGAATCATTATTGATTGCGGAGTTAGAAGATGCACTGCGTAAACAAATTGGAGTGGTTTATCCAGAAGATAAATCAAAATAATGAGAACAATAATATTATTATTCTATATGTTAACTATTTTATGATAGATATTTTTGCTTTAACTATCTATTGAATAAAGCTTATATTAATTCACTGTTCATTAAATTCTCATATATATTTAGTTCAATAACATATTCAAAACATAATTAATCAATTAAAACTCCATATTGTCTAAGGAATGTAATAGTTTTCCAATGTGTGTATTTTTTTTTACACAAATTCAAAATTTAAACGGCTGGTATTTTATTTGGAAAATTTTCGAAATGCACATTAAACAAACTAAGCCTTCATGAGTTTATTTTTTATTAGATTCAATTGTTAGAAGCACTAAACTTCGGGCATTCCCCCAGACCACCAAATTACCCTTAAGCAGGGCATCCAGGCTTTGCTTATATAGGACGACCAGGTCGAATGTTGTGGGCATTGCCGAACACTGTAATTACTACCAATGATGAATTTCCATTATTCTAAAATTTCCCTGTAAATCACCCCACTACTCTTCCTGTACAACTGAAGAGGTGGAAGACTTAAACAGAAATGTCGAATTGTCTTCAGTTAGTTTTTCCGAGTCCTCAAAAGGAATCACATCCCTGTGACAAGTGCGATACGATATTCATTTGCCGATAGAGTTTACAAAGTGTATGACATAGTTTTTCATTGAGTGTGTGTTCAAGTGACTTCTGTTTGTCAATAATGGAGCAGGATAATTTAATGGAGTCGGAGAATGATGACAAAGTTATCAAAACTGGTATAATTTCTTTTTTTTTCACTATTTAATTTTATCCAAATATATTCTCATAAATATTAAAATTATTCAATATATTTGGTTTTTGAATTCCTTTCAATTAGATTTAAAATTAATATCAACAATTCATCAGTAAATAATAATGTTCAATTATTAAAAAATAATTTAAAATCATTTAAATTTTAAACCAATCATTATTAATTAAACTTTTCTTCTCAATACATAATTGTTCATTAAAATATTCTTTTTTTACCTTACGTTGAATATTGAAGTAACTAACTGCATGATAAAGTATATTAAATCCCTTTTATTCATTGACTTTATCAATTCCTTGATATTTTCATCATTTCTAATTGTAAATCAACATACTAGACGGTACTATTTTTTTGTAAATAATACTAATAATAGTATTATTAATGTTTATTAAAATATTCTATCTCTTTTCTGTTATAGAACCTTTAGAAATTCTGAAAAATCTTTGCCGAGTTTGTGGGAAAAGCAATGATAAGATGATTCCAATTTTTGAAAATCATGAATATCAATTAGCTGATAAAATAAACAGATATCTGCCAATAACCGTCGCGGAACAAGATGCTCTACCCTTACGTGCATGCATTACATGTGTTGCTACCATCGTTCAGTGGCATACTCTCTTAGAATCATGCATCAAGGCTAATGGAAAACTTCTGCGGATTCTCAGAGAGCAACATCAAGTTGAACTGCTAGATATGAATCAATCTTCGCTAGATCGTATCAGTTTAGACCCAGAAGTTGAAGAAAATCAGTTAGTTAAAGGAGTAAGAATTGATGGAGTTCAACATCAGAGCAGTCATCTTCTGCCAGTTAAAGGAGAAAAGTAAGATTTTATTTTATCTTTACAACTTAACTTGATCAACTGATTATTATGGAAATGAGCAATTATATTTATTTTGATTGTTTTGTTTATTTTTTAAAGCCGTGGTATCTCTGGGGACAACTGTTCTGGTGAACCAGGTACTTCAAATCAATCTCACCAAATCAACCCGATCTATGAGAATATAAGTGAAGATGAAGCAGAAGAAGATAACGTTGCAAGCGAACCAATAGATATGACAATGAACCCGTCTAAGCATTCTGATGATGTAGAAATAGTTAATGACAAACTAGAGCCACGAGTAGCCAAGATGGCGAAGCTTTTTAAAATTCAAAAGATAAAAGACTTACTGAAGAAAGCTCAAATTAAAATTCAGGGAAAAAGTTTTTATCATTGTAGGAAATGTATGAAAAATTTTTCTTCACATGTTGATTATGTTTATCATGTTAAAAGCCATACTAGACCCAAAGATATTGCAAACGAGTGCAATATTTGCGGTAAACAATTTCATACAAAACCTCATTTAATTAGACATATGAGTAAACATCATTTAAGAACAAGGAAATTAATATGTGAACGATGTCATAAAGTGTGTGGCTCTCCAAAGCAATTTAATGATGAGCCGGATAGTAACACAGAAAGTTACATGTGTAAATCTTGCAAAGATAGAGTAAATAATAAAGTAGTTTATACTTCAGCGACTATTTTTGCTAGTATTACAGCATCTGATGAAGATTGTCCAAAACAATGTGAAAACTGTAAAAACTTTTTCCCTACAGAATCTTCATTGAGATGCCATGTATCTGAACGTTCTTGTATGCGTGTGAGTGATGAGATACAACAAATAACGGAATAATATTTATTGTACTTATAGATGATTATATAAAACAACAATTAATTTATTTTTATACTTTTATTACAGAAAATGAAATGTATATTTTACAATATGTGTCTTATCATTGATTTATTATATTAATTACTAATTAAACTGTAGACGTATCAAAATATCAATTCGAGAATGCAACGTTCATGGTAAACTTATTGGTTAAAAAAGAAATAAATATGTTGCATAAATAAATTTCTGCTAAAATCAACTTAATGAGCAATAATGTTCTGTACATGTATGAAGAAATATCAAGAGTTGTAATGATATTGTACTTTTGTAGTTAATGACTGTCCATAAATTGTATGTCTGAGAGAAGTAAAACAGTGTTTGGCAATGGACGTGGTTGAGGGCTAAGTACTGTGATGGTTTGACGATCAACATCAACATTGGTTCTGGAAAAAAAAAAAAAATAAAGTTATTGACGTTGAATATAGATATTGAATTGTTTAAAAAATAAAAAGTGTTCATATTGAATATGTCTCTTTAATCAAATTAAAAAACCAATTTGATTAATTTTCTTTTTAATTAAAAGCTAAATAATAGTAGTTGTAAAGAGTTGTAATATTGTTGAGTAAAATTTAAATGAGTACTAATTCAATATTACTAACTCAAAATTAAATTAAATATTTTCTATAATTCATTTTAAAATGAAAAATTAACTTACACACAAACGAATCCTGCAACATTGGTCTGAACTACATCATCTTCCGGCGAATCAGCAAACGACACAGATAGTAAATGATGAAGTAAACTTGGTCCAGGAGTAACTGCAACTAGTTTAGTTAAGTTATCTTCAGCTTTCATGCCCAAAGGCATACATGAAGCTGGTAAAACTGGTGCTCCAATCTTGTAAATCCTTGCTTCGCTCCATTTCACTTCAAAACTGTGTGGATAAAGTGCTGTTCGAGATCCATAAAAATACTCTCGTACTCTCTGATCCCTTGCTTCAGTTCTCTGTGCTTGACTCCGTTCTACAACTCCACCACTTTTAGGTAGAAACACTACTTTAACAAAGTCTGGCATGTCTCTCACAAGTTCATTATAAAGTCTCTCGTGATCTAATACTAAAATAGCGTCAACTTCAAATGCTTGCGCTGCATGAGCTAATAATCTATATCCACCACCTTTAACCCATCCACATGTATTTATTACAATACCCGATACTTTGGCTTTCTTATTCGCTTGTAAACGTTCAGAACACACTTCTGCTAAGCGGGAAACGAGAAGATTATATAAGGCAATATTGGCATTAGGAGTTTTGTATCCAAAATGAAATACCAGTGGAGCTTGTTGACTGAAACCATCCACAACATTTGATGGTCTTTCTACTAAGAGTGCTCCAACAGTCCCTGGAATTGCTATGTGTCCTTGGCCAACATCTAAATCAACAAATATTGGTCTTCGTCCCATTCTTACTGCATAATTGAGAAGTATTCTGCAAACAGTCGACTTTCCAACATCATTCGGACCAACAATCATTGTAATCGGACCTCTTCCATCTTCTTTTTCTGCCGCTTCTCTCATTCTTTCCATAGCTGCATGACAATTGAGATATAAACCCATTGGAGTTTCTCTGGCTATGTAACTGACGTCGGTTTTGCCCACTAATTCTACTGTACATCCTTGCCAAGTGAAAACTGCAACTTTTGCACCACTACCAAACTCGTACTTTTTGCCTTTAACCAACTCGGTACCAAAGACTTCTGCGAATCCCGTTTTCAACTGAAATTATAAAATAATGAATTTGAATTTATGTATTAGTTGAATTAGTTTTAACAATTTAATCATTTTTTATCATTCAATTTAAAATAAAATATAGTTAAAATAGATGTTTTCTAAAAATTTGATTTGTTTACCTCTAGCGTAACCTTGTCATTTTTTTGTTCTATCTCGAATCGAAGCTCACAGTCTGGATCCAACTTGAATTCTTGGGTATTTGATGTTTTTTCTTCACCCATTTTATTTAAAATCAATAATAATAAAAAATAAAACTGTTTATTATTAGTTTTTTGCAAATAAAAATTGACTCGTAATAACCTAGAAGCTTCGTTTACATGGAACACACAGCCTCTACCGGCAATTTCAGGAAGTAACAATCAGCTGATACGGCAACTTAGTGCGCTTGTGCCAATATGTATAGTAAAGTTGTAGAGCATCGATGTACAATGTATGCTCGTGTAAATCAGCAAATACCTTGCATCTTTCAATTTGTATACGCGTCGGAACAATTTGATTAATTATGCGAAGCAAATAAAAAGCACTATAGTGTATATATTTAGCTAAATTTATTGATAAGTGAGCTTAGATAATTTTAAGACATGAATTCATAGTTAATAGTTGCATACAACATAGTATTTGTATGATTTCCAGAATGCTTTGACGTTCATAGAAGCTCAACGACGAACGCTACCATATTCATCATGGCGGGTACGTTCTTGTCGCAAAATGAAATATTTTTTTTCCTTCCAAAGATTTTTTTTTTTAAGCATTGATTTTGTTTGAAATTTATCGATAATCAATTCCGAAAGATAAGAATACTGTTTTATGGATAATTTTTTAGATTAAATGCTTTTTTTTCAGATTTATATGCGAAATACAGTTGTACTTACTGTCAGGAAGATATTCCTGGGCTGCGTGTAAAATGCGTGGAATGTCCATATTTTGATCTTTGTTTACAGGTAAATAATATATTAGGTTATAATATCTAATTTTTTTTACTAATATTTATTTTATGTTATAATTAATTAATTTATTTTTATTTACAGTGTTTTTCGGCGGGTGCTGAAATCGGCCAACACAAAAATGATCATTCATATCAGTTTATGGTAACTATCTATTCAAAAAACCGCGCCATTTTTCATTCGAGTAATCAACAAAATAATAATAATTTTCAATAATTTTAGGACTCTGGTACAATTAGTATTTTCAATGGTAGTCGTGGAAATTGGACGGCACGAGAACATCTTAGATTACTTGATGCTATTGAACAATTTGGATTTGGTAATTGGGAAGATATCAGTAAACATATTGAAACACGTACTCCTGAAGGTATAGAACAATTTTTTACAATATAATTACAATATTAATAATAAATTTACTAAGTCAATAATATTAATTTTTGTAAACAGAAGCAAAAGATGAGTATATTGCTCGATATCTCGAAGGAAACATTGGAAAGTACACCTGGCCACCTGCATCCTTTAACTATGAACCAAACCTTCAAGATCAAACTAGCTCAGATCATGGACCACTGTCACCAGACTTGACTTCAAAACTACCTCCATTAGATATAACGCCTGAAGAGGCGACTCAATTAGGGTATATGCCACAGAGAGACGACTTCGAACGAGATTACAATCATGAAGCGGAATCACTCGTATCGTCATTATTTTTGAATGCTGCTGAAGACGATGATTTAGATATTGCTTTAAAACTTGCACATGTTGATATGTATACTAATAATTTAAGAGAAAGAGCCAGAAGAAAACGAGTTGTTCGTGATTATCAACTTGTTTCTCAGTTCTTTAATTCATCCTCTCGTCGGGATCGAGATCGTGACAATAAAGGAATTGTAAAGAAAAAACAGACTAAAGAAGAAAGGTAGATAAATTATTTTTATAATTAAATTTTTGAAATTTACAATGAATTATTTATTTTTTGTTATTCTTGACTTTACAGAGACTTCAGAGAAAGGATGAGAATATTTGCGCAATTCTATACAGCTCAGGAACATGAACAATTTTTAATTAACTTAGAAAAAGAACGTGAATTGCGGTTAAGACTTAGCGAACTCTACCGATATCGAGAGAATGGAGTTACAAAGCATGAAGAGTGTGCACACTTTGAACAAATATTAATGCAATCTCAACATAAAAATAATGAGCCAGATCATCATCAACATTGGTCTGAAAAGAAATCTGTAAGTAGTATTGTAGCACTTTTCTGTGGCTCAACTATCTTGTCATTAACAATCGAAGCGTAGAAAAACGTCTATAGATCTCGCTTACGGAGGATACGTGTATGCTCATGTTAATAGCATATATTTTGTATTCCACTTATTTTCATTACTAATTTTTATATATTTTTATTGAAACGTGTTGCCAGGCGTTTGTAAACAGATTGTATCAGTTTGCATTTCACTTAGGGCAGCAGTGGGCCGTCGTCCACGCCACACATACTCCGCCACACATCAAAAAAAAAGTAAGTCAGCAACGGCATGATTTGATAGGACATGGAGTACTGTTTGTGTTCGTCAAAAAGTAAGTAATGATACTATTTAAATTTTTATTTTATAACAGAGACGACGAAAAAAATTGCTTTTTCACCGGCCGAAAATTCACTACAAAGACCGGCGAATCGACCACCAACAATTATTTTCTAAACAATCAAAGTCGGACGACGAGTCAAGCAGCAACAGCCGGCAATCAATCAGTGGAGGAGTCTGATAATAATTCCAATACCTCATCATATCTTTCAGCTGCTGGTGGAGGTGGTACTAATGGTGGCAATTGTTCATTAATTACTGACAAAACTATTCAAAATGGTAATCAACTATTAGACCAGCAGCAAACATTTGTTACCAAATTAGCCAACTCACCAAATTCTTCTAAGGAGTTAAAACAAACTGCAGTTCATCTTCTTACACAACAAGAAAAACTTTTGTGTCATCAGTTAGATTTAAAACCATCGCAATATTTAACTCAGAAAACTTTACTTCTTCAGGTGAGATTTTTTATAACATTTCATTAAATTATGTTATTTTCTAAAAAAAAAAGAGTTGAAGGAAGGCAGAACACTGAGAAATTAATTATTTAAAAAATAAGGATTTATAACAAGTAGATTGTGTATCAAGTATGCAAAAAGGTGCTCTTCACTAATGACCGTGAAGTTGAAGCATGAACCTGAACCTCTAATTCTCTCAAGCGAATTTAACAGAAGTTGAAGTGAGTGCTGTTAATTTACACCTGTCAGGAATCATCTTTTTTGTATATGTGATACACACTTCATTTTCATGTAATACTCATCTTCAAAGTTTAATTTAATCCAAGCCGACAAATGGAATTTTAATTAATTTTTTTATTTGAGCATATAGTAATACTTAATTATTTAAATTAAGTGTAATGTCATTGTACAATAGTTGAAATAATAATTTTCAATTATTAAAAATTTTTAAATCAATTAATTATAAATTAACAATAATTAAAAGATCGACCATCTTCCGAAATATTTTGTTTTGTTCTCCTAATTTTGGTAATGGATTATGTAATGAAAGTTTTAAAAAATATCTATTATTTTTTTGTACAGGAGTATCTTAGTGGTAGTATTCGAAGTGCCAATTCCAATTTCGTTCGTCAATCTGAGCCGGAAAATAAAATTCTGCATTACTTAGTATCAAAAGGTTGGATTGCAGCCACGTAATCATCGCATCATAAAATAATTGCACGTGAGTGGGACTTAACAAACTCTTTTTTTTTTAGTTCCAAATTTAAGTTGATAAATGATGGGTTGTAAAATAATTTTAAATAAATGTATGATAGTTGGATGCATAATTTTACCACACATACGCACTTAGGTTACCACAAATAAGATGAATGCTAGTGGTATTTCGCGAAACTGTGATTTAGCAAACTGTATAATAATTTTATTGAGAATTATATTATAAATAAATGATATGGTTAAGTAATTTATGCATTTCAATCTTTGTCTGAATATTATTCGACAAAAAATATATTAATGTTATTGAGTTACTATTAATTAAATATTAAATTCCTTTCAATAATTCCAACCTTCATATTATTAATCAATGAAACAAAAAAAACAAACAAAAACAAAATATCAAGTTATTTGCTTTATTTTTTATAAACAAATAACAAAGAATGTCAGCTTGCAAAACAAATAGATATTAATGATTCACTAACATTTTAATTTTATTATTATAACAGAAATCATGCCTAGATTTGAAAGATTAAATTATACAGGACTGTTTATAGTATATTTTCAAGACAAATTACGTGATTTTGTTATCAGTAAATGTCCTTATTTATATGATTTATGTTTTGCCACATATGGCCATCATAACAAAGTACGAGGAGTTGGTGGATTTTTTTTAGGTTTTTTATTAGCTTTATTATTTTACATTGCAATAATATTAGATTTAAAATTTGATCCATACACAACTGTTACACTTGGTGGTATACTTATAATCATGTTATCAGCTGGATGTGCATCATCTAGACAGGTAAAAAAATTTAATTTATATTTACTTTTAATACTCTTAACTTCTTGTTTGAAATTAATTACTTTAGATTAGATGCATTAGTCTTCTCACAATTCCAGCATTTCTTGGTCGCTCTGGAAGAAGTGTTCTCAGAGCTCTAGTACTTGGTTATATTATTGCTGGACCTATTTTGAATTTAACATATAATGGTAAAGAAGTAGTGCGCACGTTTGCTTGTACTACTCAATTAACATATAATATGACTAAAACACGACTTAATTTGATGTTTCAACCATTTCACGAGGTGATCTATTTTTATTATTTTTATTTTTTGCAGCATAATCATTTGATGAAATGATAATTTATCAAATACTGATCCATAATTAATTATTTAGGCAATGCTAGGTATGAAGAAAAATGTGCATGAATTGAAAGATACAGTAGCTTCAGTAAGAGATGTAATAAGTCCGATCGTTAGAGAGATAGAGGGTGAAGAAAAAATGCGTAGATTACATGAAGAAAATGATTACGTAGACCCGGTGACTGATCTTAAAAAAATGAAAGAAAAAAATAAAAGTAATAATACAAAACGAAATATCGAAGAGGATGAAAGTAATTTAAATGCATCTTCAATGGGTGAATATTATGAAATTAAATATCGTAAAAAAATTCAAGCTCAATGTATAGATCAGTTGAATAAAGGTTCAGAAAGATGCATGTATGAGTCATATATATTTTAAATTATTAAAATAACAGCTAGAGTTTGTTAATAAATAAAAAATTTATAGGACCATGTTTGCTAATGCTTATGACCAATGTTATGACACAGTTTCTGTTTTCGCTGCTTGGATTCTATGTTGGCCGATGAAGCTTACGTTTCTATGTAATGTCGTTCAAGCTATGGGTGGAGTGAATGTATGTAATCCTGAAGGAAATATTGAAACTGGGATTGGTGAAGGATATGCCAGTTTGAAAGGTATTGTGTAATATTCTAAACTACCTACGAAATGATTATTTAATATCCATATAAAATCTTACAATCAACATGTAGAAGCTAAAGGAAAGCTTGAATCTGGACTTAAACAAGCTAAAATGCAATATAAAATAAAAACTGCTCCAATAATGATTGATGTTCGTGGAGCAAGAGATACAGCAAAGTCAATCATTCATGAGTTTGAAATTCGTCGGAGTATATTTGATACACTCATGGTTTTTATTAAAAGACTTCTCACTTTTGTTTTTCTCAAGATCATTTTTTATGCTCAAAAGTACCATGACAATTATGTAACCGATATTGAATTCGATAATCAATATGTTACTTTATATTTCCGAAAAATTGATGAAAGACGTAAGAAGTTACACAAAACGACCCTTCTACCATTGAAGAAGTCAGAAGCTGGGAAATTTATTGATCCTTATGGTCTCAATTTGACGAAAGCAGAAAGGAAGAATTTTTTCGGTCAAACTATTAAATTAGCTCTTGAGGTTTTCCTAGCAAGCACTTTTATAATCATTGATGATATTTTTTTTGAAACTTTACACGCCGTACGCAAACACGGTCACATTGATTTTGTTCAAGTAATTATCAGATATTCAAAATGTAGTATCATAACATAAAGATATAAAATAAAAAAAAATTAATATTTGTATCTAGGAAGGTCATCATAATTTGAATATTGATGTTCGTGGAATTGGAGTAATAGCCAAATTAATACGAAATGTGATCACAGGTTTTAATGTGAAGAAACGAATAAAAGTTGTAATATCAAATATTGCATGTTTACCACAACCAAGTAAATTATCAAATCATATTCTCATCAAGATATATGGTACTTATTTAGCTATTTGGATAATGCTTTTTTTAACGAGCTATACGCAACGTCTCCAACATGCAATCTGTTCATATTTTTATGCGAAACGAGAAAAACGCCGTATACTTTATCTTTATAACGAAACATTAAGGCGAAGAATCGGTTATGTTCGTTTTATGAAGAGTAAAGTAAGAACATTAGTAAGAGAACGATATTTAGAACGAGATATGGATCCATGGGTTGCCTTAATTATGGATTCTCCACGATTATGTGGATGGCTAAGATACTTTAGTTTCGCTCGTCGAAAATGTTTGATTTGTGGTGAAATAGAACCAAGAAAAAATTCCAAATATTATACATGCTCAACACCAGGATGTTTTTTTATTCATTGCCCAGAATGTTGGCAAGATGTTGAAAACATTTGCTACGCTTGTACACCTCTTGCAGATTTCTCATCAGACAGTGATGTAGATCAAGATTTTACCATTTAAATGGTTGATTAATACAAGTCATTAGTTAATTGAATAATGTAAACATTAGATTGAAGTAAACATGCTAGTTTAGTAATGATTTAAATTGTTAGAATAAAAACATGCAATACATAGTAATGTGATCATTATTATTCTTGTTATACGAATGATTATTGTCAATAATGTTGTGCGTGTATATATTTTTAGTTAAGAATTTCCTACCGAGACTAATGAGACCAAGTATACATCGTTGGGTGACAAGATATAAGACAGTTGGTTTCAACTGAAAAGAAAACATATTTATATATACAGTGATGGTATTGGTCTCAATGAAATACACTCCAAAATGATTACTTCTTGTTTGTTTATTATACAAGTTATTATATTCACGACAGTAGCTCATACGACTGAACCTAAAACAATGTATACCACCAAGTATGATAACATTGATATTGATTCAGTTATCAACAATGAACGGTTGATGAAAAATTATATTGGTTGTTTGATGGATGAGAATTCTTGTACTCCTGATGGACTTGAATTAAAAAGTAAGTATTTATTATTATAATTCAAATATTTCTATCAAAGTTGTAATATTTTTTTTTGTTTAATCTAGAGAATCTTCCGGATGCTTTAGCAACTGATTGTGCAAGCTGTAGTCCAGCTCAAAAGCGAATGGCTGATAAAATGTACCATCATATGATTGATAACAGACCTGAAGACTGGAATCGTTTGGAGAAAAAGTTTGATCCTACTGGACACTATAAAAATCACTATCTTGAAACAAAATATTTAGAATCAACAACAATGAAAGACTCATAAAATATATATAAACAATGTCTCATTGATATTTTTTGGCATTCTGTCTGTATTGTAACGGAGCTTTTTCATTCATCCGGTTAGCTATTAGTCATGACAGTTCGGAGTGAGCACAATGTGTGCATTTATATTTAAATTTAGTACGATAAAATAACAAATAACTATTGTTTAACGAATAATGGCATGAAGTTTACAGTATAAAAAAAAAATAGCAGTAATTTAATTAGATTTATATACTGGCAAGGATGGTAAATGAAAATGACTTGTATATTCGCAGTTGTGAATATACATATATATAATATAAAAGTCATGTTTTGTGTTGTACAGCGGTTTAAAGTTACTGAAAATAATCTTTTACTGGAGTTGTGTATGCGTGTATATGTTGTACATAGCATAACGTAACGGAACGTGGGTGGGCCCTCGAAGATATCTCGGCGCGCGCGGTCTTCCCAGAATCCTGTAGTCTTCATGGTGCTCACCGGCACAGTAAAATGCTGTACGATAGATAAAAGCCAGAAATCAGAAAAAAAAATCAAGGATAAGTCCATTGAATACTAAATGTAGTAACACAAATAAAAGTTATTCAATTGCCATCATTCAAACTCAGAAGATAACCTACTAAAAAAGAGTAAACATACATTTATAACATCTAGGAAAATTGTATGAATATATTTTAATGAATTCCCTTTTATTATCTACCACTTATGGGTGTCATCAATGAATTACACAAGAATGAGTTGAAAATTTGGGCGGAAAACGATAGATGAATGAATGAAAGAAGCAACGAATTTTGAAAATGAATAAACTCTAATTCTTAACGTGTTGGGTGGTCTCCGGGCATTTGCTGTTTATGGGCCACTGCATCTGCGCTAGCCCTCGCGTTGTACCATGTAGTATTACCTGGGCACACTGTGTGTGGTCTACTGTGAGCGCGTAGCTACCACCAGTATACAATACAGGTATGATCTCTATATGTACACAATTCACTGTAACTCATCTATATTCACAATTTATCGCTTATATTATTAATGACAGTTATATTAACATCATAACCTTTTCAGGTAAAGATCTTGAGAAACTAAATAAAAATTTAGCAATAAATCTTGGAATATCGTTGCAAAATATTGCAAATCCATGAATTGTGACTCCTGACTCTCTGATGTCCTGAATGAACTATAGTAAAACAAAACGAGTATATGAGTGGTGGAAGAGATGAAAAAAAAAAAGGTTGTGTGTGAGTTGATTGATTGAGCAAGCTCAAACGTCATGTTGTCGCAATTTACATACGTCTTATGTACGATATGTATGTATAGCAATGATAGAGACAACGTTGTTGCTTATTCCTTATCATTGCCAAACCGTTAAAATGTATTTGTGTGGTTGTTTGCTCTCTAAGTTCACTACGTTGTCTTGTCTTGCATACAAGTAGTGTATGTGAATTTATATGTAAGAGCAAATGCATGTATGGGTGAAGACCACACACGTTGTGACGATCAGTGCGCGCATCAAACCTGCTCCCTTTTTTGTGTTTCTAGTTTTATTTGCTTTTTCTCTACTCGAAGCGACAAATAACAAAAAACAATATAAAAAGATTAAAAAACATCCACATAGCCATTTAATTGGTAAGAAATCCATAAATTTTGATATATAGCTAGAAATTGAAAAGACATATTAATTAATACAGAATGAAATTAGTAGGAATAGAAGATGAAGAAAGAGCTGTTGACTCGTTCATATTCTAAGCGAAGTACATGTTCTGGAAGAAAGAACAGATACACGAAGGACGGCATGTATCTGAGCGCCACGCCGCCACATTGAAAAGACCACCCACGTTGAGGACGCAAAGGCAATATTTAGCGAAAGGCAAATCTCTGTCAGACCACCCACATCGTTTCGGGCGTCTTCGAGTCTGCGTGCTCTGTAACATAGCAAAGTTATATTATTTCATGCTGACTTTACACCATTAACGAGGGCACATTGTACCTCGTTCATTTATATTTTCTTCTTTGGAATCCAAAAAATACACTTTGCCAAGTACATTTCAATAAGACAAGTTACAATTAATTTTTAAAATAAAAAAATACATGAGTTTACTCAAAATATTAAGTAGCATGAGCGATAAGATGCAAAACTTGTTTACATTAAAACATTTATAAATGCTCTTTATTATAATGGAATGATTAGCTATCAAATGATATTTTACACGTTAGATATAACATTGTCTATATGATCTGGGATTACTATGAAGTCTACATACCAGAAGCGACGTTCTTTAGGACCACCCAAGCTACATACATTGCATGCGGAAGTTAGGCCTTCCTGCCCCCTTTCTCTTCCGAATATTCATTTTAATCTACCAATAAAATAATCAACAGCTACTCAAAAAACATACATTCGATAATGTGTTGATATCTTGATTCTTTTAGTACATTTTATTATCTTAGTTAACACTAATCATAAAATATTTAAATTATTACATCTCAAGTTAACAAATTGGAGACTCATTTTTTACTTTTAAAATATTAAAGAAAAAAACTAACAATCAAAATTAAATTGGAAATGCTTCTTGCTCCAAAAATCTCCTATTGACAATGATGAATACCCTGAATGATGAATTATGGTCTGTAACGTCTATAGAGAATGCAGAATAGAAATTACTCATTTCTATGAAAGTAAGACTTCTTTTTTTTTGGTTGTTTAAATAATTGGAGTTAATGTTGAAGTTTGAAACTGTTGGACTAATAAGGTATGAGCTAGACTAAGGTCTATCAGAAATTAAAATGAAAGTGATAGAAGAAAATTGGTAGGATTACATGAATATTACACAAAAGTGAGTAAACTACTTAAGTATTGAAATACTATTTAGTTTAATAGCCCGTCACATTGGGTGGTCCTGGCAGTGCCTCGTCGTGGGCGGGCTCGTGCACTCGCTCACAAACACCATTTTGATATAAATCCCAGAACAGACAAGATTTTTTTTCAAGCAATCAATCGAATGCGATGCATGACATTTTTACACTGTATCACATGCGATTATACAAATTAGGTATATCCATAGGTAATATAAGAAAATTTAACTATTTAAGGTATAAAAAAATTTGTCTAATTGAATATTCAATTGATTTTGATTTACATCTCAATCATTTTTTCCAGATTACTGAGTCATTGATGTTTACAAATAAAATTCATCCAAACCCTTTAATGAATAAATAACATTTAAATTCCATCATTATCTGACTTTCAATCTTGCAAAGTCCGGTTAATTAATTGCAATTACTTTCTAAAAAAAACGGAGTAATATTTTTCAAATTGCAAATGGAGTAAACAATTTTTTTTTGGAGTAAATGATGATTTTATCTAGTAATTGAGAGAATAAAAAGAGCAAAGGTTGTGGTATAAGATGGAAAATTGGTGAAATTATGAATTGGTATGCACAGTATAGTATCATGGTATTTTTTAATGAGTTGAAAAATATAATGTTCCTTCCTCAACAACAGAAGGTAAAAGAAATTCCAAGCGTGTAGTGCTGCCGTTTGGCAACAACAAACGTGAAAGAGAGAGACACCATCAACATCAGACATGAGCGCAGCAGTGGGGAGAAAGTATCAACTATGGCTGGCGGCGCTAAAAATCGACTACGAAAGAAGTGTGTAGCAGAGAATACGAGTGGAGAATTTCGTTTAGTACCAACTTTGACGGCTTTGAGAGTGGTGTGATCATTCACCGTTTTTTTATACATAATAACCAAGTGTGTGTGTTATCATTCACTGAGAGATCAAGTTTATTTTTGATTATTTATTTCAAGTTTATGAATCGTGTGTTGAGAATATAATAAATAAAATTCAAAAACGGAGTGAAAACGATTAAAAGCCGCTTTCAACACACGGAAAATCACAGCAGTGCGTCGTCAGAAGCATCAGTCTCGCTTTGGATTTCTTTAGCTCTCTCCTCTTCTTTTTTCTTTCTCTTTTCTTCCTCTTGCTGCTTCTTTCGGATGCAGTTGACCAACCTGGAAGATATTGTTTTACGAAGATTTGATATATTGTTGTTGTTTGAGAAAACGAAAATTTGTGCTCCATACATATGTAGGTGGCCATAACCATGGTGTAGATTTAAAAATCAATCAACAATTATCCAAGTTTGTGAATTCTCTGTGTAGTTTTTTTGTGTAAGTGTTTTTTAAAATATATTATTCTATCATTTTTCATCAATTTCTCAATAATTGTCAGTGAAAAAACACAATCAATCTTAACTTTAGTGTTGTGTTGTTTTTTTTTTTTCTTATTTCCATTGATTCTATTAATATTTTATCAATTAAATCAAATCTTTTTAAAGAAAATAATTTAAAATCTCTTTATTGAGTAAAAAATGAATTAAAAAAAAAGTATGTAGTTATGTTTGAAATGTTGATTAGTAATAATTTCGTAAAAATATACATGTGAACACGTGGTGTTATGATAACTAAAATTAAAGCATAACATTTAAAAGAATAAATTAAACAAATACTTTTACAATACTACACAGTGCAACGTGTCAAGGCAGATGCATGACGGATCATGGTCGTCGCTGCGTCCGACCCTTCTTCAGGGATCCTAGCGGGACGCCCTACTACTCATCACGGTAGTATTTCTCGTCGAGCTCATCAGCCTCCACCATCATCTCAGCACATCCGAAATGATCAGAAAGCTCGACCGGTAAAATGTCCTGATCAGCAGCAACATCCTAGACATTCGTCGAATATTTATGTTAGGCCAAGCTGGACAGATGCATCTATTGCATTGGACCAAGTTGAGAAGGTAATATTAGATAAAAATAATATCAAAACATTTTTCAAAGTACTAAATATATTATTATTACTTTTAGGTTGTATTAATTGAAAAATATCTTTATAGCGGTATTAATCTTCTATTCGGTTATACGGAATCAAAGCTTAGAATGAGCTGCTCACCTTCCTCTCATTCCTTATTAGCTCATTCACTTTCTCTATCATATATATATATATATATGTGTGTAGACATTTCTTTATTTTTTTTCGCTTTATCATCACGATAGAAGTTATCATAAAATCCTCATTGGGTTTTAATTTAATTCACATGATTTTTTGTGAAAGTATGTATATATATGTATAGGTACACAGAATAGTCACTGTAGTGATGATTCTGTGAGTCTATAGAAGTGTGAGTAAGAGATCGGTGAACTGAGGGTATCATCAAAGTAGAAGGACCTCCGTGGTAATCGTAGTGTCGCTTTTTAGACCCCGAGGTTTTCTTGGAAATTTTCACTTTAAAAGATGAAAAAAGAAAAGAAGAGAAAGGGCAACTATGCACTCTTGTTTGGGCGGGTCATGAATTTACAACGTACAAAGTTTCTCTATTTCTCTCAATGTATATTTATCATTTCCTCTTCAAAGCTACAGAGTTTTTCAAACATCTTGTATTTATTTTTTTTCTTTTAATTTACCGAAAGTTAAATATTTTTGTGACTTCAAATCGCTGGTACTGATTTACTTGAGTTCTTCCTTCATCATTTCAACAATAAAAGATGATATTTTTCAATCCTAATGGTGAGAAAATAATCCATTATTTGCTTGAAAAAACAATTAAGAATAATATTTTCGTTAGTTAACGGTATGTTCTTACCTTCAATAAGTATTTTACTCAATTGTATAACACGGAAGACGTTGGTATCTTTTTTTCTTTTTCCGCTTTTTAATTCCCAAACAGAAAAGATAAGCGTATTGTTGCGGGTGGTCCTCAAGAGCCACATTGTCAGAATCGGAGAACCACCACCGTAGCGCAGGTAGTGGTGCAACGTTGCCGCTCGCAATGTTGCGCGCATAGTCCCTCATGTTGTCTGTTTTCAATAAATATATTAAAATGGTTTTTTTTTATCACAAATATTGCCAACATTTATATTAAGTACTTTGGACATTGTTGATTAAGCCTTCATTAGCATTTTTTTGACAGAGAAAAATTTTTATCATTATTAATTTCCGTTTAGGGTAAGGCAGGAGGCCAGAGGTCAGCAATTTGGATCCGAGCATGGCTCCAAGATGAATTTAGTCAGCTTGGTGACTTTCTCCATAGGCATGCTGGTAAAGTAATCTTTGTGGCTATCCTTGCCCTTGCAACCTTCTGCGTGGCTTTAAAGTCCGTTCAAATACACAGCAAAGTAGAGCAACTATGGATTCAAGGTAATTGATACTTTTTGATTATACTCTTAGTAATTAGACAAACATTTCCAATTACTTTCCTTGATGATGTCAGTTATGGCATTTACTTTATATTTGCATAATTACATTTAAGAGCTGAGAGTATCAAGGTACAGAAGCTCAACTCCAGTTAATAGTATATCAGAACCATTTTTTCCTGTTTTACAAGTCACATATTGAATTAATAAACTCATTAAATACTCTGGTATTTCGTGTTATATAAGAATCAGTTATAATATTCAAATGAGACAGACATAACTTTTCCCGAAAGTTTCCGTCAATTACTGACATTCTTGGGTTATGAAGAATCCGAAAAAAATAATTAAAAAATTTGAATATGAATAGCGTAGAAAAAAAAAAGTAGTGAGCAAGAGAAAGAGAGAAAGTGAGGAATCTGTTGTTATTGTTGTTGCTCTTGTTTTGTTGTTATTGCATCAAACTACTGGAAAGGTCTTATATTAAACAGAGGATCTCATCTTGCGGATATAGCGGTACACCGAGAGTCTGTATTGGGTAATCGAATTTTCGAAATAAACATAAATAGTATTGATATTTGGTGGATTGTAAATTATTTAATTGGCATAATATGTGTACCTAAGATTAGCATAATTATCTGGCTTCTAAAGCCAGAATGTGATGTTTGCACGCGTATGATAATGGTGGCGATGATGACAATGATGATGATAATGATGAGCACCACCATGGGATGAGTCGGGGCCCGTATGCCGTTCCGGTGAATGGTCGACTTGGGTGGCCCATCGGCTGAGCCTCTGTTCCCCTCAGTAGTATACACACATGTTTGTGTGGGTATGTGTACACGCATACATACCTTAGACGCCAAGTCAGCCCGAATGCGTCTGGCGAAGATAGGACTATGCGTGTCTGCAGTTGTGTGTTATTTGTGTGAACGCCTAATATAAGTAAGCTAAAACTCCTCTGAGAGTACGGTTAAAAAAGAATCTCCAGAGAATGTGTGTATGTATCTCTCTAGAGAGTATTGTCAAGTATTTATCTTTTAGAAATTCATTCAATGAATATGTCTTTCATTCACTTTTTATCATTTTTTTGAATTTAAGGGTTGCAAAATGATCATTACCTAAAATACTTACTAAAACTTTTTAGGAGAAATTTAATTAAAAAATTTTTATCGTCAGTTTTAAATTAATTGATTCGTTAATTTTATTTAACGAGTAATTATTGATAATTATTATGGTCATTATTTGAAGATAAAGTTGTATTATCAAGCAATTATTTTAAAAAATGAGAAGATAGTTGAAATAATATTGTAATTTTGTGCTTTCAGAAGGAGGAGTACTAGAAAAAGAATTAGCTTACACATCAGAGACTTTGGGAGAAATAACAACCACCACACACCAAATGTTCATTCAAACTCCAAAACGCTCTGACGCAAATATTTTGCAAGTGTCAGCTCTTAAGGAGCACTTAGATATACTTAAAGCTGCTACGAGAGTTACAGTTGATCTTTATGATACGTAAGTATATTTGAATATTTTTTTTACTCTCCCCTTACATCTTAAAAATATTCGAGCTCGATTTTAAGACATGTTTTTTTTTTTATTTTTATTACAGCCCATGGGAACTAAAAGATCTATGTTACGCCTTAAGTGTTCCTAGTTTTGATAATCAATTTATTGAACGTATTTTTGATAAAATTGTACCATGTAATATTATTACGCCATTAGATTGTTTTTGGGAAGGAAGTAAAATTGTAGGATCAGATCATTCTGTCCACATCAGGTAAATATCACAAATAATCAAACAAATTTTAATAAAAGTTTTCTTATCAATTAGCAATAAAATAAATGATTTTATTTTTTTTTAAAGTCATATAAAGAATCATGAGTATGTCCAATGGATGGATTTAAATCCCATGAAACTATTTGAAGAAATGAAAGGATTAGTGGTTTCTTTTCCATTTCAACCTCTAGAGGAATATATGAAGAGATCTGGAATAACAAATGGATATCAAAGCAAACCATGTCTGGATCCAATGGACCCCAACTGTCCGAATTCTGCTCCTAATAAAAAAACTCAGCAGGTAAAGTGTACTCTTTTATTATCAATAATCAATTCATCATTATCCCATGTCTTTTTCGAAAGCTTAATTTTAATAATGAAATCATTCAGGTACCTGATATTGGAGCAGAACTGACTGGAGGATGTTACGGATTTGCCGCAAAGTATATGCATTGGCCTGAAGAACTGATTGTTGGAGGTGCAAAGCATAATAAGACTGGACACATAATACAAGCTGCTGCTTTACAGTCTGTTGTACAATTGATGACGGCACGTGAGTTGTATGAATATCATTCCCATTCATACAAAGTCCATCATATTGATTGGTCGCAAGAAAAAGCGTCACAAATACTTGATAAATGGCAACGAGCATTTAATAAACAAGTCAAGAGAAAGCAATTAGAGCTAAATATGAGTGGAACTCCTGTATTATATAATTCTTATGCATTTAGTACTACGACAATGAATGACATACTTAGCAAATATTCTGAAATTTCAATAACAAATATGGCTATTGGATGTGGACTAGTGATTTTATATACTGGATTTGCTCTATTTCGCTGGAAAGATCCAGTACATTCTCAAGCAAGTGTCGGAGTTGCTGGAGTTATTCTTATTTGTGCTACAGTCGCTGCTGGTCTAGGATTTTGTGCCTTATTGAGAATACCTTTTAATGCAATTACAACTCAGATGGTTCCATTTCTTGCCCTTGGTCTTGGTATTCACGATATCTTCTTGTTGACACATACATATGCTACGACAACGATAGAAGCATGTGTATTAACCGGGTCAAGTGAACAGACTAAACCATTATCACATTTTAGTGATACTGAATTACAAACGAATATCATATTAAAACGAACTGGTCTATCAGTATTACTCAAAGGTCTCAGTAATGTTGCGGCATTTTTCGCAGCTGCGATCATTCCAATTCCTGCTTTAAGAGTTTTTGCTTTTCAATCTAGTATTCTTATCCTTTTTAATCTTGCTGCATTGCTACTTGTTTTCCCAGCAATGATTAGTCTTGATATTCGTCGAAGGAGATCTGGTAGATCAGATATCTTTTGTTGCTGTTTACCAGCAATCACGAATGATAAATACTATAATTACATGGATGCACAGTCGAAGAATTCTAATCAGAATGTTATAAAAACAATACCTTTAGATCAGAAGGAAACTTTGACTAATATCTTAACAGATCAGAATGAACTTTGGACTGAAGAAAATACTAATAGTAATAATGTTAATGTTGATACGAATTATAATGCTAATAATAAAAAGAAACATGAAAGGAGGAAGAAGAGAAATGAAAAAGAGGGGGATGATGAAGTAGATGCTGATGATGATGAAGATTATGAACATGGAAAAAAATGTCCAGAAGAAGCTAATCGTCAACGAGATAGAGAATATTCTTCGAGGCAAGCACCAACCCAACACAAAAAAAATTATCATCAACAGCATCGTCTTCAACAACATGAATATACAGAAACAGATACTTTAACTGGGTTTACTCCAGATGAGTGTCTGCAATTTTCATTAACGCAATTAGCCGCGAAACATTATGCTCCATTTATTACAAAACCCAGTACTAAAGTTCTTGGAATGATGTTGCTTGCTGTTGTTATTGGTGGTAGCGTCTGGCAAGCGATGAAGATCGACAATGGATTGGAGCTGAGTGACTTAGTACCTCAGAACTCTGATGAACATGCCTTTTTGGTTGCTCAATCAAAATACTTTGGATTTTATAATATGTACGCAGTAACTGGTAGAGATTTTGAATATCCAAACAATCAAAAACTTTTGTATGAATATCACGATGCCTTTATGAGGATTAAAAATGTAATTAAAAATGATGATGGAGGCTTGCCAAAATTTTGGCTCAGCATATTTCGTGACTGGTTACGTGATTTACAAGCTGCCTTTGATAGAGACTATAAAAATGGTTGTATAAACCAAGAAGGATGGTACAAAAATGCGAGTGACGAAGCTATTCTTGCCTACAAATTACTTGTACAAACTGGTCATGTTGATAATCCCATCGATAAAACTCTCATATCTCAAGTGCGCTTAGTTGATTCTGAAGGAATTATTAATCCTAGAGCATTTTATAACTATTTAAGTGCATGGACATCAAATGATGCATCAGCATATGGAGCTTCTGAAGCTAATTTAAAGCCAGAACCAAGACAGTGGACGTTCAGTAACGATCATGAACTTCAAATACCAAAAAGTATGCCTTTGATCTACGCACAAATGCCGTTTTATCTTCATAAACTCACCGACACAAACCAGATTACTGAATTAATTACCAGTGTGCGTAAATTATGCAAAAAATTTGAAGAACGAGGTCTACCCAACTTCCCGTCTGGAATTCCATTCTTATTTTGGGATCAATATATGGATCTAAGAAGCTGCTTATTTATTGCATTGACTGCAGCTTTAGGAGCCACTGTAGCTATAATTGGAATTCTTTTGTTAAATGTATGGGCTGCCATCTTAATTGGTACATCACTAGCAGGTGTTGTACTTCAACTTCTAGGAGTAATGGCATTATTTGGAATGAAGCTGAGTGCTGTTACTGTTGTGTTACTAGTGATCAGTGTCGGAATAACAGTTCATTTTACTGCGGACATTTGTTTGAGTTTTGTAACTTGTGTTGGTGGTAGTCGCGATCGTAGAATCCGTCTTGCTATTGAACACATGTTTTCTCCAGTGGTTCACGGTGCTATCGGAATATTATTAACAATAGCAATGTTAGCCTTTTCGGACTTTGAGTTTATTGTGCGTTCCTTCTTCTATGCTTTATTATGCCTTATAGGCATTGGTTTTATAAATGGACTTTTGTTCTTCCCTGTGTTATTGTCATTGGTGGGTCCATCATCAGAAGTTATACCTCCACATGAACATCCAGATCGTATTTCTACTCCAACTCCGCCTGCTTCTCCACAAGAATTTGCTAAGAGACGACACTTTAGACAACAACCTCCAGAACCGCCTAGACGACCACATAAGATGGATAATAATTGTGGTAGATTGCATACTGAACCTTCTCTGACTACAATTACAGAGGAACCTAATTCATGGCATAGTACTACTCAAGAGTCTTGCATTATTGTTCAGCCAGAGGTTAAAGTTGAAACTACATCTACATGTGGAAATCAGGTCCGTTAGACAATTATTGAAAAATACATTGATTTTTTTTGAAATTATCTAGTTAATCTTCAAGCTAATTTATATTTATTTTTTTTTTTTACAGAATTGTGGTGCAGGATCAGAAACAAATCGAACATCTCCAGTCCTATCAAACTCACATATTACTACAACAACAAAAGTTACAGCCACTGCCAATATTAAAGTTCAAGTTCACACACCTTTAAATGGTGAGTTGATAATTTAAAACAAATTAAATGTTTCTAGAAAATTTATTCATAAAAAATCCATGATACTAATCTTATTTTATTTTCATTAGGCTCTTCCAAACGAAGTTCACGCAGCAGTAGTACTACAACTACAAATTCAAATGAGGAATTCAATTCTAGTAGATGTAATTAAATTGACAATTATGGATAAAGAAATTAATATTTAATAATTAATAATAATTATTATAATGATAAAGATAATTATAACGACAATAAAATAGAGAGGTGCATAAGTAGAATAAGAATCATAATTTTTGGTTGCGTTTTTGAGCAACGATTTTGATATTAATATAATTATTAAATACGAATAATAACGAAATTAATAAAGAATAATAATGTCTATGGGCGACATAAGTTATTGCTCAAATATTAAATGAAGCTGTAATGCATTCAAGGCTGACTAGATTTATTATTTTTATAATGGAATAATAATGTGTATTATATATCATGTATTGTGTGTAACTTAAATGCTATTTTACTTGTGCCTTTTGCAATTATGTAGGTTTTGTACATAGATGACTATTTAATAATAAGAGAAAGAATGAAGTGTGGTGAGTGAAAAATATGAGGAATACAAAATGAATATTAATTTGTTACCAAATATATGCGATATTGGCATCTAATTCGCAACTTATTAATTTCTTAACAACTAATAATGAAAGTCTACACGTTAATGTATTAAAATAAGGATGTATGCGTGAGTGTGACTTGTGCAGAGAAGTTATTTATTATTTATTTTTTATATCTTTCTTAATGGATATTACATTGTACACATGATAATTTGTAAAAATGAAAACATAATTAAAAAATATTGGAAGTATTGAATATTATTTTTTTTTGTTAATTATTTTCATCATCATCATCATCATACTCCACTACCTTTTACTTTTTTTAATATCCAATGATTTACATCATTTTTACATCAGCTTTAATGTTTTTATTTTATTAAAATAAAATTTTATAATTTTACCGCGTATGTAAAATTTGTATAATTGACAACAGAGGCGTTGTCAGTGTAAATAAATTTCAAAAATTAAAAAAGATTGAGAAATAATTTAATCCGACTAATTAATTCCATTTTCCATGCGTAAATAATACTTATTAACAACTTAGAAATTGTATATGATATTTTAAAAAAAAATTTAGACCCTTTTATTGCGTAATTTATTGCTGTATCATGCTTTTTTTCAGTTCTAGAATTCTCCAGTCGTTCGTCGAAAAGTGGAATCACTTACGGAAGCGCCCCCTATGTCTAGCTTGCGTACTTAATTTTTATGTAAACATAAAATTTTGGAGTTTGTGTATCTATGTATGGTAGCATTCCTTGATTTGACAGTTTTTGTTTGCCATGTCAAACACCTCACTTACAGAAACAACAATATTAAAATAAATTAATCATTAAATAATATCCACTTAACCCCAGTAACTTAATCTAAAAATAAGTACATTGGAATTTTCAAACAATGTCGATTAAAAAATACTACATAATTCTACCTAAGGACTCTAGTTTCTGTGATAGATTTTTATAAACCAATAAAAAAGTAATTTATTTATTTTCTATAAAAGTAAAAAATCAAAAAAAATTCAATCATGTTACCAGGAATAGGATTATTCGGAACGGGAAGTGTAGTTCGTATGATTGTACCTTTTCTAAGAGAGAAAGGTTTCAAAATAGAAGCATTGTGGGGTCGAACTCTTGCTGAAGCTTTAGGAGTTGCTAAGGATCTTGATATACCTTTTCATACAAGCAGCATTGATGACGTTTTATTACGTAAAGATGTAGATCTTATATTTATCATGTGTTCACCAAGTTTGCACGCTCAAATCGCAGTCAAAGCTCTAGGTATTGGTAAACATGTAGTCTGCGATAAACCAGCAGGGCTAAGTCAAAGTGAAGCTTTGAAGATGGTTCGTGCAGCTCAGTATTATCCTTCATTAATTAGCATTGTTAATCATAGTCTGAGGTTTTTGCCGGCGTTTGTGAAAATGAAAACTGCTCTAGATGATGGTTATCTTGGTGGTCCTGTCACTGTAATTGACATCCGAGTTCAGATGGGAAGTCTTCTTAGAAATGGTTTGCATCATAGTATTTTTATTCTATTTTTTAAAAAAAATCAGATCAAGTAAAAAAAAAACTTATTTCTTGATCAAGTTATTTTTATTAATATTAATGTCAATATTATGAACCAAATTATTCTGTGCTTAAATTTTATGAATACTTTTTATTGAATATTCAATTTTATTACTGACAATTTGTTATGATAAATTAAATGTAATAAAATCTAAAATAATATTTACATACTTTGTTTATCATAAAATTTGGTCAAAATATTTAATTTATTATGTTAATAAAAAAAACTCAACATTGAACTTTGATGTCAGAAATGTATTTTTATTTAATCTTATTTGTAACAGCATGGTTTTCAAGTGTTTACTTTCTACATATTCATTGTTTATTAATCGATACAGTTTGTTTTTAAGATGATAGATCTAGTAATTCTTAAATTAAAAGTAAAAAATAATTTATTCACTTTACATTAGAATTATTTTGTCATTTCCTAAATTTTTATTTATAAAAATCTTATTAGTCTATTGTGTTATTTATTGATTTAATACACAATTACATGAATTATGAGTTAACAATAAAAATAACTAATCTATTTGTTTTAGGATATGACTGGCTTTGTGATGATACAATGGGTGGAGGAATCTTAGCATTGGTTGGTAGTCATGTAATAGACTTGATATTTCATTTACTAAATCAAAAAGCATCACGAGTTCATGCTGTTGTGAGAACTTTTACTCAAACAACGAAACACATTAATGGAATTCGACGTGTTACATCTCCAGATTTTTGTAGTTTCCAAATGGAATTAACAGGTGGTACTTTAGTAACAGCTACGTTGAGCAATCATCTTCAAGGTCAATTAACTCAAGAAGTTCTTATTTGTGGAGCAAATGGACATCTAGTAGTTCGAGGTGGTGATCTTTATGGTTGTAAAAATGGTCAAGAAGAAGTGTTATATCGTGATATGGAGAGTCTCAAGGATTCATATCCAGGAGTATCAGATTCAATACCACGGCCATATGTAAAAGGACTGAAAAAAATGATTGAGGCACTTAGAGAAGCTTTTCAACCCGTTGAAGATAAAAGGGGATGGATAAAGGAACCTGTGTCACAAGCTGCCACTTTTGAAGATGGCCTTTATATTCAGGCTGTAATTGATGCACTTAGGCAAAGTAATAAACGGCGCGAATGGACTAAAGTAACTATATTAACTGAAGAGCCCGATCCCAACCCACTTTTAAGTGCTGCTGTTCGTGCGACAGCAATTTCAATTTAACATTATTATATTTAGAAAAATATTGACTAATATTTATTATCAAAATGAACTCAATTATCGTTCATAGACAGTATTATTAATATTGTTGACTCACTTTTAAAAGTAATATCCTGAATGTTAGGATAAAGTGAATAACAAGATGGTTGTAATAAAAGACTAAAAAAATTATTAACATACATTTGAAAGCAAAAAATGATTTTACACAGAATAATAATAATAATAATAATTGACGATTTTAAGCTTCGGCAAATAATTTTTTTCTTTTTTTACTTATTAAATATTTATGTGTAATAATAATGTAATTATAGTAATACAGAGCACAAGAAAAAAATACAGTGCTTCAAATTTTTAATAAAAACAAAATATTATTTTATTTAAACAAATGACAGATGATGTATACCATCAAAATATTTTGCCCTGTTTATATGCTCATATTATATTCGGAAATATAGAGCTGTGGAAATTGTTAAAAATGATAATGTCGAAGATCTGTTGTTTGAAGATAATCTATCTTCGTTTCTATTTTAAAAGTTATTTTAAACTTTAGATCGTTTACGAGCGATCGCGTCCTCTACAGCTTTAAGTTGTTTAAGTAATTCTTCCCTTCGTGAACTAGCTTTTTTTACGGCCTTGGCAGCTGCTGCTGCATCGATAGCTTTATCATCTACTGGAGGAGATTCCGCTGGTCGTTTTTTACCAGCTATTGTTGCACTTCGATCAATTTTCTTTACAGGTGATACATTGTTTGGCGCCTTCAATGCTAATTTTATCTGTTGCTTTGAATTACTAATCTTCGGCTCAACACTTTTTGAAGAATCTTTACGGGAATGAGATGGGGATCCTCCTTTCTTTCGTCGTACTTCAACTGATGACGATGATGAGTAAGTAGATTCACTTGAATCACTACTGCTTCCAGAACTTTCTGATCCTGAGCTACTATGAGAAGACCTAAACAATTAAATAAATATATGAAACTATATCTTTTTTAAATTAGCAAGTTGATAAAAATCACTAACCTCGATCGCGAACGACTCTTAATAACTTTGGCAACAGCTGCAGCAGCTAAAGCAGCTTTATCTCTCGTTTTATCATGATGTCTTTGAGTTAGAGGACTTGGTGCTGGTGGGTTAAGTCCTGCACGACGATGAAGTGTACCAGTTGGTGAAATAGAACCCTTAGCTCCACGAGGTGATGGTGCAGGTGGATTCATTAGCAGCAGAGGACCACGGGATTGGGATGATGATGAGTTAGCGGGAGGAAGGGGTGATGGAGGGTGTTTTCCTTTGGTATGAGTTCGTGCACGAACTGAAGGTGATGGGGATCGGGACCTAGAGAGGGAATCATAAGAGGAGTAGCTAGAACGGCTTGAACTACGGCTGGAACTAAAACAATTAGCCATATTTATAAATACTTGATCTTTCATACAATTTTATGATTACGATTTGACGAACATTCAATTTTTTTTCTGAAAGATTAATATTTGTTATATGATCTAAACCGTACCTGGTACTTGTGTAAGATGATCCTGAAGAATATGATTGTCTTCGTGGTCTTCTAGTAGACGTTGCATTACGACGTACAGCACTCGGTGATTTACGTCTCATCCAAGGATCGGCCCATTCATCTCCACGACCGCGTTCAATTGGTGGAGGTTCTTCCTCTCGCCAAGGTTTGGCCGCTGGAATTCTTTCAACTATTACTTCTCTAGATGGCTTTTTATGTTTCTTCTCGTATTTTTCATAATACTCGCGTTCTCTTTCTCGTTCACGTTCACGATCATGCTCACGAATTGGTGGTGGTGAGTCTGAATGAGGAGTAGCTCGAGGTATTGCATGACGTTCAACACGTTCTCTATATTCTGGTGGAGCACGTGGATCCACTTTATACTGAACTCTTCGATAATATTCTGGTGGTCCTGCTGGTGGATATGGATATCCTTCAGGTTCTTCATAATGATCCGGTGTAATTCTTGGATGTGGTACTCGTCTTGGAGGTGGTTCTCTTACCCATCTTTCAACTGGTGGCTCAGGACTCATAGGCCTAACATAATAACCAGCTTCTCTATCCAAATCTTCTTGTCCTAAACTTAAATTCATCTTTTTCTCCTCAAAGTCCATGTCTGACTCCTTACGTTTATTGGCTTTACGCATCATCTCTTTAGCATGACGTAGTCCTCGTTCCCAAGCAGATTCTGGTGCTAATTCTTCACCTTTAGGATGTGAATGTCCAGGATAAGCGTTCACTGGCCGTGTTATAGCAGGCCGTTCAATATGAGGTCGGTAATCATGTGGTGGACCATGTGGAGGATACGCCATTGGTCTTACCATATCAAACATGGTATAATTACCTTTGTCAGTTACACCAGGATGAAGAAACCGACAACTGACACCCCAAGTACACTGACCTCGATTATAAAAACGACAAACTGGTCGTGGTTCAGTTTCTTCTGGACGTGCATCATCTCCATCACTTAACTCACCTTCTTCAAGTTCAGATTCTGCTTTTTCACCATCCTCTTTAACTTCTTCACCATTTTCTTCAACAATCTCACCAGATTCTCTAACTTTAGTCTTTTCTTTGTCCTTGTCTTTATCTTTTTCTTCATCCTTAGAATCTTTTTCCTTCTCTTTAAATTCTTTTACTGTTGCTTCAGACTCTGCATCCTCTCGTTCATCTTTCCATTGTCCTTCAGCTTCAAAATCTAACTGTTCACTTTCTTCAGCAATATTTACAGATACTTTCTCTTCATTATCGATTTTCTGCTCTTCTTCACGAGTGTGGGAATTTGTTTCTCGTTCACTACTTTGATCATGTGTTTGTTCTGGTTCTTCTACTCCATCCATACTATCAAGATCAGAAACATCTGATAGATCTTCTCCGTGAGTTAATGGCGCAGGTTTAGATTTGATTTCAGGCTCTGGTTCATCTTCAATATCACCATCTGATATTTGTTCTCCATCCAGATCATTAAAAGAATTGCTTTTTCCCATCAGATTTATTTTTCAATGAATGTTTATCATCTTCGTTGTCATCAGGAGCACCTGATTTAAATGATTTCGGTGAACTTTGTCCAGATGCTAAAGATTTAGGAGAACTTCTTCCTGACAATGGTGATTTAGGAGAACTGTGTCTTGAACTAGTATTCCTATCTGATTTTAATGATCGAGGTGATCTAGCTTCAGATGCTGTGGATTTAGGAGTAGCTGGATCATCTCTCAGAGATTTAGGAGAACTTGGACCAGACCTATAAGAACCGGCATCTTTAGCAGGTGATGGCGGAGGAGAACTACAATCTGATCTTGGAGAATCCATAGAATTTCCAGAACGATAGGACTTTGGAGATACACTTCCAGATTTGGCAGAACTATGGCGAGAGCTAGGAGATCTTGGTAATTGTGGTGATCTTGGATTATAATCCGCAGGTGACTGCGGTGATGCAGGTTCACTAGGTGATTTAGGAGATCCTTCTCTTGGAGACAATGGTGATGCTGGTGGAGAGGATGGTGTTTTAGCTCTTGGAGAAGATGCCGGCGAACTCATAGGAGATTTAGGACTTGATGGTGCTTTTCTTTGATATTCAGGTGATCCATCAAGTGAAACTCTTCCAGGTGAAGGCTCATAGCTATCTGAAGAATTCTCAGAGCCCGAGTCTGACATTCTGGCAATATTCTCAGCCTGTGAACACAAAAAGTTATTGAAAAAAATTGGTTATCTCAAATCGTAGCAGAGGCAATGAGCCACGATAGACTAGACCAAAGAGTTAGTGTGCCTCGACTTGGAAGAATATTTAAATGACTGTTATTTAAATGTTACAATAATAATTTTAAAAAAGTAACAATTTATTATTACTTATATTTATGATCATTTGATACGATCATACCTACAATTAATTTCACGATCGTTTCTATACGTCGTCTCCGACGAATAAAGCTTACCTGTGTCGAAAAGTGCTCGTGCAGTACTTGTTCTTGAGGACGCGACGCGCGCTATCCGTGACACTTCGGATAATTTACGACACATCAAAAAAACTTTTGGACTTTTTTCTTTATTTTATTACATTCTTTGTACTTAAACGATTTTTACGTGAACTTGACATGTAGATTACTACTTTCACATAACAATAACGTAAACATTTATACGTAATGAATCATCAATAAACTTTTTCTCGAACTTGTTAATTTTATAAACAAACTTTACTTGTTACTCTTTTCCGATATTTTTTCCATCAAACTGAGTTCATATATATTTTTCTTTTTACTATTATTGAACTTTTTTGATTTTTTATACGTACACAGCACAAAGTAAGAGAAACTTTTGAACTTTTTTGTAAACTTTTTGGGTACTGCACTAGAGCAAGGAAACTTTTGACCTGAAAGAATTGGTTTTGGACATACTGGTAAAGATAAAGAGAAAAATAGGTAGAAATATACAATTATAAATAAATGATGAATGATAATGTCAGGAATTTAACTGTTAGCCTTGAATAAAAATTAAATAATTGAATAATATCCAAGGAATCAGAAGCTATTTAATTAATGACAATAATCAAAAATACACACGTCTTGTAACCATATTGATTGCTGCGTTATAAAGCACTTTGTTCAATAATAATAAAGTTATTATTGATTTTAATTTTTTTTTCTATTAACAAAATTATTTCATTAAATATTTATTTCTCTAGAAACCCACTGAAAACTACAAAGTTAGACATGCACTTCTATTTAATTATTCATCAGTTATTATCAAGTGGACAATTACAAAATATCTCCTCTTGATAGAGCTAAATAAATTATCGCGAAGATGCCTAGATGGACACAGACACAAAAAAAATATATACCCATAATTATCAAATTGACCTCCAAATAAGTTATACATGAAAACTAGTCTAATTAGCAATAAATATTGGTTGCAAGAAACATTAAAAGGATTATTTTTTTATTTAATGAGAAGTACTAATTATGTAGTTATAATTCCGATAATGAAATAATTATAGATTTATATTCTCACCTTGATTTTGTTGTAAAGCCCGGAATGATGGGCTTGACTGTTGATCAAATGATCCTGAGTCCAGGACGTTTAGAATTTTTTAGTAATTTGCTGATTTTGCCAAGTTCAACACTCATTCACCAAAGCCGATACCGCAAGAAGACTATATCCAGCGTGACGATGAATTTTATACCTTCCTTGACGATGATATTTCTTGAACTACAACAATTGTCTAGTCACTAGTGAGTTCCTTTTAGGTATTGGTACGCCCCAGACAAAAATAAGCATTCAAAACCAGCTATTATTGAAGGTAACGCTGTGAGAACACAGCGATAATGAAGAGAAAAAGTTTTATTACGAGAGATTAAAGTAAAATGGATATGTACATACTGTGTGTCGTGGAATACGGAGTTTATTGTGAAGTGGAAACCCTTCTGCACAAAAATTGTGCAATGATGAAACCGGAAACAATAGCGATCAAATCAGAGAGGTGATTCGTTGAATAAATAAATCGTGAGTTGTAATTAATCTATTCACCGTAAGTGAGCAGCACTATAGTATTTCTAGGAATGGCGCTTATCGATGTCGGAATAATTTTTTTTACTAATTTTAAACAACAATTTATTGTAAAACATCATTAGTGAATTACTTTTAATTAATTTATCTAATCAGAATTATCGTTTTATTGTCAAATTTTTAAAATTATGGACCGTTGCCTTTTGACGCTTGCGCAGAATTATAAACAATCGCTTCGCCATCTGGTTGTCAATCTATCTACTTACTTAACGGAGTAAAATTCGTCCAAGATCGTTATTCTATTAATTTCTTTTTTCTCGGACATAGACCACTTACGAAAGCCTGTACGATTCGTTCGTATTTTCCTCGGTCTTGCCCTCTTGGCCAAAAGTAGATAGGAGTCTTGATGGTGGTTAGATTATCATTAATAATTTAGAATTCGTTTACATAGTAACAAGAGCCCTTATTTTTACAATGGCCGTTGCTGCTAGGGCACTCACAAAATTGACAGGTACGTTCCATCACTTAGGTTTTGAATATAAATCACATTGAAAAATAAATTCCGCGCTGATGATACTTTGCCCCTGTAATCTTTTAAAAATTTTAACATGTTGGAACTTACATATATTTTTATCTTAAGTGTTTTCACAACAAATTATATTTGTTATATATAAGATTGACATTGTTCTCACGCGCTCTTACGAAAATTATGTAAGTAAGGACACAATAATTGACAGTCTGTTATGAAAAATGAAAAAAAACTCATGTTTACTTAAATAATTTATACTCATTATACTTTAAACAAATTAATGTTAAAAACAATGTGTTATCTCTAACATTTAATTTTACAACTATGTCATCAGTTTCGTTTTTGTGTTCTTATTCGAGTTTCTATTTGTGATGTTCATGACCTCCTTCATTGAATTGCAGTCCATGGCCCTGGCCTTGAGATGACAGTCTACTTTATAAATTTGGTTATCGCTCTAATTTACTCAGCAAACAATGTTTTTTAATTTTTTATTGATATTTTTCAATTAAATTTGTTTATTTGCTCTACAGTCAGCAGACCAAGCAGTCTGATTCGTACATCTGTCAGGTTCAACTACACAGAAACGAGGAAAAACTTGAAGATTGACTCGAATACTAAAGTAATATGCCAAGGATTCACTGGTAAACAAGGAACTTTCCATTGTCAACAAGCAATAGATTATGGAACGAAAATTGTTGGTGGTGTTAGCCCTAAAAAAGCCGGCACTGAACATTTGGGCAGGCCAGTATTCAAGTCTGTTAGAGAGGTACTTTTTAATAATTAATTGGTAATATGAATTCATTGGAGCATTATTATTGAATGATAATTTTTTTAAATTAGGCTAAAGAGGCTACTGGAGCTTCAGCCTCCGTAATTTATGTTCCTCCCCCATCAGCTGCAGCTGCAATCATGGAAGCACTTGATGCTGAGATGCCCCTAATTGTTTGTATTACTGAAGGAATTCCTCAACATGACATGGTTAAAGTTAAACGACGGTTATTAGAACAAAATAAATCTCGTCTTATAGGTCCAAACTGTCCTGGAATTATCGCTCCAGAACAGGTAAAAACTTTATTTTTAATTACTTAATCATCCTATAAAACTTTACTCACAATAATCTCATTGTTGTTTTTAAATTATTCAGTGTAAAATTGGAATCATGCCGGGTCATATTCATCAAAAAGGAAAAGTTGGAATTGTCTCTAGATCTGGAACTTTAACTTATGAAGCTGTAAATCAGACAACACTCACAGGTTTAGGACAATCATTGTGTGTTGGTATTGGTGGTGATCCGTTTAATGGTACTGACTTTATTGACTGCTTGGAAGTATTTTTAAATGATCCTACCACATCTGGAATAATCATGATCGGTGAAATTGGTGGTAGTGCTGAAGAGTCTGCTGCTGAATATCTTACTAAACATAATCATGTTAGTTGATTCTCTTGAAAGATGATATTGATCTAATACTAACAAGACTGATATAATTTATAAGAAATTCATTTTACACAAACTTAATCTCGTATTCAGTTTAGCAACGATTGATTCTAGGGTCCATCAGCTAAACCTGTAGTATCATTCATTGCTGGAGTCACTGCTCCACCAGGACGTCGAATGGGTCATGCAGGTGCTATTATTTCAGGAGGTAAAGGCGGAGCTCAGGATAAAATCAACGCACTTGAAAAGGTTTATATGAGTATATTAACATTTATGCATTAAGTATGGTACTCAAGTATGGCAGGAAATATTAATGAAAAAAACCTAGAGAATTTTTTACTGAACAATATTTATTTAAATTTAAAAGTAAAAGCTGCTCTTTATCGTTGTTGATAATTATATTTTTCTCAGCAACTTTTATGATTAATTATCACAATATACGTGTTATTTCATGAATATTCAATCACATACTCATGAATAAAAATATCTTATGATAATATTTTTATTTTATATACAGGCTGGCGTAATAGTAACGAGAAGTCCCGCACAAATGGGTCGAGAACTGCTGAAAGAAATGGTTCGCCTGGGTCTTCATTCACTTTAAATTCAAGACTTCTTTGTAAAATGATGTAGTTGTACTTGTCCATATATCCTCTAAAATAATTATTAACGTACTATCACACAATGCAAAGAAATAAACGATAAGAGGAAAAATGTTGACACGAAATTGGAATAAAATAAAATGTAATAGATTCAACAAGTTAAATTTTATTAAAAGGATATATTTATCAAATATATATATGTATACATATATAAATGTGTAAAGATGTGTCAACAACGTTGTTCATGAAAAAAATATAAAAATTGTACAGTGTTCACAAAGTTTGTGAATCATTATTGAAAGTAATTCAATGTTGTTGGTAGTTTCACGCTTTTAACATTGTGGAACTTAATTTTACAAAAATATTACATCAATTTTTAATTGATTTTGCCACAAACTACTCAATCATCCACAGAGCATATTTCTATGTACTGTTATTAAATAACAATGCGCTTATTGTAAGTAACGTTGAAGAAATAAATAAACCTATTAAAATGCGATTTAATTTTATAACCAAATAACAAATTTTTTTGCTTTGATTTTTTTATTTACAAACATTTTTTTTACCTACGAATATCCCAATATGTGATCTATAATTTGAGCTATTTCTTTACTTCTATTATTTATGAATGGTTGGAGCTTTGATAAATCCATAGTCTTTAGAAGCTCTAGAAGTGTGTCACATGTACATTGATATAAATGATTATCTTTACACAACTGTTCAGCTAGCTCATATTGATGGTTATCCATTAATAGATCATTTATTACAACAATCAAAGGTTTTTTTGCCTCCAAGGCTTCTAAACAACTCCCTGCACCAGCATGACTAATAACTAAATCAGCAGAAGTCATATATTGTTCGAGTGATGGTTTTAGTTTGAATACTTCAATGGCAGTAAAACCACATCGAGGAGTACAATCAGGTTCTATGGTAGTATTCCCAATTTGTAATATCAAATGATTATATCCTCTTTTATTTAATTCCTAAAAAATATCAATAAAATTAATTTCAATGAATGTAAACGTGATTATCAGTCATAAGTGGAGTGAAAAACAAATTCAAAAGTGTTTGTCGAATAGCAATTCTTTTTTTGGTCATTTGTTCAAACATATAATTATGATATGACACTAATAATGACAACATAAAAAGAGAATTTGTTTAACAGAAATAGTCGTAATAGAAAAAGTATCATTGCTCTTATTGTCTTAGTTAACTAATAGAGACTTTATTTAATACAAAAGGTACTGACAAGCATCAAATAATAGGCTAAGTATTTCTTTATACTTCTATTTAACTTTTTGTGGGATTCATTTAATGGCATTACTATTCAGAGTTTGATAAAAGATTTTCTCTTTATTATTTTGCACTTTGTTTTTCAACTATGTACTTTTTTGTTATGTTTATAATAAATTCTCTTATCAATAATAGTCAATAATCAATAAATAATTATGAAAATATAACTAATATACTTTACTTACATTCAATATATCATCACACAGAATAGTTTTAATTAATTTATCAAATTTTGTTGTTCCCACAGTAACAAAAACTATTGATGATTTCATTTTTATATTTCTAGTTAACCTCAATATCTTTCAAATCATTTCATGATTGAATTAAATGATTCTTTAGATTGTTTAACATTTAAGTATATTTTTGATAATTATTTGTGAATACATATAAGTTTTTTAAATTAATATTATTTCAATTAGACACTTTCAAGTAAAATTACAATTTGAGATGAATAGAAAGCCCACACAAAATTGCCGGGTCGATAAAGTAGAGATTTGAAGATTTTTGTTTTATTATGTTGGTAGACTTAAATGTCTACCCTGTGAACATGGCGAGTTTGCGCGCGGCGTATTACCTCGAGTTCCTGCAGTTCTCACACCATCGTTTATTGTCGTAGATGGGCTCTTAATTTTCCCAAAGTGTTGATTGCGAATAATCGTGATAATAGTGTCGGAACATTGCAATTATCGATTAATTTCAATTAAAGGTAAGCGTGTGAACACGTGTATGAAACAATTTCAAACAAAAGACAAAGTGTGCGACAAAATTGAAGAATTTTGTAATACCATTCTGTTCGGAGACTTTGGAAATAATGGCCGATGCAGATGGAAAAAAATTGACCGAATTGCGGGTCATAGATCTTAAAACAGAATTAGAACGACGTGGATTGGATAAAACTGGCAATAAAGCAGCACTTCTTGAGCGTCTTTCCAAGGTAGATTATTTTTATCTTCAAGATGAATGATTCTTTCTTTAAAATAACTTTCATCTGATGTTATTACTTAATAACCCGGGCGTCGCGTGCTCCTGTCGCCATTTTAACCTTATTGATTGCTGGAATGACTTATTACATTAGATACAAATGATAATACAATAAAATACAAATCATCTAACCAAGCATAGAAGCCACAGCAATTTAAGCTCCTATTATTGTACTGCAAGATATCATTTGCATTACACTATTACTAGACTTGTAAATATCCACGTAACTTTTATCTCTAATAGAGTCACTTTAATGTGATTAATTATTACAGGCTATCATTGATGAAGGAGAAGATCCAGAAGAATATTTGATCATTCCCTCCGGTGGCTTGAATAAAATAAGTCCTCGTAAAAACAGTGGTTCGTAATCAAAATAATGAATATTTATTTTTTATTCTTTTGTAAAACATGTTTTTATTATTTCATTGATATCGTGCTTCAGTTTCCAATTCTCTAAATCAAGAAGAAACAATGGAAAATACCCAACAAGACAATCACAAAGACGAAAATGTTGATGAGAAAGAGTCAATGGACACATCTGTAAAGAAGAGCCAGCATCAGAAGCTGAATCAGAGACGAAAGAAGACAAAAAGGTACAAAAAGGAATAATAATAATAATAATTTGTAATGAATTCTTTGAAGAGTAAATGTTTGTTTTTTCATTAGGAGTCAACGAGTGAAGCAAAAGTAGAAGTAAAAGAAGAAAAAATGGAAGAAGAAAAAAATGACAATACTGAGAATGTTACTAAAAAAGAACCAGAAAAGAAGAATGGACCTGAAACAGCACCAGCACCTCCACCAACACCAGCCCCGGTACCAATTATAGAGAGTGTGTCTTCAACTACTGTTGAAGCTAATGGTATTGACACGGAAGATTCAATAAATTTGACTATTGGAGAAGACGAAGAAAATCTCCTTGCCGAGGAGGTATATTTACTTTTGCTTTTAATGTTTGTATTATTCACTTAAGTTGTTATCTTAACAATGTTAATTAATTTCTTCGTTTTTATTTTTTAGACGGAGACTCACGTCAAGCAGAAAGGTAAGTCTTTAGCATTAATCAACCGTAAAATTGTAGTTAAGCATACCCTTAATGGATAAGAGTAACGGTGAAAAATAATGACGGTGCTTGTTTAATGGTAATCGTGTTGCGTGAGTAATGCTGACAGAATAATTTCATCAAGAATAAAAGGAAAAAAAAGTAAAGTTTTGACGCGTAAAGAACTTGTCATCCAGCGGAGGCCGAAATATTCGAGAACCCACCGTGTGTCATCCTATCCTAAACCCTGGACTGGGAGCATCAAACATCTTTATTTGCTGTCTGGGGTGGTCCTTGATGACATCGCAATGCAGTCTGCAAGGCACATCATCCCATTCGAAGATGGCTCATCTCCTTTCCTGACAGGACGCAAATTCACGGGCTTCTATCTCATCGCGGTTCTCTCTTCACAAAATAATCATGAGATTATTCGTTAAGTTATAGTTTACACTAGAAAACAATTTGACATGACAATTAAATTAATTAAAAATACCTGCCGCCATAGAGCATCGTTGGATAATGGGTTAAAATTTTAACATTTTAACGAAGATTATCATCCTCATCGCGACCAACGCCGGTGGCTCAAACATCACTTCGCCCTTATTTTTTTATTACAAAGTACTACTGCAGTGTCTATTGTTTTTTTTTCTTTTTTTTTAAATTTTTTTTTTCTGGTAAGAGTGGATCAACAAACCGCTCCGCGACGCTGCTTTTCCCTTTCCAGTTTCTCTTCTTTCGCTCACGAGTCAAAATATAACAAAGAAAGATTCAATGCTCTGTCGCAAGCTTTTGAATCTGACGGGATTGTATAATCTCCAATGGGAGACAACAGGTTTTTTAGGGAAGTCAAAAGAAATGAAAAATAATAGCGTGACAAATGTTAGTGGAGGAGGAGAAGTGTACTATTTAACTTCTGATGTTCCTGAATTGGATGGACCACTGTACTCTGGCTTGATTGTTCCTGCAGATGGTGGAGCGAAGAAGAGAATTGAAGAAAACAACAAGAAGGGAGACTCCAAAGGGAGCAGCAGAGCGGAAGGCGGAGGCACCGGGAGCAAGGACGGGACCTCGTCGAGCGCTAACTCAGGGATCAAGAGCAAGCAGGACGGTGGTGGCGATGGAGGCAAGAGGTTGGTCTCACATTGCTAAACAAATAAATCAGTGGTTCACGGTGGTAAACGGCGACGCGACAACGTCACGTTACCCGTCGAGACTGAAAAAAAAAAAGTATTTTTAAAAGTAATGTAACGAGTACAATGCGCTTACGTTGGATTTCATCTCACCTGGATGTGTAACACAGTCTACGATGGCGCTTTCCTACTCCCCCAAGATTGAATTTATTCAACAGTTTATTATGCAAGATATATGTCACTTTGTTTTACCTTATTCCTATTCTTTTGCTATTTCGCTAATACCTCACGGATATTATGCTCCTTAATCGTGGACAATCAGTCAATTTAGGCTCCAATTCTGAGCTCTGTAAATGTATGTTAAGATTTATTATTCAAACTGGCTAGCAACCTTTTGTTTAACTCTACAATATGACATGCATAAGCGTCGAACCAACAATATGAAGAAGATGTGTATAATTTTTTTTTACAAACAATATCACTTGGCACAATACCACATCAAGATCAAGCACCGCCAACCAGCAGAGAAGTTTCCAGAATACGAAGAAGATTGCACGTGATTGCACTCTCATATCAGAATTATTTTTCATGTCATTTTTTTTTTATTATTTTTTTTTATCATCAAGAATTGAAGAAAAACCAGTTATTGCCAGCAGAACAAGTTTGGAGTCAAATTTTGTGAAAGAAAATCCAATATGTATTGACAAAATATGTTATCAGAGTATTCGAGAGAGTTGCTAGCCAAATTTGTAGTCTTAACATAGTTACAGAGTGACCTATTTCGAGCCTAAGTAGTAAATTGAATCACAAACAATTAATTTTCTCGCTCAAAATTATATTAGTTAAATAATTAATAATTCATTTCAACAATCAGAGAATAACGTAGCATTGTTTACAGCGGTGATTCCAGTAACAAAGTACAGAAAAGAGATGATAAGGGTGAGTGTGAAAACAGTACATGAAGAGCAATCAACCCAGGTGGCATTATTTGCATTTAAAAAAAATCTATTTTTTAACTTGTAGACAAGAAAATACAAGGCAGCCCAGCTAATGCAAGTAGCCGAAATCTTTGGGTATCGGGATTGTCGTCTTCAACACGCGCTACAGATCTCAAACAAATCTTTTCCAAATATGGAAAGGTGATCGGTGCTAAAGTGGTAACTAATGCCCGAACACCTGGAACAAGATGTTACGGTTACGTAACCATGTCAACTAGTGAAGATGCAGCCAAGTGTATTCAACATCTTCATCGAACCGAACTTCATGGACGTGTCATTTCTGTAGAGAAGGTACGAGAGAGTTTGATAAGATTCAATAACAACATTGTTACACAATAGTGAGAAGCAAAGAATCAATTTTTTTCTTTTACATCAGGCGAAGGGTGAGTCTCAACAAGGCCATATGCGAAAACGTGAGTCTAACAATGCAAAGCTTGATAAAAAGGATGAAAAAGATACCAAAGGTAAAGATGGTCATCGTGAAAGTCCCACTGATAAAAAAGACAAAGATGGAAAGAAAGAAGATGATAAAGTTGGTGATGGTGGTGAGTTTGGTAAAAATTAATATTTTGAATCAACAGAAGTATTACGGCATATACAGATCTGTTGATTAATGTTATTAATTAATTCGCAGCTAAAAAATCTGATGATAAAGCACATGGCACTGATGAAAAGAAACTTGATTCAGAGAAAAAAGATGATAAAGATTCCGACGCACGTTCTACTAAATCAACGAGCAAGAAACCAGAGAGTGAACGTGGAAAACGTGACGACAAGCGTGTCCGTCCTTATGATAATCATCGCTCTCACTCACGATCTCGCAGTAGAGAACGCAGAAGACGTGATGACGTATTGACATTTGCTAAAATTCGGGTTAGATATTTTCCGTTGTAATTCATTTTTATTCTTCAGCTATTGTAAACCAACCAAATCATTGGACATCAATTATTTAAAATAATTTCATTGATGATTATTAATATTAAATATTTATTTTTTAGGAAGAAAGAGAGCGACAGAAATTACGAGAACGCGAACGTCTTTTACGAGAAGACGAGAGAAGACGTCGAGAGGAGACAGAACGTCAACGGGAAATCGAACGTCGTCAAAGAGAAGAAGCAGCGCGATTGGAGCGTGAACGAGAAAAATTGAGACGAGAACGTGAAAGAATTGAACAAGAAAAAGCTGAGTTACTACGTTTAGAACGTGAAAGACAAAAAGTTGAAAGAGAAAAGCTTGAACGGGAAAGAATGGAGTTGAAAAGACAACAGATGCGTTTGGAGGAAAGTAGACGAGCACCGCCACCGCCATCAATCAAAAGATCAGCTGCTGATCATCGAGATATTCGGGATATGTATGTTGAGCCTGAAAGAAAACGATTGACCACTGAACATAGTCGAAGACATAGTCCTGAAAGAGTATCAGATCGAAGACCAGAAATAATGGATAGAGTGTCTGATAGACGTATGGAAACTTCACCAGCAAGTAGATATGAATCTAGCAGGTGAGTTATTGATTTGATTCATTTATAATTTACCTTTGTACTATGAGAATCGGATTATTGATTGAATATGTACATTTCTATCAATAGATCAAGCCAAGATATGGCAATGAAGAAAGATTTCAAACGAAACAGTGATTTTTCATCACGAAGCAGCCGTCCTGAAACCTTTACTGATGTATCTAGAGGAAGAGAAGTTATTGTACGCCGTGAAGCTCTTCAAACACAATCTTCTACCATTGATTCACGACAAGTGAAAGAAAGGTTGGTGCTTTTTCTCTTTAATCGGGTTATATTTTATTCATTGTTCGCGTGCAACTTTATCAGTACAAAGTATCATTGCTTGAATTAATTTTTTTTTATTTCAGTAGATATGAGCGACCAAGCACAACATCCTATGGCCGCAATGAACGAGACGTTCGACGCAACGAACAAGAAACTCATCGTAGCTCTAGAGAAACTCATGCTGGTAGATACAGTGATAATTCCAAACCTCCTGGATCTAATGCTCCTGGACGTTAGTATTTCTCTTCTTTTATTAAAGTAATCTTTTCTTTTTTTAATGAAGATATATAGATTAATATATATTTTTTTGTCAATTAATCAGGTGATAGCCGTTATGCAGAAAGTAATCGAACTCCAAGTGGCTGGCATTCAGGTCCACCATCCACTAAGTCATTCAACTCAGTGCCCAGTAGTGGTCAAAGAGGTGGTGGAGATTTGCGAAGTGAGCCATCAGCTTGGAGTAATCGTTCGTCAGAAAATGTAAACCGATGGAGTAATTCAAGTAGTATGGGTAATACTCTTCGACATCCAGGACCACCTATGGGATACCAAGGTAGTCAAATGCAATCAATAGGGTTAACAGCACCTGGAACTACACCTTCTTATGATAGATTTGATCCTTACAAATCTACTATGCCTAATTTAAGAAAGTATTAATTATATTTGACTGTTCCTTAACTATTTGGAGAAATTGAGGTAACAAACTTTGATAAAAATGCGTATATGAATATACTTTCTATGGTTATTTTTAAACCAACAGTTCTGACGAATTTTACGTATGAAAGAAGTATACGTAGAAGCTGTACAGTCTGATATATTTACAGTCTCATATGTAAAGAAATTTATGTATATTTGTTAATAGAAGTTTATGCACTTGATGAATCGTGTTTAAGCCGAGATTTTTACACACTCCAATTTTGTCTTTAATTTCATTATTATTTTACTAGTAGAAATAAATATTTCTTGCATAATAGAGTTTTTTTTTGTTTATAAAACGGAATTTAATGATTTTTTAAGATGTAAAAGGACAGGCTGTTTTTAAGAAATGAAAATAATAAATATAAATAGTTAACTTTGAAGTAATCCATAGACGTTGTATACGATTCACTTGAGTCAAAAATATTTCAACTTATTCACTTATTACAAATTAAAAGATATCTATAATTATTGTCATCTTAATATTTATCCTGTTTGAATTACATTGTTACATTGGAATTAATTTTAATATCACTATTAGGAACAAACGAAGATACTAAATCAATTGAACAGTGCTTATAACTGTACCGTTCATGCTACTTTGTAGACTTGAAGTATCAATAAAAAGATATAAAAATATCTACTGTCTTTTATTGTATTATTTTAATTGTAGATCCTTAATTGTTTGAGTAAAAATTTTGAAGATCGTCTGTGTCAAAACCAATGGTTTTTTGATCTATCAAATCAGGTGGAACCCGGACGTATTGGTCCAAGGAGAGTGGGGAAACCACTTTCCCTTAGAGGTGAGACGAGTGTGAGGGATGGCGCCTCCGCGAAGGAAAGGAGAGAGTAACTCGTCGAAGGTAAGTATGTCGAGGTCTTTTCACGGACAGTCGTGTTGTAGTCAGGACTGTCTTGCAACAACTGCGAGCAGTCGAGATCTACACTTCCTCTTCGACTTTTTGCACCGAGAGACGACTCGTGTCATTGCACGCAAAGGATATTTTTGGCATTGATAGCTATTAATAAATTTAACAAAAATATATCAATTAAAAATTGTAGATATTAATTGAAGTGTTTTTAATTAATGCGTTTCATTATTTGGAGATCTAATAGTGGTGTGCAATTTACCTGGAATGCCTAGTGAATAGACCATGAAGTCCAATGTAACAATGTCTTCTTGGATGTTGGGTAAGTAAAAGAAGTGATGACAGTGACATGTGGATTTCTTACCACGTGGAAAGTGTAGATGTGTTTTTTTCCCACGCATTACTATTAATTTTCCGGTAATAATATAGTGTTTTCAGTGAAATTCTCGTGCGTGTTCACTAGAGTGTGTAAATCCTCTTACGAACAAAACTGTTAGTAATTACAAAATGACTAACATCTCTATTTAATTACATCTTTTATTTAACCATATATCATATTATACACTTGCTGATTTTTTCTAACTATTCATTTTTTATTACTTCAAATGATACTTATGAAAATATTTAGAGTGAATATCTTGATCTATTTCATTTTTCTCTTATTAGAATTTTTAACTAGATTACTATCTAGTAATTCGTAATATTTATATCTGGGTTACGCGGTTCAGTAACAGCTTGGATTTTTTTTAGAGAAAAGAAAGAAATCCGCATTTCGTTCCGGCCATCAAGTCTTTCTTGTGGACGCCTTAGTCGATTCTATAGTACGCCCATCATGTTTTCGCACGCGCCACAAAAGCTACACTAAATTATATCTCTTCCTCTAATTGACTGGATCATCAGATGGAGACTTTTATCGAGGTCACAAAGTCACGAATTATTTTTTTCTCCAAATTCAACAGACCTCCTGTCTCTCATCTTTGTCCGTTCATTCTTTTTGTTTCTATTCTAAAATTTCAATAGTCTCGAGAACAAGAGGCTGAAGATAGAAAAGGTACAAAAAAAAAGCTATTCCAATTCAGCACGAGCTTTCACCCACATCCGTATGGTTTTAGTCTTCTTATCCTTATCATCATAAGTGACAATTACGTATTATCATCAGTAAAATAACACTCCTTAACCCACTTGGATGTTATAAAACTTAAAGCCAGCTTGTCTTGGTCATAAAGTAAAGCAAAATAAAATGAAATCGCAGAAAAAATTAATCAGAGTCTTTTGTGTCTTGATTGATATTTTTAAAGATGACTTGAATGTCTCTAGATGATAAACGACAATCGCTCAAAGTATACAAACCATTGGGCTAGACGGTGAATCACGTTGATGTGATGGAAGAAAGGCACACTTTCTCGTTGAGCAACTTTCACCGTCGATGAAGCCGCTTGTAGTTCTTAGTAAAGAGAATTGAAAAACCCTGTCTTCCCCTTTTTTTTATAACATGAACATGTGATTTTGTCGCATTTCTACTACCTCCCATTAATCTCATCTACAACAAATTTCTTTTCAATCTTTAGGCAGTTCAATGACCTGTCATAAATCAGGACTTAACTGGATTTATTATTTTTTGTTACTATCATCACAGTCATGATGACAAATTGACGATAAAAACTGTTAAGATAATTATGAATTCAAAGCAACTAGTAGGTACTGTAATCACGCGGTTTGTCCCAGTTTCATTATGATGAAAGGCTGTGTTGATAAAAGATTCTTTGAAAATTGGAAAGCCCGGATCTTTCAATAAGTTATGTCATGGAACGTCTTGTGTAATCGGGTATTTCCAGTATCACAACTTGTAACTCACATGACTTATTGATGATGCACGAAAATTGCCCAATATACTTAGTTCGTTATTTACATGTTACAGGACTATTTATGATCATCAACATAATTCTGGGTATCAGATCTTTTGAATATCCACTTTATTCTCTACGTAAGTAATTCATGTGATAATAACTTTTCAATACACTGAGAGAAAAATAATAATTGATGTTAAATAAATAAAAAAGAATTGTAATATCTAACATATAATCTATAAATGATCTTAAATTACAGTTGTAATAAAAAAAAACAGAGTTTTATTTTATGACATATAATTAACAGGAATATTTTTATTTATTTTAATTAAAACTTGAAAAAACTATTTATTATTATTTTATTGCAGAATAAAAATAAATATACACTTGAAATGAAAGCTGTAAAGTCTCAATAAAATCATTTTTATTCCCAGAATATGATTTTTCTCTCAATGTAAAAGCAGGATTTTTTTATCCTAGACAATAAGTCAGTTAATCATACTTTGTAGGTCATGGATACAGATCTCAACCTTCCTTTATGCCTTCCTTTAAAAGATGGTCTGATTCTTGGGAAGATGGACCACGTCCCAGTTATTTGTTTCGTCGAGATACTCAAGAAATTCCTACTCGTATTCAGTACACGAAAATCAACGTGCAAGAACCAGAATCACGAGCTGACCCTTTGGTGACCATCAGTGAAACTCTCGGTGCACTTAATACAGTTGGGAGTTACATCGTAAACATGACTCGAGGCGTTGATAGTTCAGAAAATCCACCTAAGGAATTGCCATCTGCTATTTATACTATTTCTAAAAATATCCTAGGAAGAAATGTGACTGATAGCATTGCTCCGTTGGTACGAGGAGTTGGTCTACCTCTACGTGCACCATCAACAACAACCACGACTACGACCACAACTACAACAGAAAGTCCATTTGTTAATGACAAAGAAAGCGAAAATGTGATCAATAGAGATAAAGAATCAGCTATAGCCACATGCACCACTGCTGATGGTGGACCAGGCAGATGTCAAGATCTTAGTAATTGCCCTCATCTTCTGCTAAATCTTACCAAACTTCGTCAATCACTCTGCTTCAAAAGTCTTTTCGTTCCTGGAGTTTGCTGTCCAATGGATAAAATTGATTCTTCACAATCAACACACCTGAGGTAAAAGAACTAGTTTATCATAATTGATGCAAATAAATAAAGTCATAAGAATGTTCATTCATTTAGTCATCGAATTACTTTCTAATGGAATCTAGCTCTGAAAAAAAAAATTCATACTGATTTGTAGTCCCGTGACGAGTTCGCCAGTTAGTGAAAGTGGACGTCCAACAAGACCTCCTTATCGGCCACTAAAGCCGGTGACACCAAGGCCTATTCCACTATATACACAACCTACATCGACCCCTAGTCCAATTACGGTTCTTAAACCGCTACCGGATTTATCAGTAGCTAATTCCACTAGTTTCGAAACTGTCGACACTATTGATAGTAACTTTATTCAAGATGATGAAGGTAAGTGTTTTGACTTTTAGGGCACTTGAAATCGTCAAGTCATTCAGTAAAAAAAATCATTAAATTGAATTATTTTCATTTCTTTTTTTTACTAATTTGATGCGCTTGTTTAAACTATAATCACTCAATCACGATAAATACCTTGAAGAATTTTCTTTCTAAACATTTAAATGACTTAGAAGCTTTACCAAATCATTCAATACTTGTAGAAACGGTAATTGTAAATAACATTGAAAAAAAAAAACTATTTTCAAGAATGTGGAGTTAGAAATTCTGGGAAATATCGAGTGGTTGGTGGAGAAGAAGCATTGCCAGGTCGTTGGCCTTGGATGGCAGCAATATTTCTCCATGGTTCTCGTAGGACAGAGTTCTGGTGCGGAGGATCTCTGATAGGACCTCGACATATTCTTACGGCAGCTCATTGCACCCGAGATCAACGACAGCGACCGTGAGTATGCCTTTTTCATTGAAAATAAAAGTTAAGCCTAGCTAATATAGTACATAACTTAGACTTGGTATTTCTGTTGAAATGTCCATCATTAAACAGTCAATCCTTGTCTTCAGATTCGCAGCTCGACAATTTACAGTGCGTTTAGGTGACATTGACCTCGAACGCGACGACGAGCCATCGTCTCCAGAGACTTATGGAGTGAAGGCCATCCATGCTCACCCAAAGTTCTCACGAGTTGGCTTTTATAACGACATTGCTATTCTTGAGCTCAGCAGGCCCGTGAGAAAATCGCCTTACGTCATACCAATTTGTTTGCCTCAGGGTCGCTACCGGAACGAAGCCTTTCAGGGCGCAAGACCAACAGTAGTCGGATGGGGAACAACATACTATGGTAAGATTCTTTCACTTCTTTCTCTTTTATTCAGCATTTTTCCTATTTTTAACCTTCTTGGTATGTAAACTTACACCAACGCAATTAAAATGTTTATATGGTTATCACCTTCCTTTCTCTTTATAAAACGCTTTCTTTCTCTTCCTTCCATTATGACTGCTTTAAATACTCAAAAAGACATTTGGGAATTTTCCGCAGGTGGAAAGGAGAGCACAGTTCAACGCCAAGCTGTTTTGCCAGTTTGGAGGAATGAGGACTGCAATGATGCATACTTTCAACCAATAACTGGAAATTTTCTTTGTGCTGGCTACAGCCAAGGTGGTAAAGATGCTTGTCAGGGTGATTCTGGTGGTCCATTGATGCTTAGAGCTGAAGGTAAATGGATGCAAATCGGTATTGTGTCGTTTGGAAATAAATGTGGTGAGCCGGGATATCCTGGAGTTTACACCCGAGTTACTGAATACCTAGATTGGATCAAGAGTAATTTAAATTGAGGTCTGATTGTGACCACCAATAAAAATTACTCTCAAAACTAGAGTAATCTAGTTATTATGTTCAGATTTCTCCTCAGTAGAAACGACTAACGATTTTACTAGATTATTCCACAAAGAATTTAAGTGGAACATTGAGCCCATTGTTGCTGATGCATTTCAGGGAATTTTAAAAATTACATACAAGGTAATTTTAATATGAATGCTAATATTTTTTCATCATTAATCAAGCTTTGTTCATTCCTCTAAATCCAACCTTTTGTAAATATTAATTCAATTGTCACTTTTTTATACTGTTATACTGAGTATTCAGTAATGTTATCAATATCTATTTTTGTATTAAATAAGTTAATTATTTATGTATTTGATGTGTGTAAATTGTATGATAAGAATTAAAAGAGCTCAAATGAAATCATTACAATTTTTTTTATTCATTATTTACATCTAACCAAATATACCGTGGATTTATTTATGTATGTATATAGATATTTTCAAGGCAAAAAAAAAATTCAACTTAAATAGCTTTAATTATCAACATCTTTGGTCTCAATATGACTTTCGTATCAGATATGACTTAGATAAAAATACACTAAATAACAACCATAATGCACTTTGATAATATTTATCAAAAAATTACCTTTATAAGTCTCAAGATTTATCTTTGGTATTCTCTTTTAAATCAAGAAGAGCTTTTTGCACCAAAGCTCCAAGGTTTTCTGGCAAGTCTAGAGGTACTGTTGGCGTTGACGTTGAATCCCCAGTAAAAGAAGGTGATTCTTTGTGAGATAAGTCTCCATTTAAATGTACTTTTTCTTCCGTTTCAATGTCATTCAACATTTCTTTACTATCGTAATCGTGTAAATTTAATTCTACGTTGGTATCAACATCTGCACTCACGTAACCTTCTAGCAGTTTTGACGTTGGTGAGGGTATGTCATTCACTAACTCGCTGATTCTCGTTGCTAGAATTCTATGGGAATATATAATTTTTTTTAATAATAAATATAAATTTCAAATAATTTTTAATATTTATAAATTTTTACTTATTCGTTTTTCTTTGATGTGCCAAAGCCAACGCCTTGTCATTTAACGTATCAAATAGCGCAGCACACAAGTATCGCAACTCTTCTAATGCAGCTGCAGCTTTTTGTGGAGGAATATTGACTCCTTGTTGAAGAAGCTCTTCCACTGAAATGATAAAGTTTGGAATTATTTTTTTTTATTCAAAATTTAAACAAATAATAAAATTAGCCATACCTTGTTTATAGGTCATAATTCTTCCTCCGCCATCGGTTCCTAATTTTATCGTCCCTTTCACTCGTTTACTGTCAAGTATGCCCTAAAGGTAAAGAGTTTTTTCAATCATCTCTATCAAATAACTACTTAATCTCACTCATTCTTGATTTTTCAAAATAAAAATTTAAATAAATACCTTATATCTAGAAAGAGATTGATGAGCGAGTTCTTTTTCTTCTGATAATTGTTGCAGTCTTTCTTGTAAATATCTATTTTCATTAATTAAAGCATCTAAATCAACAGCTTGGGTTGCATTCAAAGCTTTAGATAACTGATGATTTAAACGGTGGGCTTTGCATTTGAATGCATCTCTTTCTGTCACTAGTTCTTGCTTCTCATCTAATACGTTCTTCAGATCATTTTGGAGTTGAGTACACTAAAATTTAATTGGATACTCTTTTATACCATTAAAAACCACAAGAGAATTTTAAAGAAAAAAAATCATTTATGAGTTATTAAGTAGAGATAAAAGTAGAATAAAACCAACAACTTTTTTAACTAATAAAACCACATAGGAATATTCATCCTCATTATAAAGGTGATGATTTGAGCTACAAAAAATTCTATTTAAACTTTAATGAGCATATTATCTTACTTTAATGTTTAGTTTTTCCAGCTGTTCTATCATTTCTTCTCTTTCATGAGCAGCAGGTGCTAACTGTGATCCAGTTAACTCTATATGAGAATTATTACTCGATCTGAGGACCTGAATATCTCTTTGAGCATCTCGTAATTTTTGTCTAAGGGTTTCTACTTGCAATCTCAAACATTTGTTCTGCTCACGAATTTCTGCTAGAAGATCCATCGTTCTAAAGTCCTCATCTACACTGTATTTTCTAAAATTGATACACTTATTGAAATAATCTTATGATAAATTTAGGAAGACCTTTAATCAAATAGAAAATACCTTAAATCTCGTGTTAGATTAGTTTGTTTCTTAAAATGCCAAAAACGTTCTTGAATTTGTTCAGCCATAAGTTTAAATTGATCTCGTTGCGTTCGACATTGATCATATTCTTGACTAAGAACCATTAAAGCTTCTGATTTTAATAGTAGTTTTTTTCTTAGCATAGCAACCTAGAAAAGAGAATCATTTGTTTAAAGAGTTTTCATAAATTAATTTAGTTTATTGTACACTTTAAGCTGCCAAGTAGTTTAATACAACATAACCTACTTCGTCAGCATTATGCTCCGGACTTTGTAAAGGTTGATTTTCTTCTAGTGATTGAGCCATATTATTAAATAGTTAAATTCAATATGTTACAATTATTCTTTCAGATTTGATTTAATCGAAATCTGATTAATTTGGAAGAACTACGAGGCATCTGTCATTTCCCTGAACTGTTTGTAAATAAACAATGCAGGGGGCGTTACTGATAGAAATCCAAATTTCTAAAAATTACTTTTGTTTTGTTTATTTATTTCAAAATAAAATTGAATACACAATTATAATTAATAAAATTATACAAAAAAATAATTAATTAAAATTTCAAGTATTTTTTTCTATTAAAAAAATTTTTATATACGATTTTACTTCAAAAAATTGATAATTTAAATACTGTATTGACTAATGATGACGTCAGGGCGGCATGCGGCGTCCTACCAATCGTGTTAGCCAATCCTGTTTAATTTCGCTCGCAAAAGAGTCGTGTTTAGTGTGTCCTCGTGAACAACGGATTTTGTGTGAGCCGGTAACATTGGACTGCTATTTTTTTACACTTATACATTTATCGTAATTACCACATTTATTACAATGACTTCAACGGGAACCTTCCAAGGATTGGTCGATGGCCGAAAATCTAGCAAGTAAGTCTTAAAAAATTATTATTTTACGTTATATATTTGATTCGCTGAAATCATGAAAACCATGGGATTCTCAACGAATCGTTTCCATGGAATTTATATTTTTTTTTTAGTTTATCAAGTATTTAGGTCGAATAATAAGCAATATAATTGACTGAATGAATTAAAAATGTAAATATTCAATTTATTAATACTGAAATAGCCTTCAGCTGTCATTGGAGCATCTTTTCATATTTCATCACTGATTTTGCAAAAATTTCTTCAGGATTTTCTCTAGATAGAGGTTAGTGAAGTTAATGAATATTTTATGGTCCTTTGTTTGAAACAAAGACAATTCTTGCTGAAGAAATATCGTATTTCTTCGCTCACTTTGCACGTCGTACATCAGTTCAAACCGGATATAACCAGATATATCTTGTATACCTCCTTGTCTATTAGGATTTCGCGCTTTTTATGGGTTCAAGATAGATATAAAAATGTTCTTCTACACTTTTACTGTTATCCTCAAATACTTTTTATTTAAAAATTTTGCATAAATAGTTCAAGGAATAACAAGGCTCTGAAAAAGAGTTAATATTCCAGGAACATGAAAAAACTTACTCCAGAACAGGATAATTAGTCAACACATGTTCTGTCTATATAGAACAGATTGAATCGATAAGGTTTATATTTAATTCTAAAAATTGAGAGGGCGTTGTCCTCTAGTCCCGGGGTTGATGAACTAACCCTTTCATTCGTGTAAATTCTTTCTCTTACTTTACATACTTTTTTTATGTTAACAATCAGGTCTATTGTACTATTCTGGAGATGAGGAAATTCCGGTTTATTATCAGCATGGTATTTGTTTTTATTTCAAATGAATTTAAATACTCTGATAAATTGCAACCATCAATGTTGAGTTGCTGATAATTATATTGAATTAACAGTTGGGAATTTTTATAAATTACTTATTAAATAACTTGACAAATTTTTTACTGATTACAATTAATTTATATTTATTATCTGTTATCAGGAGTATTAAAAAGTCATTCAGAAGAAGATAATTAAAATTATTTGATGGATTTCAATTAATTAACTTTATCAATAGCTATAAATAATAATAAAAAAAAAAATTGGATCATTAAATAAGGAACAAAAGTGGAGCAATTATTATAATTTATGTTAATAAGCAGGAAGAAATGATCAAATATTCAACCACTTGCTCCACTTTTAATCATAAATCAGCTTAATCAAGTTAACTTAATCAAATAAGAATATTTAAGACCATGTCAAGCATCTCTAAACAACAAACTTGATGATATTAACTTATCAGCGCACATTAATTGACGCTGATTGAATACGTCAATTGAAGAGAGTCTACTTGAATCAAGAATAATAATATTCTCTTTGTTTTCATATACGTCTTAAGTTCATATTCCTAACCAGACTTGATAGTTTAGTTTGCGAAACATGAAATTGACGATGCCTGAAGTTAGGACAGGTGCATTAAAAATAAAGGAAGAAAAAGTGAGAATAAAATAAAAAAATAAAAGGCAAATTTTTTGTGACGATGAGTCACCCTCGACTTTGTCCACGCCCGTTGCAGCTGTTCTGATTGCTCTGTAATAATTGGTTTAGTTCTGACTTGGCAACCATACCAGTAGCAAATGTTCGTAGTTGGTTTTTTATAATACCAGTCACTCGTTAGTTTTCTCTGTTCTGATACCAGGGTAAAGTACTCCCTAATCTAAAGCTAAAAGTTTAATTGAATTATCTGAAAAGCAGACCATTTTTATCAAGGAATCAAGAACTTTATGCCATATGTCCACTTCTATTTTTAATTTTTCCTTTTGAATTGTTTTTAATCAAGACCAGACTGGACTCATTAATTAATTCAATTTATATTCATTCATTAATTAACAAGTAACATTGCTTGGATCAGTTTGTTGATAATCATGATAATCATTTCATTGAATCAGGTAGCAGTGATTCATAGGAATAACTGAATTTGGCAGAATAAAATGCAAATGACCTTCAATCTAGAGTTGTCCAGTTGGATGTAACCTTGGGCTTTGTTGTCTATGGCAAACTTGAATGCTGTATTGGTTGATGAATAAGTTATTTTGACGGCACGCAAGAGACGGAAGTTATGGTCAAGTGAGGAAAGCAAAATTACCCGTCTAGCAGCAGTAGGGTTTGGCTAGAGGGTAAGGGATATATTGAAGGGTGTCATGATCTTTTTTTTGTATTGTTGAGTATATAATATTATATGTGGATTTAATGTGTAGAGAAAATGATGAATAATGACAAGACAAATCGATAAACGTGTCGCGACCACTGGTCGAGACAGACTGTCGTGTTTTGTGAACAAGTGGCGACAGGAAATTCATGTCACAGCAAGGATTCTCAGCTGGAGAAATATTATTGCCATGTTATAGTGCATGTGGGTATTATAATCTTCTTACTCTCTGAGCTCACATGACTTTCATTGTGATTCGGACAAAGGCCGATAGATTGCGCGAGAAGGTTTAAATTAAAATGAAAATATTTATTTATTTTTCTAGTACTGAGGTGTTTGAACCTTGTAATTAAATTTTACGAAAATTATTTATAGAATCATTGCAATTTTCGTATTATTTTTTTTTTTGCATGAGACAAAAATAATAATCATAAATCACTGATTTATTATCACTGAATAGCTTCCATTAAAAACATTGACTCTTTTTATTTTTTTTTTTTTTTAAACAAAGAACATAAATGTATTTTTAGTTTTCAATATTTCAAATATATAGTAAATCTCTATTGTTCTTCACTCTTGACTCATTCAAACGTAGTTTATTTTTACGAACAACATTAAATTTTATTATTTACAAATTTAGTTGAATTCCCTTTTTTTCACTGAGTTATGTTTCATTTTATTTTTCTCTGAATTATTGGACATGATGATAAAAATATCCCCTAAAAGTAGTAAAAAATAATCACAGGGTAAATGACCGTCATTTGGTTGGTGTTTGTAACTGCAGACTATAGATTGGAAACGGAAGACAAAGTACGTGAAATTATGGTGACGAATGGGTGGTCGTTGACCCAACACAAATGTAATTTTTTTTATTATAATAATTACATCATAACAATATAAATCATAATAATAATAATAATTTTTACTCCAAAATTTAAAACTTACTCCAAAAGTTAAAACACAGTTGATCCAACTTCTTTAAAACAATTAATTCAATTTTAAATATTAAAAAAATAATAAGATATTTAAATGTATATTACAAAAATTATGTTAATGATTAAAATTCAATTACTTTTATTTTTGCATCGCTGAAAATACTTCATCTAATTACAGTTAAGCTTGTTAAAGTCATGACTTATTGCATCTATTCCTTGACATGAATATCAATCAAAGTGATCTTTATTTTTTATTTCCCATCAATATTTTTCATCTGCAAAATTTTTCCATGGAAATTGAATCAAAAATGTCAATTCAAATCTACGAAATAAAATAGCAGACACAAGATTTAAAGTGAATTATCGCTGTGAATTAATGATATTTACAAATAACACGTCGCAATTTGTAACGATTCGCCTGAACGATTAAACTCAGGTGTGAGATTGCGTTCCTTTCGCTGCTGTCTACTGCTCTGATAACACATATGTTAGACTATGTACACCCAGAGTCTTCAATGCATTGATCTCAATCAGATTTTACAGGAAAAAGTTTATATTGCTGCCAAGTGAACCTGATTCCAACATCAAATGTTGCTGTTCTTATCTCGATTTATCATGGTATTCGATATTTATACTCGAGAAATGAATTATATTCTCACAAATAGTGAATTAAAGTTTCAAAATCTCTTTCAATTGCGTGTAAATTTAATATCAATTTATCTCCTATTTATTTCCTACATCTTATTTTACCTGTGAATTAACGGAAAAATTATCTTTTCTAATCAATCTTGATTACACGAGTTTTTTTTGTTGTCTTTACATTTATTTATTTATTTGTAAAAATATTTTTTGTCGACATACAAAATTGTAATAACGGATTTTCTGCTTCAGCATGAAGGTTGACCTCAATTTCCGGGATGATTATTATTTATCTACATTTCAATAGCATAGCTCCATAATGTACAGAATTTCATGGTCAATTTTATTTTAAGGAATATTCTAATAAATTCTATTCATTGATTTTTCCACGTATGGTATTTAAACTTGGACAAATATATTCTATCTTGACCTTACAAAATGAACAATTGAGAGTGGTTTCTATTTTATGAGCACATTTTTATCATTGTCATTATATCAAATTATAGCATATCATTTTTTTTTTTCAAGTCTTACCTTTACTTTCTCGGGATTCTTTTTGTTTTTATTAATAGTAATGATGTGTTTCTACGAACAGCTCATCATCACTTTTAACTTGATCTTGTGTTTAGGATTTTAAATTACTATGTTTAATATATTGTTCTTTGGTTGTGATGGGAAACTGTTTTTGTTGTGTATATTTATCTTGAATGGGAAGGAAATGATGGTGAGAGATTGTCAATTGATGATTAAGGACATTTTTCTTTCCTTTTTGTCAAGGAAAACTTTAGAAATCATATTCTAAAAGACCTTTTATTGAAAATATTTTATATTTTAACCAGCAAAAATGATTTCTTCATAAAAATTACTTTATTTTATTTTATTCCTGTTTAATCCTAATATTTATTATCGAAAATAGCTTGAAACAAATTGCAATTCTTTCTTTTACATCATAAAATTCATTTTTACATCGTTTAATCTTAATTCATTGATTATTTCTTATCAATAAAACCTCAACATTACTCTTTGATAAAACATAAACATTTTTATACTAGCAAAGATCCTTTAGAACTCCTCTATTTATTCCTTACCCACTTGCCTCTTATCAATCCAACTGATGCTATCTCAAGAGGATTAGTGTAATGCTTTGAACTCTCAGACAGACTTGGAGATAGCACAAACGCATCAACGAAACAGAGATATATTAATTGAAAGGCAAGACAAAGATAAGATGGAACACAGTGTCTACCAGACAAAATGATGGACAAACAATAAAATGATCATTGAATCCAATGGCAAAATTCAAGTCATCATCAAAAGCCACACCAAGAGTTCTGTTCATATACACCTATATCTTATCGTCGTTATGCCATCTGCATTGGCATGTAATGTTCAAGTAAGATTGTAGCCTGAGGTCTGGTTCCATGACAAAGCTCCTGGAAAATAACCTATTCGATGCCACTTCCCGTCTGGAGGCACACCTACGATTCATGCCTACGCACCAGTACCAATCTCAAGCTTTTTCCTCTAGATATATCTAACTGTTTTCTTTTCTCATCAACTTTCAAAGCCTTTCCCAATATAATACAACGTCAATACCAATAAAAAAAAAAAAACAATTGCTTGTGTTCCTTGAACGAAGACACATAAATAAAATTTTCAATGAGTTCAATAAATAAATGACTTTGACATTTCAAATGGTTTAGAAAATTAATTAAATCGTTAAATTTAAATCTCCCGCGAAAGATCGAGTACTCAAGGTTCTCTCGATGGCAGCATAAACGAGTGTAAGAGGCGATGATAGAGAGAAGGCGAGAAGAGAGAAAAAGACACGCGTGGAGGACCCGGCGACGCACGACCACGCGATCTCTCTTGCCCCTTTGACTAGTTTGTTACACGATCAGTGTCTGCAGTCTACCAAAGCAGCAAGTTAAAGATACCAACTGTATTTTTGTGTCAAATAATTTTTATGGTAAAGTGACGACGAACGATACCTTTGACCTGATCGCGTGCATAAGGTGGAAAAGTGCTGGTGAACTTTGTTGAGAAAAGAAAAAAGGGTGAGAGAGAATCTAGTGCTCTTATTCTTATTCTTCTTCTTCTTCTTGGTCGTGAGCTTCCGGGTAAAGAATGTGGGCTGGACAAGACGACACGCAGAGGTTTAAAACCAGGTTGGTTGCATTTACCTTTGTTCATTTCGTTTTCATTTTTTTTTAAAAAAAAAAAGAAACTTGAAAGGATTCATTTGAATTACTGTCATTTCGAGAGCTCATGTGAATGTTGTTCAGTAGGAAAAAGGTTGGGTTGCTTTTAATGTTGGTATTTTTGTGCAATAAATAGCCCAATAATTTAAGATAAGAGATATGTGTGCTAGTGATCAATTGAAGAAATCGGTGGCACACTCCGAGAGGAATTCGTGACAGGATCTCGCGTGCCGGAAGCCCAGCTTGTTAATTCTATGGGTTAAAAGGGTTAAACGAGTTATCTCGTCGAGCTGCTAGCCGTCGATACTCATCCATGCATAAAACTCGAAATCCTTGGGAAAAGAAATTTTCTTTATTGCTGCTTTATTAAAGAAATAAATTATTTGTAGTATAAAAGGTTATCTGAAAGTACCTGACTAGAATTGTATTTTCTTCTTTTTTAAATATTCCTACAAGGAAGAAGAGAATAAGAGGGGATAAGGGACAAAAGAATAATCAACTAGAAATGTTGATAGAATAATTACAAGATGTGGAGTTGATGAACTTTGATCTGTCAATTGAGATATTAATTTTAATTTTAATTTATACGAAGAACGATGGTTGGTGATATCAAAGAAGATGTTTTAGGCTGAAGCAGAGGGAAGTTTTGTAATTATAGCTGGGTTTGTTGGAGATAGAATTAATGGGAGATTGAAATCTAGGGCAGGAATGTGTCGTTGAATTGACATTACAGACGAGAAAGATTATAATTGGTGAGAATTGAATGAAGAAAAAAATTATTTCGGTGGAAATGGTACTTATCATTTGAATAAAACTTACTTACAAGTTATTTTCATTATTAAAAATTTTTTATTCCACTTAAACACAACATTAGATAATATCGTTAATGATAAAAATAATTTTAAAAATATTAGCAACCAAGAAATAACAATAAGAAGCTTTTATACAAGTATTACCAGTCAGCCCTTCGACTCCATTGGATAGTTTTATGAAACAATCGAACGTATCCTTGGTTGCCCAATCTATCAAGCAACTCTGCGGGTCTGAGTCACTGTCGTCCTGAGTAGCAATGAAATATGTCCATGTATGGACTTGATTACGTTTCCCTACTACTTTCCCAATGTTATTGGAATATTTAATAATAATTCAGTACTACCATAGGACTACTCTTCACATAATGATGATCAATTACAAAATGGTCCTGGTCCTACTGTATCTTCTAGGCCTGAATGTTCTCTCATACAAGTGCAAATAATGTCAACCATGTTCAGGATTCCAACATAAGGTTTGATTCAAATTGTTATCCAGGATCATGACTTAATCAACAAAGCTAATCCAAGATAACAAAGCATCATTTTTATTGTGGTTTGATTGAAATGAAGTAAATATTCTTCAAAAGCTTTCAATGAAGTATCTTGATGAAAAGTCCAAAACAGGTGAGAACATATAAATTCTCACGAGAGATTATTTACTCTAGCCTTTTGATGGTGATTGGAGGTAAATTTTCCTAACACGAAATGCCGATTTGATTGTCCAATTTGACGGGGATTCGTGATAGAAATTCATGAGATTGTGAAAATCATTTGCAATCGTATAATTTCATCAACAACGGTGAATTTTAGCAGAGAAATAGAGAGTGGAATGACCTCATCAACCTGATATAGAGAAGAAAGACAAGTGCAAACACGCAACATAGTAGTAATCGATAAGTCATTTACACGTTACATATATACTCATATATTTCCACATATTCTATATATATACATCAGTAAATGTATAAAACGTGTGCAAAGTCGCGTGTTGCAGCTCATTGTTCAGTTTGTTAAATGTCGATTCTTGTCTCAACTATTCTGAAACCATTCATTTAATGTTGAATGTATAGACATCGTCAAATGTTTTTTGTATCAACAGACTGATAAAATATTTCATTCAAAATTCTTTCTTTTTTGACATTTATCAAATGATAGGTTGCTAATGATGATATAAGTTGATACGAATGATTGAATTAAATGATGCATATCTATATAAGTGATGTATAATTTCAAATAATAAAGATATAATGAATTGAGGATTTAGATGAAAATGAATCATCCAGTTCTGATTAAAGTCTCTGGTAAGAACTTTAATTGCCCCACAATTATCAAGTGTCCCGAGAAGCTGGTATATTACTGATCCGGTTTATTTCGCTGCTTGACATCTTTGTCTTGAAACGTGCCAAACATTAAGATGCGTATGAGTATCTTTATATAATTGTATGGAGCAAGAAAATAAAATCATGTACTTCTGTATATTATGTATCCTTGTTCAAGGTTAATGCCAAGTAGAACAACAGCAACACTACAAGACGTAAATTATACCAACATGGAAGTGATCATAAACTTGTTTTCAATTTATCCCAACATTCATTGCTTAGTTTTTGCATTTTTTATACTTTATGAAGAACTAATTATGTTGATTGGAAATAATTTTTAGTCAGAATGATATAATTTATTGAATTTTATCTTTTGTTTCTAGAAAGCAATCATTATTATTTCTTTCTAATTTGATCAACATCATTTTTTAAATCATGATGAATTATTTGATTAAATCAATTAAAACATAAGTAGGTGTTGATGAATATTCTTCCAACTAAGAAATAAGTAGATTAAGATTCCATGATCAGACTGATAATTTATTTGCTTATGAAATGATTAAAAGTAAAGTCTTTAATCCTGATGACTCAGACCTACTTTACAAATGATAACTTCCAAACTTGAATCAACACTCCAATAAAATAGTTCATTAATTTTAACAGCTTTTATTGTAGCTGCTATGATATCAACTCTAGTTGACTTTTCATTTTTAGAATAAACTATTCTTCCATCCAATTGCTTGGTACCTAGAGAAAGGGAAATGAAGTAATGACTCAATTTAGGCATCTTAACAGTTGAACAATTAGGAAAATAGCTAAGCAAATATTGTACAATTTGAAGATCTGTACTTGTATAGTAAATCAAACAGTACTAACCACGTATTTCCTCATTACATGCACAGTTAACCGGGTGTGGCATAGTAAAATTCTCATGTCATGGAATATATAATGTTTCGATGATGGTTTTACAAAGACTCATTAAAAGGATCCAATAATTTAACAAAATGCCTGCTCTTCCAAGAACGTAGTTTGAGAGAACAAGTTTGTGATTTGTTTTTTTTTATTTTTTTAATTTAAATGAAACATTATTGTAAAAGTAATGGTCGTAAAATACTGCTTTTTGGTATCTCGAAAAGAGCCACAAGTCTCATTGAACGTCATAAAATACCAGACAGGAGTACAGTCAAGCATGAAAATATTCAAAATACATGTGGAACTGATGATAAAATGAATTCACCATAAAGGTGGCAATTTGAGAAAATTCCTAAATTCCAGCAAGACGTGATGCTTAAGTGTTCATTGGATCCATGAAGATTTGCTTTAATATGTGTTATTTCTATTTGAATGGCATTGATGTACACATAAAGGATCCATCAAGGGATCTACGTTGCAATCAATTGCTGATTAACAGTCTTCACATTTTACTTTGAGAGATCTCTTCGTGCTTGTGCAACCATAACAATCTATTAAAATGACTGGGAACATTAGGTATTCAATAGCTGAATGAATGTAAAAATATTCAGGTGTTGTTTTTGCAATGACTCTTTTCAATTTAGCTACATTCAATGAAAAATATTACCATTGAAAATTTTCTAATTGATTTTAAATAATTATTTAATTATAATCATGAAAGCTGAATGATGAAATAAACATTTATTTTATTTATGATAGACATTAATATGTTGGATAAAAAAAAATTTTTTTCTGACTAAAGAAAATGGTCATGTTGGGGTCATCCAATATATTTCCAAGCAAATTAATATTTTTATTTTATCTCTGTTGCATAAATTTTATAAGAAAGATACAGGTAAAAATTCTTTCACCTTTGTGCAGTATTGCTTACAGTTATTTATTTAATTCTCTTAAATTATGATTAATTATTATTTATCACTGTATTTATTGATAATTATGTATCGAGATAGTCATTGATAAATGACTTTCTGCTTGCAATCGTATTAAATACTTTTTCCAATTGTTTATCTCTCGACAATACTCCAGAAACAATTCACTATTCTCTCTATTGTTACATAACAAAAAAAAAAAAAATAAGTTTCGATTTTTTAACCGGATATTTAATTCAATTATAATAGATCTCCCTTGCAATCTCGTTGGACATTTAAAAATGATTTTTATTATTCTACTCAACCGGACATTTATATGACTTCATGTTGGATATATAATAAAAAATTTAACTTTATTTTATTTCGTTCTTATATTTTGTTTCACAGAACTTAACCATATCTCGCCGGATATTTTTTACAAATAATTAAAATCAATTAACGCTTATATCTCCATTATTCAGGGCATTTTTGTAGCAAAATGGAGGTCATGGAATTTCCGTGTTATACACATGACAATTGTGAGCAACATTGCGGAACATTTTCATCACGAAACTATCTTTTATCTGGTCAGTTTCCCTTTAATATAAGTATTTTTATTATTCTTCATATTGCAACTTTCGTATTTTCAATGTTAAGTACTCTTCAAAAGTCAATTAGCAAATATTGAATATCATTGAGTTCATCTAAACAACGTGTAAATTATTTCTTTATAATATCTCAACATATTTATAACACAAGACGGCGTCTACTTTGAGTTGCTCCCAGTGACTTGGCGGACTTTCTTTTTGATAATAAGAACAAGTTCTGCCTACGCCAACTTGACATACTGAATATCAAACATAACATTACGATGTTTATAGATTTATCTATAACCCAATTCTTAACTTTGATAATTAACATATTTTTCAACCAATCAACAATTTAATTTCGATTTTTATCGATGTTATTGCTCTTCTTTTTTAATCTCAATTAATCTTGGTGATTGGATTAAAAAT